GTGATCAGCATGTCAGATAACCCCCCTGGACCAAGTTTGAGCGAAATCCATGAGCAAAAAATTTTGGGGCCCGGATAGCCGAATAGCGCCCAAACATGAAAACAAAAAGAATGAAATAGAATACAAAACCGACAATAGATAGGGAATAAGAACTAGTGATTGTTTGTACTCTCCGGATTGGCGGCATGCTGTGTCCGCCGCGCACAACCGCGAGCTTGGAGCAGCTTTGCCGCTTCCATCCAGATAATTTGGAGCGCTATAACTAGGCGGGGAGGAGAGGGTTTGGGGAGGTACAAGAACTGTTTTGTACAGTATCAGATGTAGATTAATTTTATGTAAAAAGTTTGAGAAAATTATGTGAAGAATAGGAATTATATGACTTTGTTTGCGCTAAGCCACCTCAGGTGGCTATCCAGGTGGCTTGAAAGCCACCTAACCCCGAAAAAAGTTTGCCATGCCCTTAGTTCACATAATTTTTTCATAATTTTTCATACATAGTCCTGACTCCCCACTGCCCATCTACACACCTATTTTGGTGCCATTTCATCTTCACTTCGCTGTAAACAAACCCTTTGTTTATTTGCTGGCGGCATGCCGGCAGCGTGCCGGCAGCGGATCGAAAGACAGTGTTATGCTCTTCCGCAAAAACGATATCCCCTTTGCTTTTTCCCCCAAAAACGATATCCAGCTTGCTTTGCAAGCCACCTGCGCCGAGCCCTGTTCCTTGCTAAAAATTTGTAAACATTGATCTCTCTTGTCATTGAACACAGTACTGAGATTTAATACATCGAAAGGGATTCTAGAATAATTGTGTGAGATCATGATCGAAGCCAACACGTGCTGAGCCCTGGATGCGTCATGTCTTATCTTTTCAAGAGTTACTATCAGCCACCAAAAAAACGCAAAGGACATTCACTGCATGCCCCAAATTGAAGATACACCATCTATCAACTTTTTTTCTGAAAACATTGGAGCGCGTTGCAGCTATTTATGAATACCATTTCCTTCAATTATTTATTCCACATATCGGCAAGCTCTTGAAAATATATCTCTTTCTCTTGATCCAAATCAAATAGCAACTGCCGACCATCTATAGCTCGTACTCTTAACTCAGCCGGTGTACATGTAGAGGTAATAGTGGGTGAAAACATTGCTTCAGGAGTAATCGCAGCCTTTCGATACTTCCATAGACACATAAATTTTTTTAAGGATGGATGAGAATAGGCCATTATGGTGACGGATGCCGAAATCTATAAAATTTTTGTAGCCGAAAATTTTTTTGTTTGTTGATTTGCCTCACCTCTATGGCTATTATGATGTCAAGAAGACCTAAGAGTGTTTCTTGCACAATAAGATCATCGTATTCGATTATGAACATAGTGAAAAGGTAGAACACATTTTCAATTATAAAAAAGCATGGATATAGAACCATTAGCTTATTTAGCAATCGTGCAGCCCGCAGGTTTTCGGCAGTTTGATAGCGGACCTGTAACCCAAAAATTTTTTCTGCCTTCACTATCAAAAAAGTATTTCTTACTGTGATTCTCGATCCCCTCCTTCGATGTAGATGGTAGGCTCGGCGGCTGATTATGGGCAATATACAAAAAATCTAAATTTTAACAACTTCCCACAACGGCTCTAAATTATTCGATGACGAAAAAAGACTCACTAATCCCGAAACAACGCAAATAATTCCAAAACCAATAACACCGCAGAAGTCAGAAATCATGCCGATTGTGTTGAGATAGATGAGAAAGATGGTAATAGAAATCTAAAAATTAACTGCACTCAATCCAAATCTTCACTCTTTGATTTAATAACTGCTTAGCATCAGAATTGCTGAGGACAGCTGCTCATTATATGACAAACGGATTGATTGGGTGTTCGCTTCGTGACCAACAGGTGATGGCTTCTAATTATAATATGATATATGAGCATATACCTACACAACCGCTCCACTTTTCCCACACCTTGCCCTCATTGTACCCCTCTCCCTCTCCCTAAGCGCTTTCCGCTGAACCGTTCAAAGTTCATTTAAGGAATAAATAGTTAAACAAGTAAGAGATTGTATAAAAAAGAACTGTTAAGACTTATAAGATTCTCTCAGATTTCTCTCAAATCGTTTGAAGCTGCTGCTAATTAAGTAGCATAATAATTAAGCACAAAGCTGAGATGTCTTAGTTCAGCAAATGCATTTTGAATGAAGATTGGAATATTAGACTGTCCCTAAAGTTTTTTCGCTTTTTTGAGCGGTTGCCACAATTCGCGAAACAAGCATTTATAAGAAAAAATCTTGCCGCTACGTCTTTTATATCTCTTTTGGTTATGTTCCTGCTGCAGTCAGTAAACGAGCTCTTGAACACCAGAATCTGAAATCCATGCCATGGTCAGTTCGCTATTTTTCTGATATTTTGTACTGATTTTTCGGAGAAGTCGAAAATTGCTTTATATTCTGTAGCCTTTGTTCTATTCACGCGTTATTTGAACTTCTTTAGAGCGCAAGACTTGACCACAGCAAAAAAGCGTGAGTCTTAGATTTTGTTGAATTCGTAAGAGCTCGTTTACTGCAATAAGAACATATTCAGAGAATGAAAAGTTGCACCGATTGCTGCCAAGATCTTCTACAAAAAGATATTTGTTCTGCGTATTGTGGCAGTCATTCAAAAAAATGATAATACTTTTGGGAGACTTAATACTATGATAGAGCGGTAACAGTAATTTTTTTCCAGCCGAACGACGAATTTTTCATGAATGATTTTGTGACCTGCCCTTTGGAAAAACTTTCGCAATGTTTACTTTCCGGCAGCCTTACGACTCTCCTTGCTTTTGAAAGGGGGTCATTCGGAAATTTGCTGTATTAGTCTGATTTCTCCGCTACTCTTAATTACATGGTTTTACCTGCGACGACACCATAGCAGTTGAGAATATGGGAAAGCTGTTATTACAGTTCTCATATTTATTTACAAAAATAGTGGCAACTATCCGTTCAATAATGAAATTTGGTAAGTTCAACGCTCCACCAAACATCCCTAAAATGCTAGGTTTCAAACCGCTATCTCTATGGATACTCAGGAACTTACCCGTTTTTGAAATAAACTCGATCACATCAACCAAAGGGCTAACCAAGAGGTTTAACAACCCGAACAGATCCATTGCCGTCGACGTAGAAACAACAAGAACAGAGCAGACTGGTAATGCTGTCAGCAAGACGATGAGATTGGTGTGGTATACCTAGAGGGTTACTGTAGTCTTTGACCTCATTGAATACCGTACCTACCTGCCTCCGCCATAGCGTTATTACCACGCAAAAGTACTGTATAACTACAGTAACTATAAGTAAGTGTTGCACACATTTCACGGCTATGTAGATGGCAAAAAGTGACGTAGAATCGGTGATGTTGCCCGTAGCGGACCTCATAAAATATCAGCTGCAAGCAGGTATACTAATAAGTGCAAAAATAAGTGAAATCAGAAATGTCGGCGAGTTCGCGCCTCTTTTCGGATGAGAGGCTTGCTAAGAATAAATCAAGCCAAAGGTTTGCTAGACCCAAGAGTTCACTGATCGCTTTCATGAGCAATTGAGGTGATGAATTTGTCACAAAAATGCTAATTACCACTCCGATTAATGATAGCTTTCGATATGAGGGAGAGATTGCTGGCTGAGGGAGGCTGTATTAAACGACCAGGTGCAAAGCAATAGCTTGTGACCTAGCGAAAGCCTATAGCAGAAGCGGGACAGTGGTAAGGAAACTATGAGTTTTGTCTATTGCATCGTGATGTGAAAGAGGGGCGAGGGGGGGGGGAAGCAGATGGCCAAGAGTTTCTGTGCACTCTCCTGGAGGACCTGTGACTGGACCAAGGACCTGAAATCTTTGGCGAATCTCGAAATTGCTCCCCATTTTTTGGAAGAACGTAAGCGAAAGCTTTGATTTATATCCTTTCTAAACTTACTGTTCATGCTCCGAATCCTGTCCAAGTAATTCTTTTTTATCAGATGAAAGCGTTTAAAAACCTACGAGTGAAAACAGCAATAAATACTCGACTACTTAAAACTAATATTTAGAAGATATTGAGTTGCTGATTTTGCAGCAAAATCACGGAAACGTTACTAATTCAATCAACGCACAAAATCAAATAATTGAATGAGCTGCTTTCGCTGAAGTGAGTAATTTCTGGTCCGTACGAGTACGAGGGTTGCGGCAAAAAAAGTAATTTCTACGGGCATGTATTTACGCGCGTAATAATTATGATGACCAGCTTATAACCTGATCACATGCTCTACTATAAGGTGTAGACGAGCGGAAATTTAGAGCAGAGTGATTGTCTGTGGTCTAAAATAATCCAGGAATTGACGTCACTTCAATCGCGCACATTAATTGCTTTGAAAGGCTACCATATGCTAAGCTTTCGCTGAATGACCAAATATAATGTACCAGATTTCTTACTTCGCCAGAATCAGTGATCAATGCCATCGAGCAGCCTGTTATGCGAGATTTATGGTGCTATTCTATAAAAAAAATGTTTTTCAGTATTTGATCTCACAATCAGAGCATTGGTGAAGCCTTGAAAATTTCTACTAAACAAATGAAGAGTAAACAATATGTTTCTCATTTGCACAATGTGAGAGTCGTACATAGCCTAATAGTGACTTATTTATTTACAAATTCACTAGGCCAAGAAAATTGACTTTATAGACATTTTGGGCAGAATTTAAAAGTTTGATAATGGGTCAAGGAACACCGACCTAGGAACAAGAAAATTAGGGGGAACTTTGGGAAAATATTAATAAATCTGAGTTTTGATCTCATTCACTTCTTTTCACCTCATGTACGTTCTGCATAACAATTATGTTATTGTATTCGATTCAATCTTTGTAGGTAAATTATCAGCGAAGAATATATTGTAAGTTGATCGTCTTAGTTAATCCGATTTTGTTCCGTGAGTTTGTAAAACCTTCCAACACTTTATTTACATCAAGGCCGACAATTTTCTATAAACATGCTCGTATTTAGTAGACTTTCAATATTTAACTTCTGAGAGAGATTTCACACTTTGCTTAATTCAGCGTAAAACTTCGACACTTTCGAATGATACTTGGGCAATTTCGCCTGAAAACACTATTTTTATACTCTTCATCTAGTGAACATCAAGAAGCTAACCCTTATGTAATCGAGTACGGTAGAATAAACGAAGAAGTACTGTAATTCATTGTGTATACTTAGTGCACGTTGTCGTCTTATATCCATCACGATGTCCTTAACCTGAAAAGTTCGTAGTTTACCACGCTGGTAACTCCCCTCCCCTCTCCCTTCTTGAACAACACCAACCTTTCCTTCATATCCTTTGAAAAGCCTAGTGCAAACAGCATCGATTGCTACAAATGTCCCTGTTCGGCCAACTCCAGCGCTACACAATAGAGTCACTGATCCTGGCTGGAATGTGACCGATTCGAGCTAAAGTATCCGAGTAAAAATAAACGACAGTACTTCCAATTGCTGCGTCCATCTGATCAAACGGAGCACCATTCGACCACTAGTGGGTACGGCCTGAAACTTGTTTCAGAGGTGCCAAGTACTACCCGCGTGCCGGCGCCCGGTTACTGCCGCGTCCAGAACCACGTGGGCTCTCACAGTATTGATCGACGCCCCGACACGTCGCTGGCACGTCGCTAGAACGGAGCTTGCACACGTTGGCTTACCTTTTCAGGCCAAGTCGTGCAATGCGCAAGTCTAGTAAGTATCGAGTTTGAGCATCCATCGGGCAAAACTTCAAGTGTATACACATCGTACTGGTCCATATGATCAATCTAAGCGTAAAATCTCCATTTTTTCCTTTTTTCATTACTTCAGAAAAGCAGAATTACCCTTTTGTTGTTGACAAACATTTTTCCATAGTACTTATAAGCTCCAGAATCTGTCGGCCAAAACTCTTCACATGACTGCGTCCCTTCTTCGTAAAAATTGCAGAGCATGACTACACCAGCGCATTGTTCCTGAAAAAGTTGCAATCGAGTTTATGATTGAAAGCGAAGTAGTACTAGCCTGGAAAATCATTTTCCAAAAATCTTCTATCGTGTTGCTTTTTGGACCCTGCGTTAGTATAAATTCACGTTCTGCCTGTAATTTATTGTTTTCAATTTAGCGTTGGCCTTTTTGCGCCGTTACAGTACCGTAACGTAATGCAGGTTAGCTACGGTATCCCCAAGTGTCTGTAGATGTTGTGACCCATTTTGCAGACCGTGGTCTTTCATGATAATTGCAAATGTTCTTGTTTGTGATCAGCTAAGCAAACACATGACACACCTAGCACTAATGCCGGTCTTGTCTATCAAGGAGAGCGTGAGAAGATACGGTAGAATATGGACAGGGCGCAAAACGGGCCTAAACCCTTCGTATCCCTCTTCAAGCGGTAACAAATCTTACCTTTTCTAACTTGACTTTATTAGCGTGAATATAATCATTTGTGCTATCTTCTGAAGGTTGCAGCACTACACGAGTGGCGTCGAGGCATGGAACAGCCTGAATTACTTGTAATTTTTGAATTTTGTGGCTTTGTTCAAACTCTACTGGATATCGATTGAGTTGAGGACAAGCTTTGAACTTTTCATATGTTCCTGGTTGTGGTTTGAAATCGAGTACGGCACGACATTCTTTTCGTAGACCATCTATCCCGGCTGCAAAGTTTGTTGAAATAAATATGTTGAAAAATATTTGCGCCTCTTTCTCCCGTGGAATGAAACAAAGAAGAAGTCCGAACCTGTTTCTGTCGTGTATTTTATGAAATTTGATACAGCTTTTTCGACTTCTGGATGAACTGCCTGCGCTTTTTTCTGAAACTTATGATACATCCACTCAAAAATTGAATTTCTACAGCTAACCCTTCGCTCTTGTTGCGTAACGTCTATGGTAGTCTCCGCAGAACGAGTTTTTCTTTTTGATTTTTCCTGAAACGTGGATTGGTGCCGTAATCGGAATAGAGCCAAATGCACCACACCTCGGTAGAATCTAACGTAGTCTTTCTAGATCGTCGCCGACGTGCCTAAAACAGAATCTTGTGAATGACATTTCTAGTAGACCGCTCAACTTTGACCCTTACAATAAAGTGATAAGATCCAATATGATATCGAGAATTCATTTTTACGGCTTTCAAATCAAGTAGGTCTCTTAGATTGATTAGAAACTTTCTAAGAAGCAAATTCGTGTGGTAGATTATTTGATGCTGGGCTAATTTTGCGCTGGACACTCGGTAGAGAACGATAAAAACACGTTTTGGCTCCCACCTGGGCCTTCTTGCCATGTGGTTACGGTAACGCGCCTCTCAAGCAGGATCGAAGGGAGGCAATTTTGCAAAAACCTTAGTTATGCTTCAAATCTATGAAGCACTCAAAAGCTGTCATTTCTTATCGTCTGCTAACGGTAGTTGTCTTAGATCTTTCCGAACAAGCGCCATAAGTCGTTAGACGGACGATACCAATTTGCAAGGCCTCAGTAATCTCAAAAATTTGGCTCACCCTAGCACTTTTTTGTCGTGCTGTACCCTCTTCGGCAACGGTGGAAGCAGTCGCTGTGAGAGTATCTTCTGATGGCTTCCTTCGTCTCGTCTCTCGTCGAGATCTTCGTCTCTGAAGGATATAGCTGTCAAAGCTTCACAAGCAGGGAGTAAGCCTAGGGTACTTACTCTGAACATGAACGAACCGCACTCAGTGGTAACAAGTATATGAACATGCCAGACCGCCGTAGTGAGTGTTGCTTCAAAAAATTCTGATTAGAAGAAGAGTGAGGTTCTTTCCTGTGGTGTTGACCTCAAGATTGTTGCTTGGCCAAGTTGAGAGTAACCATCACTCAAAATTTACTACACGAGTCCGAATGGTGGTGTTCGCGTATTTGATGTCTTTCCAGGGCGATTACTTCATAACAGGAGGACGTAAGGCTTCCAATGATGGAGAGATTTGTTGCTTTCCATATCATTTCTGTTACAACTTTTGAAAGTAATTCAAAGATCCTGATCATCACTTTCATAAGAACAAGTTGGTGTTCTGCAGCGCCTTTCAAGATTAGAGTGATGATATGACACAGCATTTTGTAATTGATACTGAGCAATCGCTCCAGGAGGGTGAATCTTCTACAGCCTATAACCCTTGAATCTTTCATGTGCGCACGTTGACAATTTCTACAATACTGGATACATTTAAGCTTACTTTCAAAATTATTATCCTTAGCCCACATATTTGATGACTGGATTCATCGATGCGACTTCTGCCTTCTGGAACAACTTTGGAGCTATGAAGTCATCTTTTGCACTACTACTCAGGATTAGAATTTCACCATCAATTTGTTTGTGAGGTGCCGCTGAGTTCATAGCAGCACTGCTGGATGTTGCGAACGAATAACATCATTTACACCGCTCTGCTCTTGCAGAATTCATCAAGGCTAATTACAAATGAGGTGAGCACCTTTTGATGTCAAAACCTCTTAAAAATGGCATTAAACAACACTATTTTGCAGCGAATGAACATCAATACGTGCCACAATAGGTTCATTAGCATCCTCTTTCTCGTTCCGCAGTCATGGCACCATTTGTTGTTGCAGATACATAGGTCCTTAAAGGCAGCGTACACCCAAAATTTGAGTTGCCGAATTTCCTAGATCTTTCTACACCGTGTATATACTGGGCCCAGAAGAAGACCAACTGCGTTGGTCCGGTCTCCCAATGTTGCTTCTGAGCAGAGAAAACCCCCCTCAATTTTCTTTCACGCCGCCCCTTTTCTTTCGCTCCGCCTCCTCCGGACGAATCCATAACAGCGTAAGCTGCAATTGCAGTTGCAGTTGCTGTTGCAACATCTGTTGCATTTGTTTTGGGTGTACGCTGCCTTTAATGAGGATGTGCTGAGCAACACCATTCTTATCACGAATTCTTACGCTACGTGAACATCAGCACTTGCTGCCATAATGTTGACCTACGCCGCTTTGCTCCTGTACCAGTCATGGAGTTGAGCACCACCACTTTGCTGTAGCAGACACACAGATTCTTGAGGATGGTGTGGAGCGACACCATCCTCATCACGGATCTCTAAGCTGCGTGAACATCAGCACTTGCTGCCATAATGTTGACCTACGCCGCTTTGCTCCTGTACCAGTCATGGAGATGAACACCACCACTTTGTTGTAGCAGACACACAGATTCTTGAGGATGGTGTGGAGCGACACCATCCTCATCACGGATCTCTAAGCTGCGTGAACATCAGCACTTGCTGCCATAATGTTGACCTACGCCGCTTTGCTCCTGTACCAGTCATGGAGTTGAGCACCACCACTTTGCTGTAGCAGACAAACAGATTCTTGAGGATGGTGTGGAGCGACATCATCCTCATCACGGATCTCTATGCTACGTGAACATTAGCTCATACCGCCATAGTGTTGACTCACATCACCTATCTCGCGTACCAGTTATAGAGTTGGGTACCACCACTTTGTTGTAGCACATAAAGATTGTTGAGGATGGTGTTGAGCGACACCATCCTCGTCACGGATCTCTATGCTACATGAACATCAGTACTTGCCGCCATAATGTTGAGCTACACCACTTTGCTCCAGTACCAGCCATGCAGTTGAGCAATACAGTTTTGTTGTTGAAGACACACAGATTCTTGAGGATGGTGTTGAGCGACACCATCCCCAATAAGGACCTTTATGCTGCGTGAACATCATCATTTGCCGCCATAGTGTTGACTCACACCACCTATCTCGCGTACCAGTTGTAGAGTTGGGTACCACCACTTTGTTGTAGCAGACACAAAGATTCTTGAGGATAGTGTTGAGCGACACCATCCTCAACATGGATCTCTATGCTACATGAACATCAGTACTTGCCGCCATAATGTTGAGCTACACCACTTTGTTCCAGTACCAGCCATGCAGTTGAGCAATACAGTTTTGTTGTTGAAGACACACAGATTCTTGAGGATGGTGTTGAGCGACACCATCCCCAATAAGGACCTTTATGCTGCGTGAACATCATCATTTGCCGCCATAGTGTTGACTCACACCACTATCTCGCGTACCAGTTGTAGAGTTGGGTACCACCACTTTGTTGTAGCAGACACAAAGATTCTTGAGGATAGTGTTGAGCGACACCATCCTCAACATGGATCTTTATGCTGAGCGCCAACATTATGCCTGCCGCAGAGATGTTGCGCCAACTACACTTCGCTCCTGTAGCATTCATGGGTTGAAGTCATCTGTGCGATACACAGACCTTTGAGGCGATAGTGTTGAACATGTTTTGCTTCTGTAGTAGTCACAGGAGGAGCACTACCACAAGCCGCAATCGCCCGCTCTCAAGTCTGCGCAGAGACGGATGCACCTTTCTCTTCAAAATGGGTTCAACAGTTAGATTGGTGATCAATCACTTTGATAGGAAAATGAAGTTCAAATAATGCTATCAAGTGAGTCATGTCCAGTTCAATTTTTCACTAACCACAAAGGGGTCGGGCTTGGGCTGGTCGATGGTGGGGCGATCGTATGTGCAGGTTCTTGCTCGTGTCTCCTCCTCCTACACCATATAGAATCAGCTTTTCAGTGGGAGTTAGAATTTGGAGAGCACCATCCGATCAACAGCCCGAAATTTGCAACTTTTGGCAATGGACGATATGTTTTCATACTTGGTAACAAAAAGGTATGTCAGCAAACTAGAGTCTTCCATTCAGTATGCCCGTTTATTCAGACTACTAGAGATGAACAGATACATTATTCTACTTTCGAATTGGAATGCATTGATATCTTTCTCAGTGTAAAAACTCGTTATCTGATAGAAGGATTACAGGTTAGATGACTGACTGTCGCTCTATTAGGCTGTGGACTGTGAAGCTAAGACCACCAGATGACAGTGTGCCAGAACGCTTCTTCTACGCTCTCGCTATCCTTTACAAAATTTTGAACTTATACTGACCCAACCGCCCCTCGATGGGCAAAGAATGAAGTGGCAATTCGTTTGACTCGCCATTATCTCGGCTTCATTTCTCGAGTTTTGCTTAGATAGGTCGGTCCATCAAACAACCAAACAATGGATTGATTCGCTGCAAAAACCTGTCGAGACCGGGGAAAAAAGGAATGGGATAATGGTGAGAGGAAAATGGAAAAGGAAAAGGAACATTGGACGAAATGAGCATGAGTAGCTGTTTTCGTGCTGTTTCATGAGTAGTTCTGCTCAATGGTACCTAAGTGATGCGGCAGATAATCTCCCAACTTTGCGACTTTCAATCCGTTCTCAAATCTTCGCTGTGCAAGCTTAATTAAAGGCAGTGTCCGGGCAAAAACTTGATTTTGAGATTTTGTGCGTACTCGGGCCTATTCGCTATGCTGAATCCGAAAATCCACATTGAAGAGCACGAAAACGACGAAAAAGGGCTCTAACACTGGAGGGAAATGCAAGTGGGCGGGGTCTTCCCCACTGTGAATTCAAGCTTCCAGCTTCCAGAGCAATTCTCTCGAATCCGTTAGCCGCCCTGACATCACTACCGATCAAGTGCAAACGAATGACTTGAAACCGCAATTAAAAAGATCGCCCCCGAAGCTGGGAGCGTGAATTCACCGTGGGAAGACTCCGCCCACTTGCTGATTTCTCTTTAGTATTAGAGCCCTTTTTCATCGTTTTCGCGCTCTCCAATATGGATTTTCGGATTCAGCATAGCGAATAGGCCCGGGTAAGCACAAACTCTCAAAATCGAGCTTTTGCCCGGACACTGCCTTTAAATGGTCCACAGCTCACCACCACAGATGAACCGAGCCTATACTGATGATCGGTTCTACACTTCCTCTTTCTTCCTCACTTTAGATGAATAACTGGAGGTACTGAAAATTCGCTGAAGTGCAGACTGCACCATGTTCGCTAAGATTCATGAATTGTCGCAGTGCTACTATATTTTTTAGGATATCGGGTTTGTTTTGGGATTTTATGCGATTTCACCGACTTCTTTTATGCTCATTGATTACTCAGAACTGAATGCCAATGTGAAGCAGACTGGAATCATTGTGAGTACGGAAGCAATCAAGCATTTTGAAATTGAATCACATATTTAGCTGGACCAGAATTCCTTCAGAGGAGGGCACTATATTGAACGAACATATTGCGTGGCAACAAGTGTGGCGTTCTTTTTTGTGCACTGCGTAGTTGGTCAAGAGGAATGTGTCATTTTTGCGCCACCCAACTCTCGTAGGCACATAACCAGTTTAGCTATTCCCAGTCCTTCAAAGATCAGATCCATTCAAATTTTCATGCATTTATTTAGGACCAGAGACAACATTCTGCTGTCATCTAATCCCAAAACTGCCTTGGTCGAAGAAATCCGATCGCAACTGCTCTGCTCTTATTCAAGGAGTGAGGAGAACACCACAGTCTGTCTCAACTGCAGTGTCCCTTCTACATGCATCTACGCTTTGTGAGGGCCTCGTCTGCTGGCCTCCACTGTTGACGCCGACAGTTGAAGCCAAACACCAGCGAATGCCGTGCGTGACAATCGCGAAGCAAATGTGCCTTTGAGGGGAGACAATACCATTGAGACAAACTATGAACTTAATTATTTGTGCGGAATTACTATCTCTTCAAGGTAAATACCCAAGTATTCTCACAACATGGTGCTGCGCTTTCTCGTTGGGAATCACCGCAATTCATCAGTATCAACGAGTTGGCATTCTTCCTTGATCGAGGGCAGGGTATTTGCCCCGACCCCTTTACCATCGCTGTAGTTGACATCAGGTGTGCAGAGCTACAAGCGGCCTATGCTGCTGATATCGGGCAGGACAACTATTCCGATTCAGCAATAGTGCAGAATCTTTTCAGTACTGGACACTGGCGAGTGATTACGTGCAGCGCAGACAAAACCACCGGTTTCCCACGTGATCAGCATGAACAACTCCCAATAGACAGTACTGCACTACATAGTGTCAGCGGACAGGTTGGACTCCTAGCTGAATATTGAATTCTGCTATAGATGATCTCAGATATCCTTACTAACAACATATGGGCGCCCAGCCGACAGTTACTATGCCCATTTTGCTCGATTGCTACAACGATGGAGTCGTCACGTTTGGAGAGCCTTTTATTATACGGCTGATAATTTCTCATGGTGAGTTCGCTCAAACAACCCAAGAAGTTGACCTGTGCATCGTTCCCTGCAGGATTGCACCTATGTTTCTACACCTTGCCCTTGCAATGACTACCATGAGAGGGCGCTTAATGTATAACCCAGCGGCTAAGTGAGTGCATAGAATCCTTCACGGAAACAAATACCATTCATCAAAATTCAGAGTTGGAGTGCTAGACACTAGCACTTGGCAGTGGATCGAAGTTCACAACGTTAATGACTACTATTTCACCGATATAGTGATGTTTGACAACGGAGAAACTTTGATACATCAAACGGTATACCTGCTTTTCTTTCAGAAAAACAACATATACAGTCTTTTCAGGATAGGAACTGGAAATTCGAACATTACGACGTAGTACGGAACCCGTTCACTGTTCCCAGTCTGATATCAACCGCTGAGCTGAAGTCAAGGCCTAAAACCTACAACGAGGAACGTGAACAGATTGTGAAAAGGATGCGCTGGCCTTTCTACTGACCACCATATTAGATTGTATTCGAAAAACAAAAATTAAAGAGATTGTGTATGTTTATGTTGGCAATCTATACAAAAAAATAGGCAGGGTGAGATAAGTTGCACAAACATGACCGGATAATCAAAAATTAGTGATTACTAAGTGATCAAATTGATAAACTCGATCAGCGACCGACCCTTTGCACGATCCAATCCTGTTGACACAATGGACATCGGTTGTTTTGTCGTACCCATTGGCTCATGCAACAATTGTGGAAAGCATGATTACAGTCGCCCCATACCACGACACAGTCACTTGAGGATGCATCCGCTTGACATCGGAGACATTCTTCCATTAGTGGAACTCTACATATGGCACAAGTGTCGCAGTCAACGTCCCACGCCCATGTGGCTAACGCGTTCCATTTCTGAATGATTAAAGTTAAGACATGAAAACTGGATATTCAAAATTTGGCAGAAAGTGAAGTTTGAACGAAAATTCATTGAGATAAGACAGCTTTACGCCTGGGTTTGACTAGCTAGATTCCGAGATTGCATCTCCACTCAAACGATACAAATCAAAGTTTCGGTTGAGGAAATGAATTTGCAGGTGCTGGAGATAACAACAAGTCGAACACTGAAGAGCAACTTTTTTTGCTCATAACGACAGGACTGAGATAATGACTGCTCCACATAGTTGGCTCGGAGGGGATTAGATCACAGTAAGCCAACAATCTCAGAGTTCTCAAAGCGAAAAAGTTGAGAATTAGATGGATACTGGATCGGAAAAATTGTCAATCATGTGTCCCCACACAGCTTTGGTCTGCTATATGGAGTCCGTTGTTGTGAACTGAGATAAGACACTTTTATGAATAGAATATTGGAAACGGAGTTCATATTCTGAAAAGTCCTCCGAGATGTAACTTTCAAGGCAAACTATTAGGTTCAAGAAAATAATGTCATTTTTTCGGTTTTTTCTTCGTGTAAAATTGATATTACCCGAGAACTAAAGCATATCCAGGAACGTTTGTAGTGTACAAAGGCATATATGGGAGGGGCCCAGTACTACTGGGGGCGGAGTCTGCCATTTTCAATTTTCAATTTTTTCTTGGTTTCTAAGATGGAAAAAATATAGCAAGTGTACTGATGGATAAGTGCATGTGTCCTTCACAAACAGGAGCAAGTGAGAGGTTTGCAGGATTTTTTACGGCGAAAATCCAGTTTTTGGCACCACGAATTGCTCGTATGTTTTGGCTCTGAACTTTGCGCAAACCACAAGTTCTGCAAAAGTTCGGATGTCATCTTGTAAAGCTTCCTTCGCTCGACCGAATGATACCCCTCACATAGTTTTTTGGATTTGTCTTATGGCTTTGCTATGAAAAACGACATTATTTCTTGATAATCTAATAAAAGCATCGCGAGCATTCTCCGAAGCTTCCCCACTTCCCCACCCTCCTGAAAATCACAATTCGTAGGGAAGGGCATGCAATTTCTAATTTTGGTGGATGTGGCACAATCTTATAGCGGATAACAACATAGGTTTTTTGGTCAGTACCGACCCAATTTGAGAACACCATCTTTCTCCTGAAAAATGAAATGCATCTGGACTTTGGAATTTGCTTGAAACCACTACGAAGCAAGATCATCCGCTTCATAGAAGGCTAATATAGTGGGAAAGAGAATGAGACGGGATGGGAGGCAGCTCCAGCATACCAGGGAACTGAAAGCTCAGACTAATACGGCACTACTGTTGCTACTGCTAGGTCAAGACGCTTACTCCATTTTGACGAGAATGCAAGCTGAGTATTGAGCACTAATCGTCAAAACTTTTGATGTAAGCTATGTGGCCGGGTCGCGGAGAGTGAATAGCTGTAGCTCGTACATGCGAAGTACCTCGGTTTGTTCACATATTACAACCCTTTCCCCTTCCTAACCTAAAATAGTCTTGGGTGTGGTGCACCAAGCCGGCTTGACTATTGTCTTGAACAAAGTAATAAATTGCTGAATTTGACACATCCCTCTGAAAAGCAGTACTAGCAATCCGCATACGTTAACTGAATCGAGAGTCAATACATTACATTCAATAATGATAGCTCCGCTTGAGTTTGCTGATCTCCCAATCAATTGCCCATGCCCAAATCAGTTGAAACTTTATGCAACCTCAAAGAAATAGATAGCGCAAACTTAGCTAGATCCAACGAAAGAATTCTAGAAAACAGGGCCAAACCAATGCTTGGTCCCTTTGGTTCTCGGAACATTCTAGCAGAGATAATGCTTCTTTACAAGACGAAACATAATAAGAACAAAAACAATTTGAGCTCATGCTAAGCAACAACTAAGGAAATGGAAAAAAACCGAATTTCACCGTAACTCACCTTCAAAACAAAGGGCCTTGCTTCCGTAGGCTGAGGAATTGAGTTCGGGGCTGCTCCTAAACCTCGTACCGATGCCATCTCTACATCTGGAGTATTGGTACTTGACGTCTCTGAAGACATTCTGAAATGACAAAAACTCTGAGAAACAAGCGCAAAGAGACACGAAAATGTGAAAGACACAACTGTAAAATTTGTGCAGATGCTCAACAAAAAGATATTAAGCAAAAAGACTATGAAAATACTACATATTACTAAACTGAAAACTTCAGCAAACGTGAACTGTCAGTGACAAATATGATGGTCAACATTCCTTAGAAAGACATGAGATTCAGATTTAGGCGCTACTAGTTCAGCAACTCAGTGCGAGTTTACGCGCTCTAAAAGAAACTTATGCGAGCCGCAGCGCAATTTTGATGATTAGGGCACATCATGGCAAGACATTTTCGTAAAAGCAACGAAGTTGTCTTGAAAACATTTTCATTCGTTTTTGCATATATTTACATTATTGATTTTTCTTGTGAGGCGAAGTTTTATCTCCGGAGCACAATAGAATGACTCAGAAGCTTTTTTAAGTTTCAAGCGATCATATGTCACAGTTTTTTCTTCCCACATGTGATAACTTCGTGGTTCCAAATTCTAGAATGTTCTTCACGCACAGATGTCATTGATAATTTCGTGTTCTCTCACTGCAGTCAACTTCTTTCAGCAACAATGGAAGGTGGCATGACACCGATGCCTGGTGGCAATACAACTCAACCAAAATCAACGAGTATGATCTACATTTGTGGAGGTATGCTCTATCCATTTCGTTTCGTAAATCTGTGCCTTTCATTGTTTTTTATCCACCTATCTATAGAGTGCCATTACGAGAATGAGATTCGTCCGAAAGATGCAATTCGTTGTCGTGAATGTGGTTATCGTATTTTGTACAAGAAGAGAAGTCGCAAACGTAAGTCACTCTCGGTTTTTTCTGTCTATTCATAATTTCTTCTTGTTCTTAAGTGCTGTTCATCTCAAACGTGTTTATAAGAGTAGAAAATGCTTTGTGCACTTTGCATAAGTTCCTTGTACGCTTGAATGTATTGCTCAAACGAAAAGAGAAATAGGGTTGAGCCCTGCTATTACCTTGTTGGATCCATCGCTTTTTCTGCAATAGCCCATAGCTTTTACCCTATCGAATTTGACAATGGTTTTCAGAGCGATGAATTTATAAGTCAACGGTTCAGCTTTCTTCTCGCATATCCATTAAGGGACCCGTCATATTTCGCCGAAAAAAATCCCAAAAGCGCCCAAAAAGCCGGAAAAAGGCCGAAAATAGCCGGAAAGAGTCGGGACGCAGAAACGAACTCTTGGTAGAATTTTGACATTATAATGTGCAGACGACAGGAATTGAAGCAAAAAGACTCGGTTGTAAAATCAGCACACGTGCTTTAGCGTCAAAACGGAAGGAGCGCTTCGGCTCCTTCGGGCTTTTTCGGGCTTTTTTCGGCAAAGTATGACGGCTCCCTATGTACGATGTATCAAATTGAATTTTCTCTGGGTTATTTATGCAGGGTGTCCCAAAAGTATGTATACACTGTTTGATCGTTGGTATCTCTTTGCCCAGGAACTCTTTTGCCTAGCTCCAGGCACCATTTTGTAGAGCTGGCTTCAACTTAGATTTGCAGTATAGAGCGAATCACTGATCGCTATTCATTAGTGTAGGATTACGGTAAAAACTTCAAGAAAGGTTGTGAACCATTAGGGGCCCTATTCCGCCACAAAAAGCAAACCGAAACAACCAGAAAACTCTCACACCAGATCAACTCAAGCCCCTAAAACCAAATATGATGTTTGCACTTTACCGCAATGCCTCCTTTGTAAGTTATGTTAGGTAAACCGCAATAGCTGTTTTTGCGATACTCTGTGAAATCATGATTACACTATGTGAAGATCTTTGCGAACTCGTGAAAAGTTGCATAATAAAATTAGCGAGCGTGAAAACCCTAGTACACCACTTTTCAGAATTTTTGGGAGTTTTTTTCTTTCTTTTTTTGAAACGAGGTTAATTCAGAACAACTCTCTAAGCTCGAAGTTCCTACCGTCAAGAGCGATCGGTGATTCGCTCCATACAGTAAATCTAAGTTGAAGCCAGTTCTACAAAATGGTGCCTGAAGTTAGGCAGAACACTTCTTGGGAAGAGAGATATCAACGATCAAACAGTATATACATACTTTTGGGACACCCTGTATTCTGACGAATTTTTGCCGTTAAAATTTCAAGGTAAAACACATACGATCAAACATAGGTACATGATAATAAACCTCCACCGCTCCTGGCTCGCTTTATTCTTATCCATAACTTTGATTTTGATAGACAATGAGGATTTTCTTATAGGTGGCCTACCTTATTCATTTCTCTACTTTTAGTCATGGTCTACGACGCCCGTTGAACGGCCGTTTCGACTGCACAGCTGATTCCAATACTGGTTGTTGATTTTCTATTGTACAGCTGATTCATGTCATTCATGATTTTCCGTTTACAGTCGATTCCGGTATCTGGTTATTGATTTCCTAATGAAGTCACTGTGTGAATACAGATTTGTCCATTTTCCCTCATTTTCTGTGAAATATTGGTCAACACTGATTTGAAAGATATGTGCCTATTTGCATTCTAGATCAGTTGTGCATTAAGCATCCCATAAATCTGGAAGATTTGTGTACAGAGTAAATAGAGCAGGATAACATGAAATAAGAGTGTGTGGAAAAGTTCCAAAAAGAGTGTTTGCTGGTTCCACTATCTAATTCAAGCAACATGATTATCCACTTGTTCGAGTCCTGTATTTTCATTTTTAGTACCTGTTGTATCGATGGAAATGCTTTTTTTTGTTTGGTTGTTGTTGCTTTTTTTACGATAATTCTGGCTTCTCAGCTCTTGGCGGCTCTGTGCTGAAGAAGTCTACAAGGATAAAATTCGAAGAAGAAGTTCAAGTCTGAAGCCCCAGTGCTTTGGGTTGGATCAAAAATGACATAACGCCAAAAATCACGACTCAGAATTCCAAAAAAGAAGCCAATTTCTCGATTTGCTGGGAATGGAACGACTGGAGCATTAAATGCTGATAAGCAAACAGAGTTCGGCACGAGCTGGCACCAGGCAAAATTCAAAACAAAGTCCCTTTGATGTTGAAAATTTCGTACGAAGTCCTCTACCCTAACCTTGAACGTAAAACACCTTTTAAAAAAAGGAAACGTCGACTAAAGAAAACGTCGCAATCTTTGTGTATTTTCGGCCACAAAAACTATATCCCCTTTGCTTTTGTCCCAAGAACGATACCCAAGATGACCCGGTGCCAGCTATGCCGAGCCATCCCTTGTGGGAAGAAAGTGGTGCAAGCAGATTATTCAGTATCGCATAAGGTACAACGCAATTTTGGAACTTTTCATGACTATGCAAATATCACACTCTGTTATTTGCAATGACACATGAATATAAAGATGCTTTATTACAATTGTAACAAAAGTACGATTTATACGGACAAGGGCGGCGCCCGACCGGGGATGGGATGATACGCGCACGCGGAATGCGACTAGATGGTACTCACAATGCGGCGTGCAGCGATCAGACAGGAATTATGATGATTCTTTTGGGCAAAACATTTTACAATAACCGACGACAACTATCGCACTCAATACTTTCAACGCGTAACAATCTGGAAAGAGAATTCATTGAGATGAGGAACGCGGGAGGAGAAAGAAGGAGGAAGGCCGCCGCGGCCGTTTGTACCCGACACGAAAGATCAGAGACAATGCACGACGGACTCTGGTTGAGGACGTGGGGAGCGCAAGCGATCGGTGTCGTGACGACACTGGCGCCGCGCAGGGAACATATAAACACGTGGTGGCGAGGTCGCGACGTTTTCGAGTGTTGGGAATCCGTCGATGACGTCACAACGCTCGTGGGAATTCTTTCGGGAGAACGAAGCGCTATAAATACAATGCGATGAAGTGGCGGGAGGTGATTGGAGGTGAACACGGAGACGGACAGAGCCTGACTGATCGAGCACTCGTAGCGAGCAGCCACCGCGACGCGACGTCGGGCGACCGCGCCACTTGCCAACTACGAAGCCGGACGCGGCGCCGACGTTCCCATCGATGCTGCTGCTGCTCCTCCGCCACCGCCGAACATCGCTGGCAACTTCGGTCGCTCTTCAAGCTCTTTGTACTCCAGCTTCAGTTCCTTGGGAATCTGGAATCGGTCCATGAGAAAGCATTATGCAGCGAGTTAAATTGAAGTGAATATTTTGAAAAAATTGCTACATCATTACATGATATTGTTATCTAGGACCCGCATAAAATACATTTAGGCAACGAAGCATAATTATCTGCATGAAAAACTCAACAAACCAAAGGGAAGAAAACATATGTAAGAAATCCCAATAAAAAGGCATTGTGTTTTACCTTACGCCATTGCAACGGATCGAACACATTGTATTGTCCCTTTTCGTAAGATCCCGTTTGCTCCTTGACTCCGCCATATTGTGATCGCGTCAACCAGTTTCCTTCGCTCTTATGGAACCGCCAATCTCGTTGATACCTAGAGATTTGAAAAAGATGTAATCCATAACTTAGCAAAAAAAATATGTATCACAAAAGAAAACATTTGCACGCGTAACATTCCCAGTCATACAGCGATAGTTTATTTTGCTAAATTTTGCTCATTTCTCGTCCCCAATTTTCAGAAGCAAACGTATCCAAGCTCAACGAGGTGCTCTTTTGGGAACCATGGCGCGTGCAAGACATCTTTTCAGGGATAACACGACTTCTCTTCAACATGCCAAGCAGCAAATCGATTTTTCTTTGAGTGACATGTGCAATCTAACTACATATATTCGCAAACGAATGCATAAATATGTGAGAACACATACAGGCAAGAATGTTTCGAAGAAATTTCTTTAACTGAGAAAAAAGTGGGAAAATATATAAATCACTCACAATTCACATGCAGCAGCTAATTGATACACTTCTCCCGGGCAGTTGTAAAACAAGTAGAACAAAACATCTTCTGACAATTTGTTCAATTTTACCGGTGGTAACTTTTCCCGAATTTGAGCATTTGTCAAGTAGTCATCGGGTACCTGAAATACAACTCCTTCGCTCAAGTCTCAAAGGTATTAAGTTTAACCAGAATGTCCATGTAACAGGCAAATCTCACTTTCACATCCAATTCGTGCGGTCGGATCGGGTTGTCAGCCCAGGGACCACCGAAAGAGGTGTACAAATGCCGTCTGAAAATGAGATTCACACAGAAAGTCTCTTCAAAGATGTGATATGACACCGAAAACAGAAGCCAAAGATCGCCCTATACATAATTACTATATCATAATCTGAGCCGAAAGGCTGATACTGCACCACTACCTCCACCATACAACAATCTAGGAAGCTACGTGAAGAGTCCTTTCAGGGTTTTCTAAGTTCTGTTTCAAATCTGGGCGATGCAGCCGCTGATAGCATACAAAAATCGTTTTGAATACAAATGCAGCAAAAGTACGCTCGCTTCAGATGGGATGGTGGAAGGAACACAAAAACTTGATCAACAATTTGAATGCGGCTTGAACTTTTAGAAGCTGACTTGAAGAATGCAAAATTATGAAATACCCTAGATTGGTTGAGAACAGAAGAGAAAAATGAAATCATGCAAACTCAAAAACTACAAACAAAACGAGACACTTACTCGGAAAGGTTTAGATTCAATCCGAGCGTGGTGAGATCGTAGCCAAGTGCTAATGACACTATCGACGGATTGTCGACAGTGCGCAGGTAGGTGACAAGACCAGCCATGCCGAATTGATCCGCAAGCATTGTCGGAGGAATGTTCGACACTTCACCTTAACAAATCAGATTTATTTCTAGCATCAAGTGGGAAGCCCACCGATGACGCAGAGAACAAACGCAAGCGTATGCGTGTTCAAAATTTATGAGCGTGGTTATTTCAAATCAAAAACGTCAACGCTTATGACGCCAACTTTCGCAGTATGGGAAAAACAGAAAGTAAGAGAATTGAACAGAGTGCAACATGACTCATTCTAAATTTTTCACTTCAGTGAATAGACACAATATTGAAAAATATTAACCAGCTCTTCCTGGTCATATAACCTATCTATCTCTTCTGGAAATTGAAGATAGCAACAGCCATGACCCAAGACAGAATTTACACTCAAAAATGAGAAGAACTGCTAGAAAAATAACTCTACAGGGACTTACCATCCGGATGGGTGATGATACCCCGAGGTGGTTCGCCAGCCGGACGAACACCAAATGGATCGCTTGATGCCGCTGCTGCCGCCGCCGCTGCTGCTGACGACACTGGCATATCGTTCGCAGCAGTCATCTAAAGTGCAAAATCAGTTATGAAAAGGCTCCACTCAATCAGCAAAACTTATTCATTTTATTGTTGAGAAAAAGGCATGAGAACATCACAAGCTCATAGGAAATAGGTCATAAATACAAGCCTTTTGAGCATGTGAACAATCTAATGGCTAATGATGCTTAGTGTCATTTTATGCATGTCACCAGAGAAAGGAAAATCGAAATAATTGCAAAGTTCTGGCAAAAAGATAGGAAAATGAAACCATTGATTGAAAAAGTGGATGTGACGAAGCAAATCAGCCTCGATTTCTTCATACTAATGAGTGCCCGCTCGGCACCGAGGATGAGTCAAGACCTGGCGCCACGTGGCGCTCACAAAGAACCCTCTAGCATACTCATTTAAAGCCATTCATACACGTCAACACTTTTTCATGGAAAAACTTGTCGAAAATGATTTGACAATGACAGATCAATCAATGTTAGAGAAAGATCACGGATTTTTGTCAAAAAAAATAATTAGAGCCCAAGTGGCTAGATGGAAGTCAACGATTATAAGATGTTCCTCATGAGTGGTCGTCTAAGTACTACCGGTCCTGTCAAGTAGAGAAGGTTCTTATCCAGACAACTTTGACATCATCTTTGTAAACGAATGTTTTACTGAAGTAATTCGGAGGCTTGTGTGAAGGGGATTAATGCACAAAAACGAACAAAAGAGAATTCAAACAACAACGTTTTGAAGAAGTACAACTCAAATGATGAAATTTATAGTTGTTATTTTTTTTTCATGAAAAATAAAACTAAGCTAAGATAACGTTTGTTGTTTCACTCTGAATAATGAAAAGTTACCCGATTTTTAGCCTTTCACAGCAAAGCTGAACACCATCGAAAGCACTAGAGGAACACCAGCGTCAAGAATATCAAAAGCACAAGTAATTCGAGAATCCCTACGCAGTTTCGCCTTACGTAATCCGATTAAACAATGTTTGTTCCATCGCTGCGATAGCATCAATGCATGATGTTGAGATGTATGTAGCTACTACAGCACTTTTGACAACAATGATGTCATCTGTTCATTTGGCTCAGCGCATCAGCAATTGCAGAATTGCATTTCCTCTATGAAGAATTAAGATACAATCATTTAGTAAGTTGGACGTATGCACAAACACATGATTCTTTTCCAAGATGTAAAAAGCTAGAAGCAGTCATCAAAACTGAGATTTCAAAGAAAAGGGATAAGTAGAGATATGAGCACAATTTGACGAGTAAGAAAAGAAGGTTTGATGGAAAGTAGATCTGAGCAATAAGCAACGATAAAAATCAGAAAGAGAGACAATGAATGACGGACGAAAATTCAAACCAGGTATGACAGAAGCGCGCTGACACATATTGTGCAAACACTGGCTGTCAATAAATGGGAAAAAATTGCACTGAAATGAGTGCATTAGAAAGTAATAAGTTGCGCGGTTTCGAGACATAGTTTGCTAGGCAAACCACCATGGTTCATGCGAGCATGCTCAATGTAGAATTTCAAAAAGGTTTTTTCATCTCTAGTTTTCCTATCCCCAGTCAGTTCAGAGTGATAAAAGAGGGAAGAGGTATTGCGAAATTCCGTTATAGGTGCGACTCTTCAACTGATTCGAATATAATCGATAAACAAGACCAAAAAAATTGCGCAAACGTGATGGATTTTTAAGAAACGGCATACAATATTGGCCCACAGTTTAGACAATCTCAAGCATGACGATGTAAGAGATGCAATGACGCAAACTGTTCGAAAGCACATTTGTAAGCCCACATCCGACGCATAAAACGAGCAAAGGTACTTACCAATGAGGCAGGCGCTTGGGCTGGATGATCGCCGGGAGACGCTCCTGGTAACGCCGGGAAATCTTCGTTTTGAATTTGAAACTCCGGATTTAGTGACGCTTCCACGCCACGCATCAAAGTTGCTGCAAACAGAGGATAACATAAGATGTAATTGCAAATACTAGAAAAATAGCAATGTAACATAAATAAGAATGAGGTCCATAAATATAATGCTTGACTCGCTTAAAATTGCCCTGGTAATCCCGATTTTTTTTCATACCATCATAACTGCAATTTTCAGAAAGAGAGTAACCCTTTCATCGAGAAGCTATGAGAGAGGTGGACGCAAACGTTTGCTGTTTTCTTTCATGACAATAGCTCTAGCATATTTGGTATAACTGAAAAAAAGCGACCAAAACGTCTTCATATCATGGAAATGCGCTTTCGGCATAAACTGCAAAATTAATTCCAGAATATGAAAGCGAAGAATCCTTAATCACGTGGACAAACAAAGTTCGACTTCCAAAAGATGCATCAGCGAGCACTTAATCCTGGAAATAATGTCTTCCTCAGAAGCAGTGCGAAATAATGTGGAGAGGAGAAGGTTAAAAACGATTAGATTGATGGCGATATTCAGAAGATATTCGCACATAAATCGCATCTTTGCATCCATTCCTTGCAACACAGCGCGTATGTCAGCAATTCGTATATGGAAAAACTAATCTCAATCTCCCATCCGCACAGAAATTGTCAATCATACAAATCAATAGTGGACCGCCGATCCTTTGTTATAGTTTTGAGCTCTATGGAGTGCGCTTTGGGTTTTCATTGTAAAGCAAAGTTGAGAAAGCTGCACAGAACAGTGCGAATTTAGAACAAAGGTAAACAAGACGTAATTCTCATCTTCACTACAACAACAAACTTGAGTTCCGCTAACTGAGGATGTTCCTTCATAAAAAAAAACGAGGTATCCAGACTCACTCTAAACTTGTCTCAAATAACGAAAAACATGTATGACTACTTTGGAAATGAACCTGAGGAATCGACCATTTGTGACTGTCCTACTATTCGTCCCTTAGGTACCAAGGCGGCGCATGCGTCTCGCGACTTTGCGCCGCCTTTGTCGCCTTCTTCAAAGCAAATCTCGGCGCTTCTGTATGCCATATCAAAAGCAGAAACACGGCTACATTTAGACGGTAGCACCATAGAAAAGAACCTCACGACACAGACTACATTTTTCCTGCAGTTCCCACAATTTCTATGTTTATGTGGTTCCTGTAATTTGCACTCCTCTAGTTGCCGTCACCCATAGATCGCGGAAACGCAAGCCTTTCAAATAAGATTTTCAAACATGCATTGTAGGGAAACTTTCGCTCCATAGATAATGGGATCACAGGAATCGCAGAAATGAAAGTAATATCATGGTAAACGAACCCCCTAACTGAAGACTGAGAACTGAAGGAATAAAAGCTGGTTGAAGTAATTCCTTATTCCGCAATTCAGGACTTGTTTTGCCTTTCCCCAGGTCTAGTTTTTGTATCACGATAGCGTTGGTTGTAACAGTCAAATCAGCACCGAATTCAAAAGTTTCATCATTTTATGAAAGCAACAGAATCAAGCGGAAAAAAACCGAACAGAGAGTGGTAAGTAGAATTTCACGTCGTACTTCGAAATTCTAGAATCTTCGGCCGACTATACGAGTGAGAAAGGTTGGTTGAAGATGCACGAATTTGAATTTTCAGTTGGATACATAACTTAACTGTACAAAATCTCCGCTTTTAGATGACTGTCTAAGAACTCCACATCAATCAAAGCCTAATATGGCACGTCAGATTTGTTCAACATCGTCATACTAAGGATACAACCATCCGGATCAAACTTTTCTTTCAGGCCTCTTCTCCAAAGGAGCATAGCACAAAAGAGTGTGCTTGCGGTAAACCACGCTATCGAATACTGCGATACCAACTGCACTAGGGAAAAAAGGATTTCACCGTCGACAAATCAGATGCTTTATTGAATTTTTGCGGGTATTTGATCAAATCTTGGAAATGATTAGCTACTTTATGATAAAGCTGATTTCAAATTCCTGTCATTATAACCAGAGGTCTGACTTTGTCAGCTCACTTTACCAAAAAAGGAATAGAATTGAGACAAGCCTTCTAGAATACAACGAACAAAAATTTACACTGCAATCGCTCACTTTTTTTCAGATTAGTCCACATAAGCCGACTGACACCGCAAAAACTTTGGTTTCATGTGATTGAATTTTCTCTCAAGCAACACCCAATCAGTAACTCGTGCTATGAAGTGGCCCTACTTGCAACATCTCGGACAAAATGGTGGATGTTACTGAGGATTTGAGATGCAAAGAAACACGATCAAAATATAATGGAAACTTTTTAGAATTTCAGACAAGATGTGTAAGATACTTACAGCATAAAAACCAAAAACGAGCCAAAAATGCTCACCATAATCCATGGAAGGGCCCGTTTGTACAACCATCACAGATGCAAATGTAAACTACAACACACAGATGCAAATGTAAACTACAACACAAAAAAACACGCATAGGATAAAAAGTGGGTGAGGTGACTCTGGGCGCATGATTGTTCAATGCTATCGACGAAAAACTGATCTACCCAAAAAACGGTCAAGATCGAGCATTCGATGTTATCCGAACAGCCTCTAGATACAAACTGAGGCTTATACAGCCAGTCATACCGCCAGTCCAGTCATCAAACGGCTAATGCAAGCTCATATTATCTACTTAAGATTCATCCAAATCTTATGACCAATCCCATCGATTTTGATAGTAAAGCGACCCTAATTGGAGAAATTTATCAAAGCAGATGGTAATAGCTCAATAACCAAAATGCAAAAAAAATATAAAATGCTGAGATTTACACTTGCATACTTATAAGCTCATCTAGCCGTTGGGATAGCTTCCCAAGACTTATAATACATCTAACGACCTAATCTCTTCTAACGAGCATGTGTCACGAACCTTACATAGACAATGCTAAAATTTTGAAGGAAAATTGCATAGAACACCCACCATAGTTCGCTCGATGGTTGATTTGGTCCTTGTATGGTAAAGGGGATTGATTTGCCGAGAAGCTGCCACCGCTCGTCGTTGGCAACGGAGAAAAACCGCCTCCGGACGGGGTGCCTGAATTCAAGCTATGCACATAACATTCGAATTGCCTGTCTAGTATAACAAATGTATAATCAATCAAGCATGTCTAAGGCAACGGAATTTGCTTTGTGAATTACGCTCGCGCACGAGGCTTCCTTTTCAAGCATCCCGTATGTTCTATGCAGCAAAGAGACTTGTGTGGATTACCTTAGATGGTCACAATGACGTATCCAAACAACATGCAAGAGAAAAAACGCTAGGGTGAAATGCTAGCAGCCAGCAAAAGCAAATCTAATTCAAAAAACTACTACCCTTCCATTTGTGATTATTACCATATTGTGACACACCGTCTTTTGAGATGTATTCTCAAATAACTGAACAAATGTTTAACTGTAAGAAATTCCACTACAAAACACTGAGCGTTTTTGCACACCTGTACTGATTACGGCATGATTCGGGTAAAGAGACTATAAATGCTACTTTACCAAAATGGTTTTTTTTTTTTGGAAAATGCGATTAACCCGCAAGCGATACAAAATTAGACGGGAAAAAATTGTAGAAAAACAAGATTCTGACGCGCAAGTTCATAGAACAATTCGTTCCACTAAAAATTCACAAATTAGAGAAGACGGAGGAGTAAAAAGACCAGATTTAATTTCCTCGAAAGTACACCGAATCTGCTGACAAGATGTATAACACTGCAAATCGCTGAAACGATCGAGTGAGAAAGGAACTGGCTTCGAACCGGGCAATTATTACTGGAAATGAGGCGCATCTAACAACTGCGGTTAATGCCTTTTTGCCATCAATAACCGGTTTATATAAGTACGTTTACAATTTTCTTTCGCTGTATACTCTGTATTCAGCAAAAACTATCTCGAGTATACTTGAGCAGAATGAGTAAAAATGAACTGAACAACTCACTTCGCGCCCCCAATGATGGAAATTCCGTTTCGTTGATAATGGTTGAATGGGTTTGTGAGCCAGTGGGCAAGGCGAAATTGATTTGAGTCGTTGATCTTCTATCTGTTGCTACACCGCCTCCTACAGAACTCATACAGAGAGAGTGATGTGTGAATGTCGTTTGGTCAGCTGAACATCCACTAAAATGTGTTTGAAGGAGTGATGCCTGGCATTTCTGCGAAAAAATGCGTAACGAACGTGTAATTACGATAGGATAGATCCAAAAAGGGCTGAAATTTGGATATGAGGATAATCTGTAAGTGAAGGAAGATTGCAGAGTAGAATCAGCTAGGTTTATTCTACAGCCGAGAATTACAAAATTGAATACTCCTGAAGTATTTCTGCGAGTTCTGATTTCCGTGCTTCGTGATTCCTTTTCCTGCTATCCATGGAGCGCGGAAACTCCCATCAATACAATGCAGAACTCTGATGACAAGCGATTATTCTTATTCTATTCTGCTCTTACGTAATCAGTCCTTCTGCAAATGGGAAGAGGATTCCAAATGTCGATTGCCATGCGAATCAGCGTTGTCATTATTGCGCAGATAGAAGTATCCGCGCTCCACGGGTAACAGAAACACAAGAATCACACACGAACAATATGGCCACTTTAGTCATGATTTTCAACTTTCGAACGAGAGTGTCGAATGTTGACGATCTCATAAAATATAATGTAGAAGCAGACACCAATTAGTGGGCAATAATGTCGTGACCTCAAAAAAAGTGACAACGTTGCACCATGTGACGCATACGATTTGTTTGGTACGTCAGCATTACCGTACAAATGTCACGTAAAAGCTGTGCTGGTGAATATTCTAAAAATGGAAAAGTTTACAGAGTAGCAATCGATTTACTGGTGCTTTATTCAATTCATAGCGTACTCTAAACAACTGAACGGGTGAGATGATAAATATTGAGGTGAAGAATGGAAAAGTTTCTGGTTCAACTGCAATACAATCCGGATTTCCATTTGATAGGATAGGGTAAAAAGACCCTCTTATCACTCGAGTATGTTTTCAATTTTCTGATTATGAGAAGTACATGATATAAAGTCAGCAAAACTATATAACAATTTTGCCACTCAAATTAGATTTCTTCAAATTTCTGCTTTGAAAAACAGCGCCAAACGTAAGAGCATGCTTTTTCTCGAGAAACTTCACAGAGTAGAGCAGTTCGCAACACCCATATGTTTGTCTTCGTTATCGATCAAATTGAAAAACCACGATGATTGACAACAAGTCGAAAAGGTCATGTGTTCTTCCTGCTAGTAAACAGAGTTTGTGACGTCTTTCTAAGACTATAAAGTACAGCTAGAGGGATTTTATCGATTAGCAGCGGAGAATCGATAAATGGTACGGCTGCCGTCATAAGTGCCGCATTGACGACTGCGGCGACGACGTAAACGAAATTATTCACAAGTCGATGATGAGAGCACGTGAAGTGGGAACACGCGGAGTTGTCACATGTCTGTAGAGGGTTGTGGATATACACGTATACACAGTTTGTAATGTTTGGGTATAGATATAGTATGTATAATAGACGGGACAGCAAATAGCGAATAGAAGAGGCAGAACACAGCGATCATACTTAGTGCCGATAATCAATAAGAAATTTCGAGGGGATGGTCCTGGATCGATTCACGACGGGTTTGCTGGAGACGGGTTTCGATACCCGCAAGCCCGCAAGCCGCGGCAACCCGAGGGGACCGGCCATACTATTCCTGCTATTCCTACGACTCCTGCGAATCCTGCGATTCCCGTGAGTCCCGCACAGTTTAGACGCTGCTTAAATGAGCGCGTGTTGCGTAAAACAACACGTAACACGCAACACGCGCTCATTTAAGCGGCGTCTAAACTGTGCGGGACTCACAGGAACCGCAGGAATCGCAGGAGTCGTAAGAATAGCAGGAATAGTATGGCCGATCCCGAGCGGATGAGCTGGACGACGACGTCGCCGCGTGCGCGGACGACAGCGAACTTCGTCACAAGGCCGCACTCTGGCCTCTCCGCTCACATAACGCGCTCTCGCGTCACTCTAGCCGTTGCGCGTGTCACGACCCTCCACATTGCACACACTCTCTTTCATACGCGACGCTCGACGGCGGCCTCGTCGCGTGCAAATCCCAGATTCCGACGCGACTTGGAGCGCAGAATCTGAGAAAAATTGTGCTATCGCAGACAAGCAAGCTTACTCGATGTTTTAAGGACTAATTGAACTGTTCTTTCTTCTGTTGTCCTGCTTGGAATCTCTATTTGCTGCGCTTGTACTCGGCTTAATTTTTGTTCATGCTGAACCATTTGGAAGGAAATAATGTTGTGGACGAGATTTGCATGTTTGATGCTCTTACATAGCTCGACCGGTGCATCTGTATAACTGGGATATCATATTGCAGGACTAACAAGCTGCTATCATTTGTTTGAAAACTAAAGGGCCTGGCATAATTCACGCGATTTCAGTCGCGAGGCGATTTGGCAATTTATCCAGAAGTCTTCGGATCCAAAACCAGCAAACTGTGCATGCATAGTGTGTATAAGTTACGTAAACTGATGAAATGCCCTATCTTCTGTGCTTGTAAAATGTGCTTGCAGTGAGTTATGGACAGTTGAAATATTGCCAAATCGCGTCGCGACTGACATCGCGTGAAGTATGCCCGACCCTTAAGAGAGCAAACATTTTGCAAACAGCTTCGCAAGCTCAAATTTGTTCTCCTTTTCATTTGAGGTTCTGAAACATCCAAGATGTGATAAACAAGTTCTAACTTGTCAAGTGCCATGCGCGCAGCGCTCCCAAGTCTCCGAGTTTTGATACGTGATATTGTTTTATGGCGTTGTTTTGCTTGAGTACTCATTTTGCTCGGTGATTAATCTGCCATGGGTATTCAAAAGGAACAAAACTTTATGTAAATCTATATCTCATCAGCTTCGCTAACTTTCATAACCTCAGCTTTCACTGACAATATTTCGGAGGGACTGCACCTTCGACGGGAAGCGAAATGCTCAATAGATAGTACTGTAGCTATCGCGGTGGGCGCAACTTATTAACATGCGTTTACAAATGAGGGATTAATGTATAGGTGTAATGGGCTCCGTCTGATTGCGAGGGCCGATGAGTTTGCAGCCATTCCACGCGCACCGAGCTTTCTTAGTCTCTTTCTTCTTTTAAAGTCAGTGTCCGGGCAAAAACTCGATTTTGAGATTTCGTGTTTACTTGGGCCTATTCGCTATGCTGAATCCGAAAATCTACATCGGAGCGCGCGAAAAAGACGAAAAAGGGCTCTAACACTGGAGGGAAATCAGCAAGTGGGCGGGGTCTTCCCCACTACGAATTCACACTCCCAGCTTCGGGAGCGATATTTTTGATTCCGGTTTCAAGTCATTCGTTTGCACTTGATCGGTAGTGATGTCAGGGCGGCAAACGGATTCGAGGAAATTGCTCTGGAAGCTGGAAGTGTGAATTCACAGTGGGGAAGACACCCCGCCCACTTGCTGATTTCCCTCCAGTGTTAAAGCCCTTTTTCGTCGTTTTCGCGCTCTCCGATGTGGATTTTCGGAGTCAGCATAGCGAATAGGCCCGGGTAAGCACAAAATCTCAAAATCGAGTTCTTGCCCGGACACTGCCTTTAAGTCCTTTTCTGCTATCAGATGTTAGCTTCCCATCACCGTATTTTGAGAAGTACGGGATTTCAACTTGTTTGAGGCCCGGTAGCATCCTGCGTGTGCGACGGCCGCAAATGCACCGATTCTTGCGATCACGCAAGTCCTATACTGTCCACTCTAGATTCATTGCTGCCATCCCTGCTTTGCGTCTATGCTCTGCTGTACACATTGCGAACATGTAACAACATGCTTGCAACATGTTGGCTACTCTTGGCCATTGCTTACTAGTTTCATCGCGGACATGTTGCTGCATGCAACATATTGGCCATAATTGTCGTCCAGAGACACAGAGCATAGGGTCAGCAATTTGAAGTCGACGATATGGTGTTATCCTTGTTCTACTTCTCTGACTTACGTCGGCTAACATGTTTGCAACATGCAGCAACATGTTTGCCACTGCAGCAACTTGTTGGCAAATTGTTTTGGCTGTTGGCTTTACCACCGACATTTTGCTGCATGTTGCCAACTTGTTAGCCAGCGCAGCGTGTCAGAGACGTACAGCAGGATAAACCGACAATCATGAAGCAATCATGGAGCCTGCCATATTGTCGCATTCGTGCTGCAGCTACCCTTGGTCTCTGACCTGCGGCATGTATGGCTAACATGTTGATAAGTGGTACAACATGTTTGCAACATGCAACAACATGTTGAAACATGTCGTCGATCAGCCTCAGGCCTCGGGCAGAGTTCACACTATTTCATCGTCGCGCCGTTTTGCGACAAGACAAGTGTTACGAGTTCATTGCATGCCGACCTTCTTGTATCTCGGTTGTGATAGTTAGTCACGATTAGCCGTGTTGGAAAACTATCACAACAACCGAATTGCAAGAAGTTCGGCATGCAATGACATTGTTACAGTTGTCTTGTCGCGATGAATCGCGACGATGAAATCGCGTGGACTCTACCCGAGGCATCGAGGTCAACATGTTGCTGCATGGTAGCGAACTGGCCACGCGTGCGCAGGTCAGAGAGTGTAAGGGCAGCAGCAGCTGGAAAGGGCGATATGTCTAGAATTCAAACAATGTGGTTTTTTGGTGCAGTTGCACCACATTCCTCCAATTCTTCCCAGTTGCTTTCTGCCGTAGAAAATGAGGAGTGCTGAAGTAGCGTTCAAAGATTTATAATCAATATAGACTACCAACTGAAAAAAGAAATGCAGGGCTTACACGAAGTTAATGGAATGATTGTCAATTAGGGTTTTTCAACCCAGCCTATAGAATTTTATATAGATTGGTTGTCAATTAGAGCTTCTTAACACAGTTTTTATATTTTCATGGGCTTTAGTGATGGAGAGTTTTATAATTTCTGTGTTTTATTACTTCGCTAACCTAATTGTTTATCGTAGTATAAAACATCTACAGCCTCCATCACTTCCTCTTAGGTTTTAGACATCTAGTTCCTCTTGTTATTTAGCACGTCTTCATAGCAATAACAAGAGAAGTTAAAAACAATCTTCATTGTCTGCCGTAGCATCATTTTCTGCATTCGAAGGTCACGCAATCTGAGGTCTTGCCCACAACTATACTGTGTCTTACATCCTATCATCTGTCACAGCAAGAAGTTATTTCTTTTGTCCATAAACTATGCGTCTGAAAGGCACTGCTCAAACGCTGCGGTTGCCGCGCAGCTCCAGCAAGCACTATCTGCGATGTCTTTTGCTAAACTCGTCTTTGGCTTTTATCCAAACTCATTGTGCGACTTCAACAGATATGGATTGGATTTATATCATTATCGCTTTAGAATGTGTATAGGCGATTCATATTACGCAAAAACTGCGGATGTATTGGCGTCTCTCTGTTCGAGCGCTCTTTCGTCTCTCTCCACCTTCTGCTGTTTCTCCCATGTACGAACTATCTTGGGCCGGACGCAAAGATGCCCAGTCTTTGCGTGTCACGAGTCGTGTATAAATACGTATCTATCAGTGGCGGTCCCAGGATTTCGGACCGGGGGGAGCGGCAAAATTTTTTTTCAAATGAATGTGCGTGGCGTCAGCCACGCACTCCGAAAATTTTTTTGGGGTGCTTCTCAAAATTTTTGCGGGTCCATAACCACCCCTAAAATCTTGAAAAAGGGGGCGTGGCGCCAACCACGCCCCCCGAAAAAATTTTTTTTACAGGGCTAATTTAAATTTCCAGAAATTATTCCAATTAATCACAAAAATAAACAAGTCACTTGCACATTTTTATAACCCATGTAAGTAAATTTCAAAAATTTCGCGACCCGTTCTCGGGGGGGGGGGGGAGGGCCTCGGTCCGCCACTGGTATCTATCCATCGTCGATTCGTTGACCGCACGAGCTGCTCAAACGCTGCGGACGCGTGCGCTGCGGCTGAATTTTCGCGAGAGCACGACTTGTGCAGTGGCGAATTTTTACTGGAGCAAGCGTTCAACCTCGCGGCGCGTGCTCCGCAGTGATGTCCAGTCCGTGCGGTTAACGAATCAACTATACATGCTAGGTTTTTTCACAAGATTTTTTTTACGCAGTTTTTTGCAGGCTTTTCACCCCTAGCTCCTGTTCAAACAACTTTTTCTTGTATTTTTTACGTTCTCCTTTCTCTGTGTGTCGCCTCGTCAGATGTGTAATGGCCAGGATAAGTAAACACTACTGTTCAGGGCGTCGAATATCGACGTACCTCAGGCTTCTCCCGTCGGCAACGATGCCACTCCTTTATGGAGCTGTTGCTAATTCTAGTTTGAAGTATCGATTTGTTATTGCTGTTCTACTTGTATATATTGTGTATTCACACTGGCGCCATAATAATGATCTCTTAGCAATAATCGAAAAAGCTGGTAAGTGTTATATGACATTGTTTCTTTTTTTTTCTGTTTTCGTACAATAATTGCTATTTTTGACTGACTACTTCGAAAGGAGGTTCATGAGTTGATGGTGACAAAACACATGGTATACTTAGTGCTCTTGCGCTTGCGACACTTGCGGTTGAAAAATTGTCATCGCCAAGTACATATATGTGCGTTCTAAGGCTGGCCAGACTTCGCTCAAAAGCGCCCAAAAGTGCCCAGAAGCGCCCAAACTTCTCTGACCTCTCCCCGCTCGCTCTCATCTCTCCTCACACGAGAAAGTGAAGAGACAATAGAGAAATCTGGGCGCTTTTGAGCGTTTCTAGGCGCTTTTGAGCGAAGTCTGGCGAGGGCCTAAGCATTCTCTAAGCGTGATTTTGTCTGTTTGAGCATTTTATTCCAAGAGTTTTGTTAACGCAGAAGCACTGTATCAAATCCACCAGAAGACACCTCTCTATGAGCTGAAGAGGATTCGAAGTGCAAAGGGGTCTTTTTTCGTGCTAAAACTGTTGTTCAAGCGGTCTTTTGGAATGTGCAATAGAAGCTTAGAATCATCAGTAAAATAAGCTTTTATTATGCTAACAATGATTGTGTTTGCCATTCTCCATAGTTCGGTTGCACTCATGCAGTAGTTATAGCAGACACTCATTATGGGTAGCACGCCAATCTTTATCTTTTGAAAAGCAGCCTGTATCCAACTAATCATCTTCGTTTAGGAACCGATTTAAGCACATGTCAGAGCTACGCCGAAAGTTTAGTGGCCAAATTACGAGGTAAGCTCTTTTTTTATGACCGTAAAGTTGTCGTTCGAGTGCGTTTGGGTCCTCTGAGGGCTGCGTTGCCTGCCAATCATAGCGATGTGTTTTTCTCCCACTTGTTGAAAGACATATGTTGGTGAAACAAAAAGTTTGAGGAAAGGGGTGCAAGATCTCTGCCAATGTTATGGATTTCAGTCGTATACGAGCATAAGAATAGAATGGAGAAGATTTTTACTTCAAGACGAGCTATTGCTCAAGGGAAAATAAAAGGTGGTAGCAATTACATTTTATTCTCTACATGTATTTTCACTTTTCTTTTTCAGCAGCAGAAGGTATGTGGCGATCATGTGAAGAAAATCTGACCATAGTGGTGGTAAGTATCGGATTTCAACTGCACGATACTGATACCCTAGAGAATTTTGTTAGCTAGATTTTTTTGATAGAATTTGCCCTTTGAATCTTGAGAAGTTTTTTGTAAGGGTTATTTTTTATTCCTAAACTAATCATAAAGGAAGCGAAGTAAATGCAAATATTTTGTTGAATTTTTACCTTATATTCTATTTAGGCCCAGCTTAGTGAATGCCAAATTGGTAGAGCAAGACAAATACCTAGACCGCCTGACGTAGAGCTGTCAAAGCTTCAAAGTGAGTTCAAGTCGCCAGGTTTTGTCGTCTGTACAGGGCTCCTAAATTGCAGAGTCGTTTGCACCAGCGGTCGCGCGACCGCGTCGCGCCCGTGCATTTTGCCGGCGACGGCGGCATCGATCGAGGCGGCGCCATTGATGCCCGGCCGCGACGCGGTCGCGCGACCGCTGGTGCAAACGACTCTGCAATTTAAGAGCCCTGTTAGCCCTGTTATGTTACATTAGATGTCCATAAATCAGAGCGTTCCATAGCAACTGTTGAATATTATTTTGCCTTGAAAATCGCGCAAATCAAGAATTTTTTTTTCAGCCGAAGTCAATGCTTTGCGAGCTGTGAATGCAAGCCTGAATGTGAGTAAAATCTTATATTATTAGAAATATTCTGTCGCTATACATGCATTATTACAAGTTGTCGGTCTGGATTTTTTTGATCCAGATTACTGTTTGCCGGCTTTACCTTTAAGTTCCTGGCCAAGTGGCAAGAGCGGGATGTATCCTCTGTCGCATAGGCAATGTCGCCTCCCGAGCGGTTCGAATCTCGCGACCGCTCGCTTGATCTGCACCGCGTTTGCGAACGTATGCTCTGGTCATTCTCCCACGTCTGAGCAATGACTGAAGCTCCCCTTTTGAGCCTTTTTTAAGCTGAGAAAGCGAACTGAGACGTTTGCGAATACGCTGCAGAGCCTGAGCGAGGCGCGCGGGAATCGAGCCGTTCAAGACGGCAACACTGCAAAGGAGACAGAGGGGGTATATGCTTAAACGCGCTGACGCCATGAGCGCCAAATTTTTACTCAATTTGTGCGTTACATCCTTGATTTTTCGCCTTGGAAATCATCGAAGTGGACACAAAATGTTGGAGACGTATAGCACGCTTTGAATAGAATTATTCCAATGGTCAATACCACTCACCGATCACGGAAGTAGAATATGCTGTTTGGTGGGGAGTGGGGGTTATTTATGCGCACTTTCGTGTCGCGGGTGGACATTTGTAAGGACAACATGTCATGTGCTCGCAGAGTGCACAACCAATAATTGCACCCTTCGTAAACAAATTCCTACCTCGAATACAGCTGTATCAATTTTTGTAAGGGTGGTGTCACCTTTTTTTCACAGCGCGGATATTCGCATTAACAACTGCGTATGTCTTTAGCGGATAGGATTTTTTTGCATTATATGTATTCGCAACATAAGCAAGGCGCTATCTGTTCCAATGGCAAGTGTAAATAGGAGGAAATTGAGAAACGAGGAAATATGTCTGATTTTTAGGAAATTATACTTCGGAAAGAGGAGGCTATGCAGAGTTGCAGTGAAGAAATAAATCGATTGAAAGTGAGTCTGCTCATTGTTACTATATTCATCTCTATACTTTTTTTTACAGAAATCGCTCTCCACTTGCGAGGACACGATAAGCAAATATGTCGGTGTAGGTTTTTCACCCTCAAATCAACATTTAGCTTTGATAGAAAACACTTTTATCAAGAAAAAGGTGAAAAATCACATATGTTTCACAGAATTTGGGAAAATTCGTTGGTTCAATGCAAAAAACTGCAACAGAGCTTTGTGAGGCAAAGCAGTTTGTTTTTGAACACCCATTTCAGCCATAAGCAATTACGTTGTAATTATACATTACCATTATATGGGTACAATGAGGTAGTGTCTTGATCCGAAAATGAATTTATCGTAGGAAGAGACCACGGTGTGGCATTACCGTAACCGGGCATCAGTGCTGCCATTGTAGATGGGCCTGCATTTGCGTATAATGTCTGTAAATGGACTTGGTTCTATAGTTCGGATCTCATCAGAAGGTTAAAGTTCTTTCTGAGAGCATATGCGGCCTTTCGATATTGTTTTGTATCGGAAATGCACATGTTATGCTAGAAAAGAGGTTTGCGTCAAAAAAAAAACCGTAAAAGGAGGAAATATTCAGGAAATCGTATTGCTACTAATGCTGCTTACGAAGTTCGAAAATTGCTTATCGCAGAACCGCGGTGCAAGGGCATCCTAGTGCGTGCACCAGAAAAGCGCCTTCTGCCGTTCCTCCTTCTTCTCACAAAAAAAGTCATACTCTAATATATACTAATACTTGATATACGCTATACGAGCAACAAAAGTCCAGCTTTCTTGTTCTTACTCTTCTCAGCAACAAAATATTTTCCGGAATACCGAGAATCACGACACCTTCCTTGAACTGCATACTTATGTTGTGACTTATATTGGGATTAAACATATGCGCCTCACAAATAGTTTTATAATGATTTCGTATGTCTATGCATCAGTATTCTGCAAGTTTCCTCAGTTTGTTCGATCGCAAAATCTGCAGAACAGAGAGAAAAGCATTCCAAAACGTATTCGATGTAGCTTTTCTCTTTTCAATGGGTTTATTGAACAAGATTTTCGATTTCCATTATTCTTCACTGGAAGTTCTGGGAATTTCGATAAGCTCAAGAATTTCTAATCCATCGCAAAAAATGTAAAATATGGGTAAGTAGAGAAACTTGAACTTTATAACACCCATTCAACTTTTTTTTCTGGAATTGACACGATCATTTCGTTGAAAATTTCAATTTCGAAAAAGAAAAACGTACAGTATACTAGCGAAAATGTTCCTAATTCAAGGTAACCTTTGATTTAACAGGCTTGGCGACTCGCACCCACGATGCAGTCTGCGTCTCTTCCGCGCGCGTGCTCTTTGATCATTACCTGGCCTTAATTAGGTCACGAAGCCCTGCCTTTCAGCCGCCAAGCCGTTTGAATCAAAGTATATTAGATTGATGGTCATGTGTTCATTATAAATATTAGGTCGTCCCGAAAATTCTTGCGCACGATTTTCAAAAATTCATAACTTCTGATTTTTCCAACCGATTTGGCTGCTTTTATTTTTATATGAAAGAGCAGGTCATGATCTTTATAATGACATCTTAGCTGCTTACTAGTAGTCGTCTACTGCATAGATAGGAGCGGTAGAATAAAATTGGTCAAAATTTGAAGTTTTCGTGTAGGGTCATAAAAAATCGGAGACTTGCTACAAAAATCGGAACAGTCGGTATTGTAGGTCATTTCACCACCTCTTTCTAACAATGCAAAGTTTGTGCCGATTGAGCGTTTTTATGAAAAGTTATGATTTCCCTGAAAAATGCCAAAATAAATCAAATTCGCCCTTTTCTATTGCTTGCTCGAAAATCGTAACTTTTCATAGAGACGCTCAATCGGCGCAAACTTTGCACTGTTAGAAAGAGCTGATGAAATAACCTACAATACCGATTCCGATTTTTGTTGCAAGTCTCCGATTTTTTATGACCCTACACGAAAAATTCAAATTTTGACCAATTTTCTTCTATCGCTTCTATCCATGCAACAGATGATCATTAGCAAGCAGCTAAGACGCTTTTATAAAGAACATGACTTGCTCTTTCATATAAAAATAAAAGCAGTCAAATCGGTTGGAAAAATCAGAAGTTATGAATTTTTGAAAATCGTGCGCAAGAACTTTCGGGACGACCTAATATATCAATCTGGCTTTATGAGGCTCTTTGTCTATATTTTTGACTAGGTTTTTTTTCAACATAATTGTTGGAAATAAGGATCTGATTTAGCAAAACTAACCACAAAAGCATTGAAAATATTGCTTAGTGGCGATCGCTTTATAAAAGGCTAGACAAACGCTTGAAAAGTCTTGGAGCTTTCGGCGCGCTTACAAGACCATCGAGAAGCTAACCACATACGCTGCATACGATAAAAGCATGCCAGCAGAAGGAAAATGGTGGATCGACTTTCACCTTTAAATTTTATGAAAACCCCGAAAAATTTTTCGCTGTGCATTTTCGTAACTTACAAGAAAAAGAACCCGCAATTTTTGCGATGGGTTTTTGGACACGTCAGTTCTCTATGATGTAGAACCATTTCGAATGTTTTCACCTAATCCTACAGTCATAAAGAGAGATTGGTGCTGAGTGAGCTCCATACTGTCAACACTGGGGATATTTGCTTTGAATGGAAAAATACCTCACCGTATCGAGCCCTTTGTTCACAGAAGTCATGTACTGCTGTTCTGGAGGTGGAATCTCTGGTTCGCTGTTATTGAGCTGCTTTACTTCGATTGCTTTCGTGTCCTGAAAGTTTTCCAGATGAAATGAGGGCGTTTCATTGCATAACCTGCATGTTCTGAGAAGCTTATATGTTATCAGCAGTTTGCAAGATGTAGTTTAGGAGGTGGAAGCCAAAAGAAACAGAAAAAAAGGAAAGAATGAAGGTATTTCAAATATGAGATATATGACTGCTTTTGAAGTTTTAATTCTTACGAAATAACGGTAATTTTACCAAACAGTTACTGATCAGATCTTGAAAGATGCTGAATGCTATTCTTCCACTTTTAGAGATGGTATGAGGGACACAAAGTCCATGGTTTTTTTTTTCAAGCAAAGGTTTCATGTGATTCAACATACTTGAGGCAGTTGCGAAGTGAATGACATAATCCTTTTGGAAGGCGTAGCAAGTAGTAGATAATTGTAGTTAAAAGGAAAAATCGTTTTTATCAATCTCTTGAAATCAGAAATGGGTAACCTAATCTCTTTAATGTGCAATTTTCTTGACAAGTTTAACATATAAAAATCTCCAATACGTAATGTGGAAAGCTTATTTAATTCAAAATGTTCAGGCGGTAGTCAAAAAGCAGGTTGGCTTGGTTTTTTGTGTGCAAAATATAAAGCATGCACATCTAATCACTTCAGTACTACGAACCACGAACTTTTTCTGTTTGGAGAGAACTCTACTTTTTTTCGTGCAACCTACTCCAGTAAAAAAATCATCGCTTCTGTCTACCTGTGTCAGTATTCCGCTTGTACTTGTTGGAAAGAAAGCACTGCTGTATGTGGGTAGCGGCTGCGCAGCTAGTGATGAACCGGACTGATCAAATGTTGGCATCCCCACCGCCGATAAGTCCGTAGGCATTTGGTACGGTATGCTCTGAAACAGGCTGTACTTAGTATCAGTAAGAGATCGAGAGATCCCAATAGTAAGCAGGCGTCAGACTTATCCACTCAATCCATTTATCCACTTCGCTGAGTGGTCATCAATGGTTTGAGCATTTATAGTCAGTGATTTGACCAAATCAGCGAAGTGGATGAAGGTTAGGCGAATAAGTTGGCGCAGGCCTAGTTGAAAGATTTCTTTGATTATAAAAATCCTTTAGAATTCTTTTTTATTGAACTTCTTCATCTATGAGAACTCACTCCTCCCATTAGCATCATGTGCATTGGATCTAGTGCAGCGGCTCCATGCATGCGTGAAAGTTGCCATTGTCTGAGGTAGGACAGCTGGTTATTCTCAACCACTGATGAGAATCGAGCCGCATAAGGGGGAGTGCGCTTGATTCTCCTGCATTGAAGCTGGGAATTTTTTGAGAGGAGGGGTTGGAATAAAATGCTGGTACCTTCGTTTATAATTTCCATTATCAAACATAGGTGTACAGTCAGCGGCTAGCGTCCAGTAATTTCCTTTACGATCGTTTGCATGGCTCATACCATCTCGCGCCTGAAGTTTGGGGTATGCGAAATTTTGCGCTAAAGGTTTGAGGGGTTTACCTCCGACTTTTCTTCATTTTATATGACATTTCTGATGAATGAAGCTCAGTTGTTTTGGTTTTTGGCGTAATGGTGAAAATGATGCAAAAAAAAACAGACAACTCGCCATTCTACCCCGAGAATGGATTGTGAGGTTTTTGAAGGTCCACATGGCTCAAAAAATTGCACAGTTGACTGGTAATTGGTAGACTTGTAAACAGAATGATTTTGGAAATGATGGAGTTTGATTAGCTCTGTAGAAAATGTTTTTCCGAAGGCTTTCTGCCGCCATGCTCCCATTTTTCCTAATAAGATAGTTTTCTATGAAAATAAAGTATTGTTTCGCCTCTTATCCCCCTAAATTTCATGGTTCACAAAAACCTTGGAAACCATCCCTGAAAAATTTTTTTTCTATCGCACCCGTCCTGAAATAAATTTTTGGGGCCGCTACTGATCAGCTCAGTAATGTAATAAATACCCAGCTCACCCTTTTCAAAAAGCAATCATTGAGCGATAAGTTGTGACGAATGCTGTTCTGCCATCCTTGTCGACGTTTTGGATCGGCAGCACGGTAGTAGGGGAATTTTGCGTCGATGAACTGAAGGGGCAATTTTTTTTATTGCAAAGTGATTTCAAAAAGAAACGATCTTATAACTGTAGATGTGCTTAACTTGATGCACCTTTTTGCGCTTTCCTACACGTCAAGCATTATTTTCTCTGGTGTAATGAATTTGAAAATGAGGGAATAGCGAAGGACAAGCAATGGAGTGAGTGTGCGCTATGCGCGCGGGCGATGTTTTGATGAGAGGGTACGATAGAGAAGCGACGCAAATGCCGCTGATGACGACGTAGTACGGTCGTTGCGATGCATTGCTATCGGAAATTTTATAGCCATGAAGTGATCCATATTGATTACGATAACATGGAATTGAAGTAATGATTTGAATTTTACTGTAGATGCTACCAAAATTCTTCTACATGAGGGATTTTGTTGAATTTAGTATGCCCACCTTGTAGATCTGACTGAGTGTTAATTTCTTCTCCGGCGAAGCTTCTATGGCCATAGCGATGAGAGCAACATAACTGTACGGTGGTTTTTCGTTTTCGTTGCCTTCTTCTCTGAAAAAAAAAGTCATAAAAGGGTTGAAAGGAGAATCAATTGGGCAGCGTCACTGAACAGAAGTTAGGTACGAAACCTAAACATTGCCTGTTTTCACATTTTCTTATCACATCCTTAGGCAAATTTGGAACAATGTAGAAGAATTCCTGAATCTTTATCAAACTTTACATCACGCCAAGAAGTAGAAATCTGAGAAAGAGAACAACACTAACATTTCATAAAGACAATAGCGAATCTTCCTGCAAAGCTTTTCTGCATGATTCGAATAGGCATGTTTTAGCGATTATTGCATACCGCTAAGAGCGGCCTAATCAGTTTGTTACTAACACATGCTGAGACACGGTCACATCTTAGCACTTTACTTATAATTCACGTTTCATATATTCGATTATGTATGAAATCTGGTTCTACCTCCACTCTCTAATGATCACAGAGATTTAGTTTTGCCCAAAAATATCTTTTTAGTTGTTTCGTTTTGCTGTTCGCTTACCTTCCGTCAAATATTCCCGTCATTAGAATCAGATTAGAAGCAGCCCAAATTTCTACACTCTTAGAAACCTTCACGGCATTGCTGTCAAGGCTATGTTTCCCATAAACTTTCACTGAAGCTGCAGAGTAGCCATCGCGTACGAAATCTCCTTTTTAAGTAACAAAGAAACCGTGTCGAGTCGAAGTGGCCTTTCCAGATGAGACTCATACTGCTTTAAAGAGCATTGATTGGTGATTCTAAATCTGCTTTCCAAATCTGCCAAGCGCCTCTGGACGCCGAGTTATGCTCGTTTTTCAGGTCAAAAAATTGAACGCAAAACTGAAGCAAAATCGCCCAAATTTGCTCAAATGATCCAGTGACAAGTATCAAAGCTGTTTATGCAATGGATACATTTTATTTAAAATGCTAATACTTAACATTGCTTTATCTGAGCGCTGGAAAGATTGTAACAATCAATTTTACCTAAATTCTGCATTCATTTTTCGTTCCGAAGAACGGTCATAACTCGGCGTCCAGAGGCGCTTGGCAGATTTGGAAGGCAGATTTGGAATCAGCGCTTAATACTCTTCAAGGCAGTATGGGTCTCATCTGGAAAGGCCACTTCGACTCGACACGGTTCCCTTGTAAGGTGTACCTCTGCCAATCTAGAGTTCTTAATTACTCGCTACAAATTCTCGATTTCCAAATAGCAGCCGATTTGTTTGCTTGATGTATAGAAAAGTTGCGCACTATACAACTCGCATGTCACTGTTGTTCAGGAATAGCGATCTGCTAACGACTATGTTATCAGAAAGAACGAGAACAGTTGGTTCACTCCGTGGCTATATTATTTTTCAATAGCAAATCAGCAAAAAAAAACAACGAAAGTTTGCTGCTTCGCTGCATCCTTCTTGAGTAAACCTAATAGATAACGTACAAGTGAAACATAATGGAAGGGTGATTCTCTTCACTTTATCTGCTTTTTGATTGCTTTGCTGTGGAAGAGAAAGTAAAACATAGTACTAATCAAGAAAACTCAGAAAAAAACGTTTTTTTACAGTCTGTGCTTAGATTCTTCAAGGATTTCATTAGTTTTTGAGCAAAGTACAAGTTTGTGACAAAATGACTATTGGTGAAGGCAAAGGTACGGCAATACAAGAATCAGAGGATGAGGAGCAATCATGACTATGATAACTGAAGAAGCAAATATCATTGAGCTGAAAATCGCTGCGTACATCGAAGGGTTGAAGAGCATCAATGATTTACAAGTCCATCAATTATATATTTGAGGAAGTTTGCCGGAACGAAATCAACTACCATTCCTTCTTCCAAATCGTCTAAAGTCTCTAAAAGATACCCTGTGAAGCGATACTAGCTTGTCCAATGTCATATAGCGTTGGCATTCGCGTTTGTTGCCCATCCCAGGCAAAATATTTATCCGCTGAGTCGATATTGTTCAACATAGCGATATATATTTTGAAAGCGGTTTGATATTTTTTCCACAAATACGTCAGCGTTCTCCTCAGCGCGTTCCGCGCTGCGCCACAACCGCGCAGTCGATCCTGAACTGTACACATCACTAACCTCACTGGAAAATGAAGCCCATTAGGAGCTGGAGCTGAGTTCGTCGTCGGCAAACGTGGAGCGCTCATGCTTGCGAATGACGAGCACCGACGACTACCGTCTCTCGACCATTCGCCGAGAGACGTCGCGCAATGTCTCACTTCTCCATCGCTGCTTCTTCTCGATATTTCTCAAGAGGGGAGGGGGGGGGGACTGGTGATTGTGCATTGCTATCATTTCCCACTTTCTCACGGCTTGTTGTAATAGTGAGATAAGGTGAAGCCTGGTACATGACCATATCGCATCTATTCTTGAGCGAAATGGGTGTTGTTATGCATACTTTACATTTCGCTCAAATGTCTCTTCTCAATCTATATTTTTTATGCTCCAAAAAGCCACTTCTCTTCAAATTCTCAATTCAATTTTATAATTACTCTAGACTCTAATTTGTTACTTCTGCAAATTCTTTGAAACGCTGCTCTCAGAAAATTATTTTGCAGTTATTCATTCTTGTGACTCATCGCAGAATTATCAACAGCCTCTGCTTTCGAGCTTCTTACAAAATAGGATGCCTAAAAAATATCAGGCTGTAGCATGAATTTTGTTACACTTGAAGAAGAAAATTTTCTTAACTTTACTGATGATTTTTCTGATCTTTAAATTACGTGGAGGGTTGCTTTTCGATATATGCATGTTATACATGTGAAAACCAATTTTTGCATTTGAAAAAGATTGAATCATTTTTGGCAAGCTCCCATAATGCGTTAATGGAGAGCCTAGACTTTCATACAGCCTTCATATTAGTACTAGTGTCCTCGGAAGCTCATGTAAATTCTAGGAGCAAATAAGTAAGGATGAATAATTTTTTTGTGAAAAGAAATGGCAGCTGAGGTGCCGTCACAGAACTTCTTTCAGATGTGCTGTAACCCATATCTGTGAAGGTGAAAATAATGCCAATGTACCGTATTTTGTCCCCTTATATGTACCAAGTATTGAATTCTACTAAAGTTTTTGGATTTTTCTAAATGAAAACGAAAAAAGTTTAATGAAATATATGTTACGACCCAATATGAGATTATTATCATAGGACTTCGTCATTAATTTAGGACTTTGCGTACAAGTGATTACTTTGTAGGCTGTGCCCATTGCTCACTACACGCAGAATGAGACGGCATTTTTTGAGAGAAAACATAAAGTAAGCTTTCTTCGACTACTCCCAACCATCCCTACCATCTTCGATGATTTCAGGCTGGAGAAGCTTTGTCATTTGATAGGAACCAAGACGAATTCAAACCACCAGTTTTACTACCCCCAAAAGATTTGGTAGCAAAATTAGCCGAGAAAGCGCGGCACATACGGAAAGGTGAAGAAGCTGACAAACATCCAGACGATCGAGAAAAAACTGGTGAGTGTTGCCGAGACATGGAGAGTGGGGGGGGGAGGGATGAAGATGGGTTATGTGAATCAAGATTTCTTTTAGATGAATACGTGAATGAGTTACCTGATCCAAACGAGAAAGACTATAAGGAGATACGATGAGATCTCAACGAGGTGAGTAGATATGATGTTCGTAATAGTAAAAAAATGATCCTGGGATTGAAGGTTGGGATCAAGATTACTGAAATTTATCTTTACAAGGACCTGCAATCCTCTTTGTTTTTAATCCTTGGATGTGAGTTGAAAAAGTTCTTTCTGCTTGTCGAAGTTTGATTTTACTCCTGATAATGTAGGTTGAAAACATGGCTATCTCTGCATACTTTCCACAATCAAATTGCTCCCAAAGTTCACGCTGGAAAAGTTTGCGCCATCGACGACATTCTTCATGCTTGGCTCACATTTCAACTGTGACATTTCACAGCAGCCACGCATCGTCGTGAAGGTTTATCAGGTCGCTCAGACGAAATGTCATGTAACGACCTCCTCGTAGTGAATGTCACTCAATTGCTTCGTAAGCACTCTTCTGTTGTATCTCAACTTTTGGGGTTGTTAAGATCTTATAACACGAAGCAGTAAGGTTCTTCCACAAAGAAGTAGAACTACAGAATGTCGGAGAATTCTTGGTGCTTGAAAGTTTAGAAACGCTATCTATTAGCTTATGATTGGTCATTGTCGCACTATGTTTGTATCGTTGTTAATTCGAGATTAAGGTGAGAAGAAATAAGGGGCTCACTGAATTTAAAAATACTAGGTTGTCTCGAAAGTTTTTGCGTTTTATATTTGGAAATTCTCTAACTTAACTTTCCTCACTCATGCTTTCTTAGAAAGAGGGTTTTGGGGTTTTGTTATGGCGTCTTGGTGACTTTCTACAATGAAACGGTTGAAATACAAGATTTACAAACGGGAGAAGGTTATCATTTGAGCTTCGCTGTTGAACTTCGCCAAAAATCTTTGCCAGAAAAGCTTCGTGATTGTCTCTTCATAGGTTACTCTTCCCAAGTCTTTATATCAAATTCTGGCTGTAAAATGTGAAGCTAGCTTTGAAGGCACCGTCCACCCTAAGTTGGGAGTTTTTGGCAGCTTACGATAGTAAGATCTCCTGTCAAGGCAATGTCAAGTCGCGCTCGAAAGGTCACTTCGGAAGCGAGAAAATCGCTTTGGATGAACGAAGAGCCACGAGGACCCTTCCCTTCCCTTCCGCCCCTTTAGTAATGCCCGCCCATCCGTGCTTGCCCATCCAATCACCGTCGGGAACTCCCCGGCGAGTTCTATGGAGCGGGGTTTGTGGGTTTTTTTGCGGATTTTCAACTTCACGTTCGGAATACGGGCAGGAGAAGCCTTCAGAATGACAATAACATGGAAGTCGAGAATCTGGGTGGACGGAGCCCTCAAGAATTTTGTTTCAGAATTTTTAAGAGGTTTCCAAGTGTAGCCTATAGCATTAAATGAGTCCATATTTTTCTGAAACAATGCCCTCTAAAACATTGACGATGACTATGATGACTTACACGAGAAAGAGTTTTACAGTGTTTGTATTGCAGATTATTCCTACAAGCAAGCCATGTGGACATCTTGATGACGTCTTGCTACAAATTCATTATAATAATCTAATTTCGGGTGTCATAAGCAGCTATAATCAGAGGGCCGTATAGTGTTTTATCTCTTGCTTGAGATTTGGTTCTAAGGTTTTTTATTGTTAGAGCAAATTCAGCTAGGTATTAGTGCTTTCTATAGTGCTACGATGTGAAAATTGCCGACATTGTTCTCTTAGCCTCATTACCTTACGCGTGTATTAAATTGCATTGGCGAGACTTGATCAAAAATTGAAGATCTACAGATTCTTTAACATTGTGCATCATTCTCTCATCAAAATGGGATATACTCTAGTCGTGATTTCCATTCAAATGTGATATGATGTTTCTCTTGTATGACTTTGCTTTTGTTTCATATGCTTTTAAGTTATTATTTGAGTGTATTTTCTCATATTCTTATGAATCTTGACAAATCAGACCGTTGCTGTAAGTTGGCATTTGTCGAAAATTTTGATTCTGCTGGTTGTCTAATAATCGGGGTCAGAAGACTTACACTATGTGAAAATAAATGATTACAGTAACTTCTCAAAACAAAGTAATCAGGATCTGTTACTTTGCTAAGTTATCACTAGTGATAATGAGATTATCACTGGTGATAATGAGAGAAAACTCCCGACTAAAATAAGTGGGTTCATTTCTTAGTTGTGTTCAACTCACTAGTGGTTACCCTTATAAATGAGCGCCTATCCACCAGAAATTATATATCGGGAGCTAAAAATCGACGATTTTCCCAGTTTACGCGAGTGAGTCGTTCCACGAATTGATGGAAACCAGTAAGGCGTCCAAGGATGTGTGCCAGCGCACGCCAATGCCGTGTCAGCGCCGTGCCAGAACCCGCGTAGACTTTTGCGTATTGACAATCAACCCCACCGGCACTGCTACGGCACGGTGTTGGTACTGCACTGATACAGACAAACTTTGAAGCCTGAATCGGCCTTGTGGACTACTGTTCTTCGCGTAGTGTGTAATGGCATGTGCGAAAGGACCAGTAGTCGCGGAGCCCGGTGCCTGTCAACGCTATTTCTCTACCTTTATACATGTACAGAATTGGTCACCAATGTCTACCACTACCCTATCCCGACACATATTGGCTTAGAATAGCTAGTGATGCAAACAATTACTATTCACTTGGTGAGTGCTAAAAATATAGTAACCGTGAGCTAAATACAGTACCTTCAAATAGAATAATTTAGGCGCCTACAATAAACAGCAAAAACTTGTTGGTGTCATAGGAGTGATTAGATATGCAAAAAATTACTTTTCTGGTAGGCTTCTGAATCCTGACGAACAAAAATTAATCGATTCGTATAGCAAGGTATTGATTGAAATGATTTGGATTGGAGGTTGTTTTGACGAAAGTGGCACTTCTCCAGCTGTTTGGATGCTCAAAGCCGCCTCGCTCAGACTTTACGTCGCGTTCGTGGGCGTGTGTTCTAGGCGTTTTCCTACGCTGAGCAGCCGTTCGCGAACGCGACGCAAGCCTGAGCGAGACGGCTGCGAGGCCTGAGCAGCTGCAGCTGTGACACTCTCGCTAGAATACCCTATATGTCTCCATGACTAACATTCATGGCTCAGGTATGTTATATCACAACATTAATGGTCGCACCTGATTGTCGTAAGAAAGGCATTGCCACACAACTTCTACAACGTGCTAGTACCGTACTACTACAGGAAGGCCGCCATCTCGTCAGTTTGATACCGTAACCCTAAAATGGAGATTCTTAATGCTATTTCAGTTGTATCTACATGTTTTACATTCGAATGTGCCAGCAATACGACTTTACGAGAAAATGGGCTACGAAAAAGTTACAGTCATAGCAGAGTACGATATGTGAAGCTATAAAATGCAAAAAACCGATTATCGATTTTAAGCTACTATACTATAGATGGACAAAAACAACCCGGTGTGGTATACTGCCGCCGGTTAGTCGCACCAATGTGTCACGAATGTATTACGAACAATGTTGGCAGCTGTACAATCTTGTGATGTGCGACTTGATCTAGACAAGAATTGAAATGTGGTGTATAAAGCATGTGATCTCAATAAATCTACGACTGAAGTTCAAATGTTGGAAAGGGGTAAATAGGTAATAAGCTCACATGATTAAATTTTTTTTAAAGAGCAATGCTTGCTGAATTAGGGTCCAAGTACCCTTACAACCTTCAACTCTAATAATTGGCTAGAGGCTGTTTCAAAGGCACCATCCACCCCATGTTATGGGTCTTGAGCTTTTGGCAGCCTACGGTAGCAGGACCCCCTATCAAGCCAATGCTCAAATTGCGGCGCATGTTGTTTCGGAAGCGAGAAAATCGCTTCGCAATAAGGAAGAGGCATGAGGACTCCAAACATCCCCCCCCCCCTCCAGCAATGTCCGTCCATCCGTGCGCGCCCATCTAATCACCATTCCGGAGAACTGATATGCGGGTTTTCCGGAACGGGGATCGCCGGAGTTTCCGCGGATTTTCGAATTCAGATTCGGACATGAGACTACTCCATATCAGGGACATGGCTTCGCAACGGCAAACATGGAAGTCGAGAATCTGAGTAAACGGTGCTGAGTTGGGTCCCGGGTACTAAGGGGGGAGAGCGAGGGGGACCCCGTACTCAAAATTGACCGAAAAAAACTCGGAAAAAAGAGAAAGGAAAGGTGAAAGGATTACTGAAATCCCACCTTTCACCGGCTTCGTGGAACTGGGGCTTCGGATGTTCGAGCGCTACGTTGCCACGCGGGTCCTTTTGAGCTTGGGGCGAAAACGCTGAATGAACAGTGAACGAATAGCAGAACTAGGAATAACAGATCGGCTTGAAATAGTCGCGGATCGCAACCGCCGTGGACACACCTCAAACTTGGGTAATTAAACCCTATTTATTCAATACAAAATTAACAAAACACACGCGAAACAAAACTACTAAGTGAATATAATGAGAATCATGAGCTTCGGATATGAGGATCAAAATCGGAGTATCGAAAATGAGGCAAAAGAGTAACACGTATAGGAAGGCAAATCAAAACAAGAACAACTAAACCGGCTAACAGATAAAAGTATGGCAAAAGTAAAGAACCGACATACAAATGAGATACAAAAGATCCGACCAATAGCTATCATCGATTTGTCCCTTCGTGTGACGCCGGCGCCCTGAAATACCCCACTTTGGCGCGCAAAAGATCAAAACGGAGTGCTGAGGCCGGGGATCAATCCGGCCTCAGCACACTCCGGGGGGGCCTTTTAGTGATGGTACATGGCGATTTGCTCTTCGAGGGCGCTACGTTCTTCTGGAAGTGGGCATAAGGCGTAGTGATGCGACTTGCTTTTACAGTAATTACATGCGATTCGGTCCGGGCAGGGTTTCACGCAGGAGTTGCCGAGGCAATGGATGCAGAGGTTGCGGCTCCGTACGACGGCTCTTCTTTCTTCGACTGTTTTGAAGGCGACACAGGCATCTTCGTTATGTATAGCGAAGCAGAAGGTACATTTGTGGGGTGTCGATGGCTGCGGAGCGTCCAGTCCGTACAATCTCTTCTCACATTGTGCTAGGTGATCGAGTTTACGATGCAGAAGAGCCAATTCGGGGTCTCGAGGTGGTCTTTTGGCGGGTTGTCTCGAGCGGCTTCTTCGAGGCTTCTGCCTTCTGGCGACTGGTGAACTGCTATTATGACGGTGACGGTCGGGTGACTTGGGCTGGTGGCCTGTGCGTAGGAGTTCCGAAACCTGGGTCAGTAAATTGATGATGGAGTTCACGATAAGTTCGGTGTTGTTGTTTATCTTATTTTCCAAATTCGTGGACGTCTGTTGAAGTAGCTCCGTCAGCTGAACTAGTTGCTGAGACAATGTATCCTCGGTGCGTCTTGCTTTGTCTTCGATAAGGATGGTTTCGATTCGATGTAGCTTCCTGAGCATTGATTCCGTGTCCGGTGATCTTTTAGTGATAGATGTGTCGTCAATCCGTTTTTGGATCAGCTTTTCGATGTTGTCCAGCTTGGCGTGAATGTCGGCATCGGAGACTTCACTGATGTATGGTTTCTTTTCGTCGCTATCAATATACGGATTGAGGAAAGGGTCGATTGTAAGTATTTCAAGCTGTGCTTGGAGGCCGTTGAGCTGATGCTGCTCTTCGCGAATGGTGGTTATGCTGTCATCCTTGGTATAGTGTCCTCTTGGCCTTGGTCGTTGTTCGAACGCTACCCTATTGAAGAATGTTGGTGGATTCAGGTGAACTAACATGTCGTATGCGTCCCAGAGAAGTATAGAGACTACGTGAACGTGTTCCCATCGCTGTTTGAGAAGATGAATGGATGCAAGTAGCTCGTTCTTCCTGTCGTAAAGTGGCTTTGACTTTTCCGGAACTGGTTCGTAATTGGCGGCTTCGTTCTTCAGGTCTGTAGCCTTCGTGACTATTTGCTGTCCTTGTGCCATAAGCTTAGTAGTTTCTTCGTACACGATGTCCAAGCGTCTCTGTAGTTCTTTCTCATTGAACATCGACCGGCGTTGATTCAGAGTCTGAAGAAAGGAGTCGAGGGATTCGTAACCTTGTCCTTGTTCCTGCATTCTGAAAATATACGTGTTTGGCTGTGTAATTGATTTTTCGTCTGTGGTAATCGAATTGATTTCGTACTCTTCGAGGCTGTACGGGTAGTATCTAGAGGGGCTTCGTTTTGGACGCCTTGGGGTTTCGGGTGAAGGTTCGCTTGGAAGTTCGGGTTGGGTGGGTGCGCTCGGGTGTTCGTGAGTTGATAGTTGTTCGTGACCGGGATCCGAATCCAGTAACTCAAGTGGTATGAGACTGTTTACTGGCCTCTTCGTCACTTTTCCGTTTGGCATTCTGAGCTCGACTTGGCGTATTTGATTTGGATTCTCCGTCCCTAAATTCGTTATTAACCCCATTTTCCACGCGTTTCTCGATAAAAATGGATCCTGTATGAGTACTACTTGTCCAACCCGGGGAAGCTTCGGGGAACTACGACCTTGATGTAGATGTTTGCGATGCTGCTCCCTTAATGACGTCAAATAGCTGTCTTTCCACAGCTTCCAAAACCCGTCCGTCAGCGCTTGCGAGGCGTGTAGGGCTGACTTTGCTTCGTATTGGGTCCTGAGCTGGGCGGCTTCTTCAGGAGGTAGAAAGTTGGGATCTTCCCTATCGCTAAGGTCATCGTTTTCGACTGAATACGTGATGAGTAGCCTATTCTGTACAAAGTCTATGGGCCTTATAGGGACAATTTCGTCCGGGTTTTCCTCCTGATACGTCAACGGTCTGTTATTCAAGGTGCCTTCAATCTCTACCAGTACCGTCCTGAGGGCATCTTCGTCGACGATTTTCCTGCTAAGGGTTTTGTGGAGTGACTGTTTGACGTCTTTTATAAGACGCTCGTAAAACCCTCCTTGCCACGGAGCATATGGCGTGATCTTCTTCCATGTTATGTGCGCATTCGCCATGACTTGATCCACTTCGTCGTTTTTTAGACAATCCGTGGTTATTCGCTCTGCTAATGCGAAATTCGTGGCGTTGTCGCAGGTGATCGAGTCCGGGACTCCTCGACGCGACATAAATCGACGTAGGGCGTTTATGAACGCCGTCGCCGAGTTATCTCGGATGAGCTCAATGTGCATTAGTCGGGTTGTTGCACATGTGAATATGCATCCGTACGCTTTCGAGACAATGTTTTCGTTGCTTCGTATCTTCATGGGTCCGAACAGGTCTAGACCAATGTTTTGAAAGGGTCGTGACCTGACTACTCTTCTAGTGGGTAGATCCGCTAAAGGTGGGTACCGGAAAGGTAAATTGTTGAATTTCTGACACGGTACGCATCTCTGGATCTCCTTCTTCGTCTGTTGTCTCAACTTCGGTATCCAGTATTTCTTTCGGACCTCCGCCATGGTTAACCCGACTCCACAGTGGAGCTTACCGTGCGCTTCTCTGATTATAAGCTTCGCTAAATGCGTGTTCGGCGCGATGAAAATGGGGTTTTTGGCGTCTTCTTGCAGGCAGCTATTGCCTAATCTTCCGAAGCATCTCCAGATACCTTTATCGTCTCTGGTAATGTTGAGTTTTCGTTGTTCGTTGGCTGTTATCAGAGCTTCGTGTTCTTTCTGGTGGAGCTTAATAATAGTCCTTTCTGCTTGCATAAGATCTGCTCCTTGGAGTTTATCCGTAGCTTCCTGAATTCCACTGGCTCTTCTAATTTTCTGCTTCGATTCCTCTGGTAAGTTCTTCGCCAATTTGTTCAGGAATATGCCAACGTACGCTACGGTTCTTTTCAGTCTTCGAAGCGAGCTAAATCGTTCCACATGTATGAGTGGGTGGCTCGCATTCGAGATCTGCAATACTTCAGCAGGATCAGGGGTCAATTGGAATCGTTCTAGCCCTTCGTAAATGGCATTTTCGTCCGTGAGCGAGGTCGGAGGGCCATCCCACCATATATGATTTTGCAATTCCTCGGCTGTAAGACCTCGTGTGGCGCAGTCTGCTGGGTTTACCTTCGTGTTAATGTAGCCGAAATAGGTGTTTACCCCTTCCTGCTCTAGTTTCTTCGCTATTTTCTTAATTTCTTTGATTCTATTCGTTACTAAGACTCCTGTAGTCTTCTGTGGGCTTTCGTTCTTCAGCCAACTCAAGGCTATTTCCGAGTCTGATAGGAGATAAACTGTTTTTATGTTGATGGTTTTCTTCAATTCTTCGAAAGTGGATAACAACAGCCTTCCTGCTATCGTCAAGGCGTTGATTTCCAGCTTCGGGATTGTATGTGTTATCTTTAACGAAGGTAATTTCGACTTCGCAATCAGCAGGTGCTGTTCGGTTCCTTGCCTAATGTAAACAGCTGCTGCTAACGCGTAGGTGCTGGCGTCACTGCAGGCTATTAGTTGGTAGTTTCCTTGCTTCGTCCCTAGTTTTCTCGGTAGCTGCTTCTTGAAGCCTACAATGGATTCCCACAACTTCTTCCACTGCTCCTGGTCCTCTTCAGAGAGCAAATCGTCCCATCCATATGGTTGTAGCCACAGCTGTTGGAAGAAGTGTTTGTTTCGCACCATAAGCGGTGTGAGCCAGCCTAATGGATCGAAAACTGATGCGTTGACGTGTAGTACCGCACGTTTCGTTACTCTTGTCAGCGGTTCTCCGTCGCATCTGGCTACTAATATGTCGTCTTTAGTGAGCCATTCGATCCCCAAGACCTTACACTTCGTTGAAGTGCTTCGGTCTCTTTCTGCGAAGTGCCTTCTGACCTCTGCATCGTTCGTAGTGAATTCCCTCATGTTCATATTGATATCTTCGAAGATTCGCTTGACTTCTCTATATTGTCTGACGGCTTCGTCTCTATCATCCGTTGTTATGAAGAGGTTGTCCACGTACAGATTATCCTTCACTTGTGAGGCAACATCGTTCCCGCTTTTTGTGGTATCCAAGTGAAAGTTGATGGTGGCTCCCAACAGAAAGGGTGACGATATAAGACCGAATGTCACTCGTGTGAAGCGGAAAGTGACAATGTTTTCTTCGCTCACTGGTTCGTTTAGGTTCTTGAGCCATAAGAATCTTGTTGCATCTCGGTCTTGTTCATGTAACCTCACTTGTAGGAAGGCCTTTTCTATATCTGCGGTCATCGCGATCTTTCCCATTCGGAATCGCATAAGCATTCCGCAGATATTAGGTATCGTCAAGGGTCCTTGATGAAGGACATCGTTGAGTGACGGCTTTCCAGCATAATGAGCTGATGCGTCGAAAACGATACGCTTTGGAGTTGTTCGTTTTTCTGGGTTAACCACTGCTTGATGTGCCAGATAGTGGATGATTTGGCCTTTAGGTCGAGGTTTGCCGGCCTTGTCTTCCACTACTTCGATAATCCCTTTCTGGAATTGATCTTTGAAGATGTTATCGAACTCCTGTAGGAATTCTTTGCGGTCTTCGTACTGTCTGAGCAGTGACTTCAATCTGGCTAGTGCAATGGATCTATTATCTGGTAGGTATTCGTGAGGCTCCTTCCAAGGAAGCCGTACATAATATCCGTCTGGTTTTCGTACAATTGTTTCCTTGAATTTCTTGAGAATTTGATCCTCTTGGATCTTTTTAGCTTCTTTCTCGGTTCCTGTGTATTCTTCGATCCCTGTGGATTCCATCTTCCAGTAGTTATCATATATGTCTAACTCGTTATCTTCGCAACTGGTTTGTAATGTAGTGGATGCTGTTTTCGTCACAGGTTTTTTCTTTTTCCCTGAGAGCATGAATCCAAACTTCGTCCCAATGAGATGCATGCCCGAGGGTAAGTTGTGCTTCTCGTTCTCCATCAATTCCCATAGGTAATCGCATCCTAAGAGAACGCGTGGTTGAATGTCTTTGCTGGTCTTTGTTGATAGATGTAGACCACGTTCTTTGATGTAGCTCAAATCTTCGTCCGTGAGCTGTGGTTCCGCCGTCTTGGATGTTAGAATTGCACAGTCGTATAGTTTGCATGGATGTGTGTCGCCCATTCTGTCCACTAGATCCACGTGTACTATAAGGTGCTTTTCTTCCTTTGCCAGCTTAGTTCCAAACGTCTTGAGACGTAAAGTGGAATTTCCTTCTACCTTTAGTTGAAGTTCGTCCACTAGTTTGCTATCTATGAATGATAGCTCTGATCCTGTGTCCATGAGTACTTGGACTTGTCTGGACTCTGTGGGTCCTTGTATGGTGGCGGTTCCTGTTAAGAGGAGTGCTCCTGTTTTCTGGGTATTGCTGTCCCCTACATGGTTAACTCTGTTCTCGTCTTGGGAATCGCTTATCCTTTTTGGTTCACTATCTTCTTCTATAGTGACCAGGTTTTGTGTGGTTTGCCTATGTGTGGCTTGTGTTGTTCCTCTCTGCTGCATTCGTGCAACGTTGGGTGTGGGAACTATTCGAGCTGGCTGATTGATTTGTTGGGGCTTCGTTGTCGTCCCTGTAGATTGTTCGTGGTTCGGCGGCGGTAATAGTCTTCGGCATGTGGATGAATGGTGCTTGAGTCCACATCTGAAGCATCCTTGACTCCTACAGTTCTGTGCAGTGTGGTTCGGCCTTCCACAATTTGTGCACAGCTGATTCCTCGCCAAGAACGCTGCTCGCTCCGATATTGGAACAGTCCTGCACTCCACTGATCGATGATTACTTCGTTTGCAATAGATGCAGGCTGGTATCGGGCGTCTCTCCTGACTTTCTCCCCTTAGGGGAGAGAGTGGCGTATGAGGCTTCGTGATCAGTTCTTGACTCCTTTCTATCCTTTCTTTGGTAGTGATAATGTCTTGTAAGTCCTTTTGGAGAACTGACCACGTCCACTGTTGCGAATCTGTGAGCCTCTCTCGCCTTTCGAATGCCTTTGCTTGGATTTCGGCACTGAATTTTCGTAAGACTAGGTTGAGCACTAGTCTTTGATTGACATCCTGGCCTTTCGCGGCTAGTTGCGTCAGGATGGCTGTAATTCGTTCTAGTAGATTAGCCTGTAGCTTAGTGGACAGTCCCTCCGCCTTGGTGGTTTCGAGCTGCATCAACAAGTCTTCGATGATGGATGCGTCTTCGCCATACTTCTTTTTGAGAGCTTCTATGACTAGTTGATAGCTTGCTTCTACCACCTGAAACTGTGCTGCCGTCTGCCTTGCCTCTCCTACTAGCGACTGGAGAAGGTAGTTGAATTTGATCATCGTGGGGATTGGCTGTTCGTCCACGGTGACTTGGAATATGGCCCAAAAGGACCCCCATTCCCCGCGTCTTCCGCTAAACTTGGGAAGTTGCAGCCTGGGCAGCAATGATTGCAGCTGGGACGGTGGCGGGGTTGTCCATCTTGACGACTCGTTGGATGCCTGAGGTGTGTTGACGGTTTCGAGTTGTCTCTCTCTTCTTCTTGCCGCTTGGGCGAAGTTATCCAGTCTGGAAGAAAGTTCTGTCTCCTTTTCGTCCAGTTTGTTAAGAAGGGAGAGTGCCGTCGCTGTTAGATCCCAAGCACGGTCAACATACGTCTCTTGGGATGTTCGTTCTTCTTGCTGAGAGTTGTTGTCCAACGAGTTGAAGGCTTCCTGATAACTAGAGACCGCTGTCTCTAGTGCTGCTTTGGTTGTGGTGATGTTGGTGTGGCGGTGCTGTATCGATTTTATCCTAGTTCGTAAGAGATCCATTGACTCTTCTTCGTTCTCCATAATGGGGACTTCGAAAGCCACCATATGTTGGGAGCTTTCTATCATCTCTTCCAGTGTGTTCGCCAATTTCGTGATCCTTGTTTTGTGCGGCTTTAGCGATGGCCCCATCCTTACTTGATTTCGTCGTCGATGTCTTCGTTGTATCCGTTCGATTTCGTAACTCCGCTCGGCCTTTTCTTCGTCAGTGGCCGATGCACCAGAAAAAAAATTTTTGAGTTGGGTCCCGGGTACTAAGGGGGGAGAGCGAGGGGGACCCCGTACTCAAAATTGACCGAAAAAAACTCGGAAAAAAGAGAAAGGAAAGGTGAAAGGATTACTGAAATCCCACCTTTCACCGGCTTCGTGGAACTGGGGCTTCGGATGTTCGAGCGCTACGTTGCCACGCGGGTCCTTTTGAGCTTGGGGCGAAAACGCTGAATGAACAGTGAACGAATAGCAGAACTAGGAATAACAGATCGGCTTGAAATAGTCGCGGATCGCAACCGCCGTGGACACACCTCAAACTTGGGTAATTAAACCCTATTTATTCAATACAAAATTAACAAAACACACGCGAAACAAAACTACTAAGTGAATATAATGAGAATCATGAGCTTCGGATATGAGGATCAAAATCGGAGTATCGAAAATGAGGCAAAAGAGTAACACGTATAGGAAGGCAAATCAAAACAAGAACAACTAAACCGGCTAACAGATAAAAGTATGGCAAAAGTAAAGAACCGACATACAAATGAGATACAAAAGATCCGACCAATAGCTATCATCGATTTGTCCCTTCGTGTGACGCCGGCGCCCTGAAATACCCCACTTTGGCGCGCAAAAGATCAAAACGGAGTGCCGAGGCCGGGGATCAATCCGGCCTCAGCACAGGTGCCATTAAAGGCAGCGTCCAGGCAGATCTGGACCTATGGGGCTTTTACATGGAAAGTACTTTTGGGGCCCTAACTAAGGCACTGCCCAAGCGGCAGCTCATGTAGTGCTCTAATGGCTGAGATATTCCCCTCGAAACTGGACCCCGCGACCGTGTTCCGCATGGATTCATGGCAGTTTCGCGCCAGGACACACGCCTTGCGCCATGAGTCCATGCGGAACACGGTCGCGGGGTCCAGTTTCGAGGGGAATATCTCAGCCGTTAGGGAACTACCTGAGCTGCCGGTTGGGCAGTGGCTTAGTTAGGGCCCCAAAAGTACTTTCCACGTAAAATCCCCATAGGCCCAGACTTGCCTGGACGCTGCCTTTAAGATTCCAGCTGAACTTGCACGTGGGGCTTCCACAGAAAACTGATTGTGTGGCCTAATAAGACAATGTTCAAGCAAGCGCAAGTGATTCATCCCCGGCCAAAAATTCTATCACCAAACCTATCCCCATTGAGCGGATGCACATCCTTGCATGTTTTCGTGCGGGGACGCACAATAAGAGCTCTCGGTCCCACTCGAAAGCGTAAGCCGATGCAAGCCATCGGACACGGTAACTAATACGCCATTTTGAACAGTCTCGACCGACCTGATCCTTCTGCGATGCTGCTGCGTTTCGTTTTAGGATCACTAGTCCGCGGAGGCGGTCCAAACCCATGAGATGCTAAGAACTTCTCGTTCTAGGAGATGGGTGGATCATTTGCACTTGTTTAGTGCGTTTGGGTCCCCTTGTTCACTACTGATTAGCTGAGGGCAAGTTTTGCGTTTCCATGCTCTCGAAAAGATGTCAAACACGCCAAACATCGGTAGTTGTGGAACAGCGTACGGTAAGACATGTGTTTACTTCTGCATATAATGGCAGTCAGATAAAATACTGATAAAAATGCCATCAGCCAGTGGCGGTCGCAGGGTTTCCGTCCCGGGGAGGGGCGGCAAGAAAATTTCCAAATGAAGGTGCGTGGCGTCAGCCACGCACTCCGAAAATTTTTTTGAGGTGGATTTGAAAATTCTTGTGGGCCTATGACCCCAAAATCTAGAAAAAGGGGGAGTGACGGCTGCCACGCCCCCGAAAATTTTTTACAACGCTAGCTTGAATTTTCAAAAAAATTTTGAAAATTATTTCAATTATTTACAAGATAAACAAGTCGTCTACAGATTTTTATAACCCATGTAAGTAAATTTCAAAATTTCGCGACACATTCTCGGGGCGGGGGGAGGGGCTCGGTCCGCCACTGCATCAGCGGATCTAGCAAAGATACTCCATAAGTTCTAGAAAAAAATCGAATATTTTAGGGGTGCCTTATAGTTATGCAACGAACTGTAATTAAGCTCCAACATAACGATTAATTCCTTGAAATACAGAAAAAATTCGAATTAGTGAGTGACGTTTCTTCCCATTTCCCTCACCCTCACATCGCAATTAAATGAATATTGCACACGTGTCACTAACTCTTGATCTGTGTCAGTAATACATTTTTCACCTGTCCCATTTATAATCTTAGGGGTAGGGGAAATATCATCGCAAGTGGGCGTGTTCCGAACTGATTAAATTTTTTTGGTAATTTCGCTGAGTTTCTACATGTTTTTTGCACCCTCAGGTCCCAGAGTTGTGAGAACGAGAGAGACTTTGCGCACCAAGTTTACTCGAAATGACAGCCTTGATCAACATTATTAGCAATATGTTCCAGCTGCAAAGTAATTTGATTTGCAAAACGAAACATTCTTTGGTCATCGTCGAGCAAGGTGCTTTTATCGAAAAAGAGATAGAAAATTGAAGGTTGTTGCGCAAAATTTAGTTATAAGCAATCACCAGTACCATACCTTCTCTTTTTTTTGTCTCCCCTCCCTCCTCCCACAATTTCCTCTTCCTTCTCTTCCCCATAAACATTATCCATACATCGCCTCAGCGAATGTGCGCTTGCATCACATTCCTTTATACCAAGAAAAGATATTCTTCTTTAAATTTCATTCATCTAACCCTTGAGCATCCAGTTGCCTGTGTTCCGGCGCTGGGCCAGCGCTGTTCCAGTGCCGTGCTAATAATCGGCGATCGGCATAGCGCTGTACGGGCAACTTTGGATATAGCCCATATCAGTACATAATAGCTCAATAATATATTTGTTGATACAGCTTGACAGCATGCACCTCGATCTCAAAAACCTGTGTATTTAGTAAAGGTCCGTGCATACATCAAGCGATTTCATCGCCCCGCGATTCTCCCGACAAGACAACTGTCACAAGTTCATTAAATGTCGATCATCTTGCATTCGGTTGTGATAGTTTCCACGGCCAATCGCGATTAATTAGTGCAATGAACTTATAACATTTGTCTTGTCGTGAGAATCGCGAGGCGATGAAATCGCGTGATGTATGATCGAAACTCAAAAGTTTAGAATTTTGTGAATTTAAAAGAATGCATTCTCGTTTCAACGCTCTCATTCTAGTCTCGCTCTATCGTAGCTTACCTTCTTTCTCATTGTAGGTTCTCGCAAATTCCTTAACAACGGTCTTCGGTCTTCTTCTGTGTAACGCAGTCTCCTTGCAGTCAAAACCATTGCCAAGATGACCACGCTCGAAGAACAGATGATGTTTACTATTGACGGTGATTATCGTATTTTTGTACCGACTTTCACCATCAATGATGATGAAACAGAGCTCGACTATCGCCGAACAATCTGGGCTATAAACGCATTTGAATTTATCGCTATGGGCATTTCTTTACCAATAACTATGCTGCACAACTATTGCTTGGCTAGAACTACATTTTTTCATCCGAATCTGGCAAGGATAGCGCAAGTAAGTGAATTCGTAGTGATACAGTATTCCTACAGCAGTGGCGGTTCCAGGATTACCGTTCGCAAAAGGAGGGGGAGGGGGACGACAAAAATTTCTTTTGGAACAAAGAGGCGTGGCGCTAGCCATACACTTCGAGAATTTTTTTGCAATAGTTAATTTTGATATAATTTTCGCTCACCGAAATAAAAAAAGAAAGGGGAAATTTTTGCTCACAAATCTAATATATTGTTCTAATTATATACAGCACAAAAAATTCACTTGCTCATTTCTACAACCCATGTAAGTAACTTCAAAAAATTTTGTGACCCTCCTCCGGGGGGGGGGGGGGGGAGAGGAGGAGGCATCTCGGTCCGCCATTGCCCTACAGCATTCCATAACGGGTCTTGACTAAAGTGTTAAGCAAAAAGCATGGATGTGCATCGCGAGTGAAAAACTCTGTTTAGGTATATCTTATCGGTCACTACTTTGCTATTGCTTGTCGCGTTATACTATTTCTCCATCAGTGTAAGATATTCGCCTATGACGGTAAATTTTTGCCCATCCTCACAGAGGCCCGCTTATGCAGGTCCGCTTTTTATGTCAGGTGTCTCCATGTTTTCCTATCTTAGGCAAGGTCTTTGTCCAGTCCAAGTTCTTGGAAACCGGCTTGATTTTGTCCATCCACCTCATCTTGGGTGTACCCTACCTAATGCCTCTATCGTTAAAGGCAGTGTCCCACCATGTGGTTTTTGAGATGCTTGCGTCTTAGAAACCTTTCCGACCATGCTTAACTCCAAGCGGGTTTCAAGTCGCATAATGTGTTGAAAACCCCGCCTTCTAGGGACCGAGAGAAGGCAACGCGGACGAGTTGTGCCTTCTCACTTTAGCCTCCGCCACAGTGGCAGCAACGCCGAGGAGGTGGACGTCAAGTGGAAGGACTTACAACGCGTAGGGGGAAGGATCGTAGAAGTCTGCCGTGCGGACCAAATCGCTGGATGCGGACTACTTTAAGCGTTTTTTATCAGCATAGAAGAGTTCAAATTCGATTTTTGTTGCAACGACCTATTTAGGGGACCCTATAGTAAGATATGTAGAGATCCGCACGACCTCAATGTCACTGTCTCTAAGGCTAACCTCGTAATAGGCTTTCTTCCCTTTTACATACGCACATGCTCGTACGACCGTAATCTCTTCTCCTAGATTTTCTGGGCAATTGGAGCTACTTTCATTTCGGCTCGTAAGTGAAATCGCAAAGCGGTCTTTCGGAATGACTTCTAAGATCCATCGCAGCATCCCTGTTTCTGATTCTGAGAAGGTTGCCTTTTTTAGCTCTTCACCATCTATGCTTATGGCACCCTGGAGTTGTTTTCCCGCTTCCATGTATCATGTCTTCTTGGTGCTGAGCTCCAAGCCTCAGTTCTAGCCTGTTTTCCACTTTGGTACTTCGTCTTGCAGGTCATTTTTGGACTTGTTATCACACGGCATCATAGTGATGAAGAGCAAGGAAAAGGGAACTGAACCTTGGTGTACTCCAACTTTGAGTTGGAACTCTTTTGATTGCCCTGCAGTTGTTTGTGCGTGACTTGAAGCGTTGTGGTTGCAATTTTATCCACTAAACTCACTCTTCTGGCATCATCTGTTTTCTTGAAGCCCACCATATGCCTTCATGGGCACCTTATCGAAGGCTTTCTTCAGGATTAGGAAGGCTGCATGCAATTCCTGCTCCTGTCTATATTTCTCTATCACCGTCCGGTCAGCGTGGGTGGCGTCGGTTGTACCTACTCTTTTCACGAATTCGCACTGCTCTGTAATGCATGCATGATATCTCCAAGTTGTGTTTCGATGTGACGTCTCGATGTTTCGATCGATTGTGCGCTCGAAGAGTGTGGCTCATTATTCGATTGGTTGATAGGATGCGCAGTCTGCCATGTCTCCTTTGTTCTTTCACATCGAGATCGTTGTGCTGTTATGCCAATCGCGAGGCATACTCTCGTGGTTCCTATGTACCCTTTGCTTCAACCAGCTCGGTGGCTGGAAGGCGGGGCTCCATGACATAAGAGGCAAGGAAATGATCCGAGAGCATGTTCGCGAGGGAGGCGCAGACTGCGTCGCGGACGCGAGTCGCCTTGCAAAGGGTACACCTGTTCTGCCTTTCTTAAGCAAGTTTTCGCAGCGTGTTTGGCTTGTTGGTACGAATGACGATCGTTCTCCGATTCTGTATCATGCATGCCATCGTTTGTACGTTTCTCCTTTATGACTATTTGCATTTCATCCATCCATCTCCTTTCTCGATTTATTCTCCCTTTTACTGGCGTACTTCTCAGTATGTGTGCCAATTGGTGGTCCCAATTTTTCAACCTTGCCCAGGATCGCTCTGGGTTCTCCTGCAGGCTTGTTAGCAATGCTTCCTTCGTTGAGCTGTTGGTTTTCAATCTCCACCATTTGGTGCGTGCCCTGTTTTTTATGGCTGCCCCCATGCGCCTATCCATCAAGAATGATGTCGAGAAGCAACGGTTCATATTATGCAGCTCTAACCGGCAATGAATTTTGCAAATTCGTTTTCGAGTTCACGCTTCGACTAGCCTAGAAGTCTATTTGTGTTAGTCGGTCGCCACTCGTCCCATTTTCCATCATCCCTACATGCGACTTGTGGCGCATGGGCGGGGATTACTCGTAGGACTTGTTTCCCAGAATCTATCTTTGTGCTCATCAGACAGTCGATTATGCTTTCAACGTCAAATACATTGCTCCTTGGAGTCTCCACAGCTAGACACTCCCGTATCTAGAGCAGATGACATTGTATTGCAGACTACATCATCTCATCTCTTTGGAAGATCTGGCAACTTTCGAGAACGAGAGGTGAGTGTACCAGTACTGTTGATACCGATACTGGTAGCTAGTCGGAGAGTGTGCGATGACTTGGATAGTTGCCTCTTGGAACTAGCCGCTTTCGCCGCCCCGTTCACCTTGCTGAGGTTTGCATGCGTCGCTTCGGAGGACGTCCTAGTCTTTACTTGAGATTCTTTACAAGACAGTTCTGCATTTCCATGCAACGATGTTTCTCAGCCAGCTGGTCGCATGTTTTTCTTTGGAAAAGCAGCCTGACGCTGGAATTGTGAGCAGTTTTTGCGCAGAAATCAGGCTCAGAGTGGAATCGAATCCGTGACCTTTAGTAAGGTTTGTTACGTGGAGCACTAGTCATTTCATTGACTTTACTCTGCCTAAGACGGTAAGTTACTTGGAGAAAACAGATATGGCAGAAAAATCGGATCGTATCTTTCAGATAACAGCGAGATACAGTACTACATTCTTTTCACGGCTGGTATTATTCGCAGTTGGTTTTTCCTTACAACTTTGTCCATGTTAGGCGAAGTTGTTACTGAGCGTAAGTTTGCCTACTGCTTTGTCGCTGACTACGAAGAGAACAGTAGACTATGGATTTCTACTGGAATTATATTCACATCCCGATTGTGCACCTTTTTTCTCACGATTGCTACCATGACAGGTAGGCAGAAAGGAGTTTTTTCTTTCACCATTTCCTCTCTCCTAGGGTTCTACTCGAACGCTATCATGCTGATAGGTAGTGGAGTTACAGTATCCATTTTTATGATTCTTTTGGTATGGATGTATCGTCTTAACAGTAAAACGTTGGTGGATCTCAGATGTGGAATATGCGAAGGCAAAGCACTCAACACATTAAGTGTCAAATTTCAACTCATCGAGAGTGTCCGGGTGATGAAGGTTAATAAAGTTTATCTAAAATCGTTAGTGTTGGTAGAAAAACTCCCCCAAAAAAGAGAAAGCGCTTTAAAGAACATGCAGTGTTAAAACTTCCGCATTTTAGCTACGGTGCTCTGCAAGTCTGTTCTCATTGAATTACGAAAAAAATAAAAGCTAAAATTTTCAGCTTATGATGCTTGCTTTTTGCGTTGTCGGTGTTCTAATATTTTTGGGTATACTACTACTAACACTCACCTTCCATGTGTATATCGCAGATCCAAGCAAAGGCAAAGTCTGCTTTGCTCTATTTGATCTACTTATTGCAGTGTAAGTTGTACATAGTTTCGTGAAAGTATCATGGTACTTATTTCGCAAAAGACAAAAAAAATATTCAGATCTGCTGCTGGCGGATTTTTCGCATTCACGCTCATTATCAGCGATACTCGACGTATAATTCGTGATTCTGCTATTGTGCAGACGTTTTTCCCTTGGCTTGCTGAATGCCTGCGAAGCTCGAAGATAAGAGACGTCACAGATAATCACTTGAGAGCGTCTGATTATTATTTCGATCAGTTAAAGCTTGCTTGGGAAGAACAAGAACACTAGCACGTCTCTTTTATGGACAATAGGGTTAAAAATGTATGATAAAGTGTTTTTCCTAGCTCAAGCGTCTTTGTAAACCGATTTTCTGATTTTTTCCGCAATCTTTTGCAAATTTCTTTTCCACAGTGACCCAATTTTGTGACTGTAACCTAAGCAGTAATATTGTGATGATGTGCCACTATTCCCCATTCAAATGTAGCATTAAGGAAAATTCCAATCTATTTTCACGTTTACTAGAATTTATGTGCATAAAGCTGAAAAATTGAGTTGAAAAGAGCGCATGAGGTGCGGGAGGGGGATGACCGGATAACGAGAAAATGTTTCATCCTTGCATCTATTCGGCTTATGCAGGGTCTGCTTCTCTTGTCAGTTGTCTTCATGTTCTCCGGGCAAGGTCTTCCGAGTCAAGGTCTTCATCTTCTCCAAGTTTTCGCGGGCCGGTCTTGATTCTGTCCATCCACCTCCTCTTGATCTATCTTTTACTTGGTGCCTCCACTGTTAAGGCCAACCTCGTGATGTGGCTGTCTTCCCTTCTGTGCACATGCCCGTTCTACCGTAACCTCTTCTCCTGCATTTTCTGGGCAATTGGAGCTACTTTCATTATGGCTCGACTAGATTGCAAATGTGGTCTTCCAAGGTGACTCCTAAGGTCCATCGCAGCATCCTTGCTTTCTATCACTAAGCCTGCGCTCCTCGTTCCGCGTACAAGGCCAGCATACGCTGCCATATAGTGCTGCTGGATAACGGTCCGGTACGGTTGAGACTTGAGATGCACTGGCATTCTTTTGTTGCAAGAAATCCTGTCAAGGCTTTCGGCTGTGTCAAGGCTGTTAATTCGACGAAATATAGCAGATTAGGTAAGTTTTAGGCAGAAAACACTTTGAAAATGCGAAAAGAACAACTTGGCGTTACCGAACAACACATCACTGCCTTTATGTGCAGTTACGGTGGGGCGACCAGAAAGATGGCGCCCACTATACTTACTTCACGGATACTCATGTCAGATGACCTATCCTCAGGTGGTTGAGGGTTCAACACAAATGTCTCCATTTCTCTGTTCCGCGCTTTAGACATCCACAACCTTACCTATGATTGATAGTTGCGTTTGCGAGTTTCAGGCGCAAAAATTGTGTCCTAAATTCTCAGACGGTCATCCTTTTCACAAAACGTCTACCTATTACGCTGGTGATCTTCCTCAATCATCTTTTCCTTTGAAAGAGAGCGACTTGTTTATGCTATTTTCATCACCCACTGCAAGGCCGCAGTGAACAGCTTCGTCGAAATAGTGTCACCTTGTCGAATCCCTTTCCCAAATGCGATGGTCAGGGGCGATGGAATAGCTGCAACGTTGTTGCACAGTCCTTGTAGCAGTCGGTTAGTGTCCTCACGTAAGCTGGGTCCACTCCTTGATCGACTAGCGCTGACACGATGACGTTGGTTTCGACGCTGTCAAAGGCTTTTTCGTAGTCGACGAAGATTAGGACGAGAGGCAGTCGGTACTCCCGGCAGAGTTTCATGACCCTCGAAACCTTCTGGATGTGAGTTGTAGTACTGCTCTGTAGTAAAATAATGGTCAGAAACAGGCTCTACGACCGTTATTTTACTACAGAGCCATGCATAGTGTGCCCGCACGGTAGAGTAGGGAACTGTGCAAAAGTGGGAGTCGTATACGAACTTGAATGCCTAAGCTGCAACGCATCATATGTTGGAGAAACTGGAAGAATGTTAAGTATTCGCATGAATGAACATTTGGCGATAAAAGGCGTAAGAACATGGGCTCGCCGCTTGGCAGGCATAGAGAAATTCGGCATGGTGGAGAAGATTTCGATGTCAGATGTAAGATCCTTACATACGAAACGGAGACCTCGGCTAGGAAAGCGTTAGAAGCTTTCTGGATCTCTGCAAAGAATCCAGAAATGAACAATAAGAATGAGTGTATATCAATAACTTCCAACTTCCTCCCGTTCTTATCGCTATGTGATCTGTAGCTGTAGATCATTCTGTGTGTATCTACAGTACGATTCGTTCGTCTGCCGCCATCTACTTCCGGTGCAGACTATTCTCGAAAAGCGGTGCTCTTCCGGGAAGTTGTTCTGCGTTGACGTTTTATGTGGAATGAGGTCGTGGGAAGACCGAGAACTGGCGGGATTGGAGGAGACGCTTGGTGGGCTGGTATCACAGATAACACTTGGAACCATTCGGCCTCTGAGGAAGACGAAGGCGTCGAAACGTAGGGCCGTGATTGGAAGAAGAATAAACATTGCTTAACAAACCTGTTCGGCACAAGCAATCAGAAATACTTCTGGATGTGGTTAAGCCACCTTTGCGAAATCCAGCTGGCTTCTGAAGTTGGCTTCATCCAGTGTCTTAGATATGCGAGCGAACATAATCTTCGTAAAAAGTTGTACAGCACACTCAGCAGCATATTGCATGGCAGTTCCAAAGATCTCCGGTTTGCTCTTTTACAAGAGAAGGAGAATTTTCTCTAGTCGTCCTCCTCGGAAGGTGAGGCATCGGGCATGCCTTTGGCGACTCCATCGTACCGATCTCATCGCTGGGGCATCGAATGCCTCGGCATCCAATCGCTCCGAGACCAATCGCATGTCGCTCATCCCGGGCACACCCTTCACAAACTCATAGCTCACACGTCACGCCCGGATGAACCCAAAACTTTATCGAGTCTTTCAATTCGTCTAACATCTGTCACCTCACTCCTTTTCACACACTAATCTCACGATGCTAGTTATGCTCATAGACGCGTCCACCACAGCAACGTCCATTCCACGATTGCTGCTAGCCTTGGTTTTCTCGACTGCGGCACGTGTGGCTAAGTTGCAACATTCAACAACATACTGCTCAAGGATGGCACACATTGCCGCCAACATGCTATTGCATGCTGGCAACAAGTTGTTTCAAGTTGTCGACACGTTAGCCACACGTATCGCAGTCAGAGATGCAAGCCAAGAGTAGCAGCAGTCGTCAAGTAAATTAGCACCAAAGCAACAGACAATACAATAAAAAACCCTCAGTAGTCAAGAAATTCTGAAAAATGAAAGGGAAAGCGAGAAATACAAAGAAACAAGAAGAAGAAATACTAACGTCCATTGTCAAGGCAATTTAGCAACGTTTTCGTAAATCCAGAGTCAAAAAGGATAATTGCAAAGGATAGAGAAAGAAGTGGATAAGTGTAAAAGTGGATAAGCAATACAGAGTGGTGAGTGGAAACAAGTGAGCATTGGAAGCGCAGATCATATGGGGCTATCATGGTGCAGCAGTTAAAATTTAAAAAAAAACTAACAAGACCTCTCCAAAGAAAAGAAAGCGACGCAACATATCGCCCGTCGCTGGTGCAGACTTTCGCAGTACGCACTTCAAGAGTTTATGGTGGTACTTCCCTAGTGAACAACCGGCACTGACGTGTTGATGAATGGAAGAAGTTGGTGTAGATGTATTCGCGATAGCTTCTATCTTTTGTCGAAAAGGAATTGGGGTTCCGTCTTTGTTTAATAATGCTATCAGCGGTATGTAATATTTGCCGAGGTCTCGACACTTTCAATGTCTGGACTGTCTTCCATCGGTTGCTTGCAGTATCGTGGCTTGCCTGTACAATACCGCTCACAGAATGTGCAAAATTTCCGTGAATGTCGCAGAATTCCAGGAATTCCGCGATGGTTCGCAAAATTTCGGAAATTTCGCGAAATTCATGTGAATCACGCAAATTACGCAGGACCATAACTTCTTTCCGAATGAATATATTCGAAATCCGAAAACAGCATTGTATTCAGCTCGTCAAGGCGAATCTTCTGGTATACAGGTTGTGTCCAATACCTTGTTTTCAATAATCTTGAATTTGCACGCGGACGCCTCTTCGCATGGTGGTAACGCAATGAGCATCACACATAGGAGACTGCCGTGGGCACCTTTCGGTAGTACTCTTTCACTAGATTATCGTGCGCTAAACAGCATCCGAAGACTCTCTTTCAAAAGAGATAGAAGAGCTGATAAACTCCGGAAAAATCAAGCTGTTCCAAGTTCTACTAGCCGTAACTTCCTTCATAATGAACATTTCCGAAATCCGAAAGCAGCACTGTGTTCAACTCGTCAAGTCGAATCTTACTGTGTACAGCTTGCCCTTGAAATTCCGTTTCCAATTTTTTTCAAAATTTTCTGCGCGCATATATTTACAAGGTCGCAACGCAGCGCCACACACAACCACCAGATCCGATACAATAAGATCTCAAGGATCTTTCGAGTTGAACATAAAATTCGCGACCACAATGTCTTAGAGTCACTGAGGTGGAATTTCTACGGAGCAGGAGATCTTTACATTTCGGGCAAAGCTCATAAGGACGTGATTTCGTAGGCCCCTAATTCAGCGATTGCTACCGATTGAAGCCGGGTGCATGCACCATTAAATAGCACGCTTTCTAGTGAATTTAACCTGCAAAGGCAAGCAAGCAGATTTTCTAAGAGGTGCTCGAAAAATGCAGGCGAATCTACGAACTTGCGTGGCTTAGCTAAAGTTCCCTCACCATATCTCTGTTAGAAAACTCTGTACTCCGCGCAAAAGATGATTATCATAAACAGCGTGTTCGAAAACTTCTTTGAGCGAAGTTTCCTTACAATCCGAGATCATCGACATTTTGACCAAAACCCATCGGCGAGCTTCAGGGCGTAGAACGAGAAAAAATCAAATCACCCGATTTCTTTAAAAACTTGCTCATAGAGGTTATCTGACCTGCTGATTACGAAAATCACATCTGCTTAGCAGTAGAGCTTCTCATTTTAGGGTACGGTGGGCAAAAATTGAGACAACGCGATTTTTCCAGAATTCACCAGCTCTTCTATCTTTTTTCAAGAAGATTCTCCGGTTGCTTTTTAGCGCTCGATAATCTGCGAAAGCAGCACAATCCAACAGTGCTTATTGGATTGCTTTTATGTTTGATGTGCGCTGCGTTGCGACCTTGTAAATATATGCGCGCAGAAAATTTTGAAAAAATTGGAAACGGAATTTCAAGGGCAAGCTGTACACAGTAAGATTCACCTTGACGAGCTGAATACAATGCTGTTTTCGGATTTCGAATATATTCATTCGGAAAGAAGTTATGGTCCTGCGTAATTTGCGTGATTCACATGAATTTCGCGAAATTTCCGGAATTTCGCGGAATTCCAGGAATTTCGCGAAATTTCCGAAATTTCGCGAACCATCGCGGAATTCCTGGAATTCTGCGACATTCAAGGAAATTTTGCACGTTCTGTGAGCGGTATGTACTTCTGAAGTTTTCTTGCAAAGCAAGTGGCGTTCGCTATAGTCGCTTGCGATGGGGTTGTAATCGGATCTGCCTTAACTCTTTTTTCAAGCAGCTCCTTGATAGCCTTTCAGACGTCTTCCAAGTTCTTCTCATTATGAGAAGTCACTGAAGCGTACTTTCCGCAATCTTAAATCCTTTCAGATGTCGGTCTAGTCCTACGTCGGCTCCTCCTCGATAAATTAGTCACAACGTGATATGAACTCTTCCAACCTATGACCGGCATAAACGACTTCCCTTGTTGCGGCAGTGAGGCAAACTTCTTTCTTAAATTTCGACTAATTCTTACTGTACTTTTGAGCCACTTGGAAGGATGGGATTACTGAGACATCGAGCGAGCTCCACCATCGGTTGTGAGATTGAGCCGATCATCACATGCGGTATACCTCGCTCGTTTCGTTCGCCGCGCGATTTGGCACCACTACGATGGCCCATGATCCTCCGTAAGCGCACCCCCTTCTGGCAAAATTCGACACGCTTTCATCAACTTATGAAAACAATGCGCTTGTGCATAGAGGATCTTCGAATGGTTGTCTTGACCTGTCGAGTCGCCGAAGATTGACTTTTCGCAACTGCGCAAGGAATGACCGCGGCCTAAGCCTCTCCGTTTGACAATTCCCATTCCCACTGCGTTGTTCTTTTTTCGTAGAAATGGATCCGTGTTAAAGTCGTGCGGGGGAGAGAAGCCTAACCCATATCTACTCCTCAATCCTATAGTCCTCTTATATTGATGACCGTCGCGTTAAATTCGCCTACAATAAGCTTGTAAGATTTCACTGCGGAGCACGCGCCGCGAGGTGAAACGCTTGCTCCAGTACAAATTCGCCATTGTACATGTCGTGCTTTCGCGACAATTCAGCCGCGCCGCGCGTCGTCCGCAGCGTTGAGCAGTCCGTGCGGTTAACGAATCGACGGTACTTAATATGCTCGGTTCTCGGCAGCGTCAAGAAGAGCAAGAGATCGGAGTTTGTATAGACTACACTAGCAAAATTACTTGAGAGGCAATCTCCATGGGGCGTTCCCAGACGTTTTTTGTCCAGTGCAAATGGCGCCCTAAGTACCCTGACATCGGTCTCGTCCACAAGGGCTAAGTGAATTTTCTTCCTCGACCGCACTTACAAGGTCGTGCGCTTGCTTCCAGGAGCGATCACCGCTGGGATGTGGACTGGGGACTGCCAGAAATTTTCACTTAAAACTATACGGCGCCAAACTCTGCCAGAGTATACACTCGGCTGTTCATTGCAGTTCGACAAAGTGTCCAGCACGCACGAGGTGGAATTCAAGATTTTTAAACGAAATCTCTCTTGACATTGCAGAAGATTACGAGATACCTTTTGTGGCCTTTATACTGCTAGAGGTACGATAAAAATCTGCATCGAATGAAGAGTGAATTGGAGTTAAGAAACGAAAATTAGAGATATAGCAGTAGAAAGATAGTAGGCGCCTTTTGTATTAGCGAGGCTCGTAACAAAGCATAGGGGAAGAAACACGGATTGAGAGAGTACTAGTAGGTACAGCTTGAACCATGTAATAGACATGTAAAAAGAGGCACGCAAAATTTACGAGGTTTGCTGTATTTCTCAATTTCATGAGTGCGCACGGACGTACCCCAGATTTCAAAATCTTCATATTTTGAAGCGAAAATCGCTCATTTACTTTGTAATTTAGTAATAGTAATAATCGAGTTTTGAAAACTCACTAATTTAAAGCTTGCAGGGTTTTAGTGCAATAAGTATGAAATTTTTTTAACCTCTAATCTTTTGGAAAATTATTTAGCAAAATCTAAAAAGTACCTGAAAAGAAAGAGAAATCGCTGCAGTTGGCAAAAAGTTTGCCCTATCTGCTAGTTATTTGAGTTCCCCACAAGTCTGAAAAAACTTCTAAAAATCAGCGAAAGCGGACATGTTGAGAACGAAGAGTCCTCATTTCCAGCGATTATCTCAGCCCTTTTTAAACGAGTTATATTGGGAAATTAGCAGTGGAAAGACAAAAACAATTCTACATTGGCTAAGCTTGAATTTTCTGTTTATCTTTACTCTACCGCGATTTGCGGGCAAAACTAACAAAATCTAATTGTAAGGCTAACCAAGGCAAAGTTATGATTAGATCAATATCGTAAAGCGCAAACTTCTTCTTTTTATAAGCTTTTTTATGAGATGAAAATTTTTAGATTTGAGGAAGTAAACTCTTTCCTGAATCACTCAAGAACTTTCGTGTCAACCAATTAAGTTCAAACAAATTTGTAGAAATAAAGGCCTCATTGAATGATTCATGCACTCCCAGTTGGACTTAGTATTGACAATTTGAGCCATCGCTCAAAATTTAGGTGATCAACAATCTCCATTTAACTTCTCAGGCCAATTTTCGTAGAACCACAGCCTTGCACGATTAAAAAAGCACCTGTCTAGTTTGACGTATACACAACATCTCTATTGATCTACAACTCATGCTGCAAGTTGTAAGACTGGACTAGCTGAACAGGACATTCCGCTGCTACTATAAGCTTTCGTTTGGTCTCTGGAACAACAAATAATCGTCAAATAATCTTCATAAAAATGGCCTTAGCTATCACACATACCATAGTAAACGTAACAGATACAATATCTGTCTATGTTCCGGCTTTTCTTCCGGTCAATGAGCAACCACCACCGACTATAATCAAAATCATTGGATCATTCGAACTAATCCTTATTTGCGTATCTCTTGTATGTAACCACGCGGTGATCCGCGGATTTTCAAGGACTGCTATATTTCATCGCAATTTGTGCCGAATCACACAGGTAAGCAATAATCACAGTAGTAATCACACAGGTCCAAGTTCACTTTTGGAAGTTTCCCGAACTGATCAAAGAGAATTCAGGCGCATTTATTCATCTACTCTTTGAGTGCATGCAGTCGAGTGATTCTCTTTCTTTATCAGACTAAAATACTGAGCTACGGCGGTAAGTTAAAGAAACTGAAAGACAAGACACGGCACAACAATCACCTACCGAAAGAAAATTATTTCCAAATCGCGCCCAAAGCAAACAATTCGTATGATGTCCAGAGTAAAACTCTCTGATTTTTTGGTTTCTTTCGCGAAAGAAAAATCAATCAAAGGAAACTGTAGATGATACTGTTTTCTAATAAAAATTTTGTCTTGCGAAAAACCTCTGATTACAACTAATAACTTAAACCGCATTTAATGCAGCTTTCTTTCTCTTTCTAGCGATGGTTTCCTTTCTTTATCTAGATTGAATTCACCAAGAGATGCTAGACTTGCCACAAGCCGTAAGTTTGAGTCAAACGCGCTGACTTTTGGAATATTTTCCATAAATTTTCGACAAAAGCTAGGCCAAACCTTTTCTTGCTTTTACAAGAGTCTGAAGTTTGTTTGCCACTCCAACGACATCTAGAAAATCGAGCCTCCGCCGAGCGCAACCTTTTCTGACAAAGAGAACATTGGGCTTAAAGGCAGTATCCGGGCAAAAAGTCGATTCTGAGATTTTGTGCTCATCCACGCCCACTCGCTATGCTGAGTCCGAAAATCCACATTCGAAAGCGCGGAAATGGCGAAAAAGGGCTCTAACGCAGGAGGGAAACAGCAAGTGAGTGGAGTCCTCCCCATTGTGAATTCACGCTCCCAAATTCCGGAGCAATCTTCTCCGTTTCGGTTTCACGTCAGTCGTTCGCACTTGGCCGGTGGCGATTCAGGGTGGCTAGCGGAAGCGAGGAGATCGCTCCGGAAGCGGAGCGTGAATTCACAGTGGGGAGGAAACCGCCCTCTTACTGTTTCCCTCCTGCGTTAGAGCCCTTTTTCGCCGTTTTCGCGCTCTACAATGTGCATTTTCGGATTCAGCGTAGCGAATAGGCCCAAGTAAGCGTATAATCTCAAAATCGACTTCTTGCTCGGACACTGCCTTTGATTGCACTTATGAACTACCGTATGGCTAGAAAGTCAAAGACCATAAGAAATACTCAAATACGAATTGACTGAATTCATCTCAAAAGTAACTTCATTGAATGCTCTGCTCTCTGTCCTACTACCGGACTTTCCATGATAAGTAAAAAAAATTCTTAAAAGTACGATTTATCTAGATCGTGTTGTAAATGGAAGAAATCAATGAGCATTTAAGATTATAAAGTTGAATGAATCAGAGGATGTATAATATCAGATTAGAACATGTTGCATCTGCATATGTATCATACTAACACTGCGCATGTGAGAAATTTTATTGAAGACAGTGTCCCGGCGAAATTTCGTGTTTCAGTTTTTTTTTTACCTTTTTGGAGCGGTTTGAATGTACAATATCAATAAGGTCAACCAACCTTTTTCTCGATAAAAACCAATAGAGCACGTGTACAGATAGTTTGACGTCGAAACTTCCGCTGTTGTTGGTCTCTTTGGTCCGTACTTGGTTCTTCACGTCGGCTGCGGCTCTCCTAAATGCTCTGATGGCTGAACGCGTGTATGCGACAATTCTCATAAAGGATTACGAAAACAAGGACAGGATGTGGATCTCGATTGTCGTTAACACAAGTTCACTACTTTTAGCGCTTCTATTCGCGTTCAGTTTCATGTTCAGTAAGTTCCGTTATTAATTTACGAACGCATCAACTTCTTTTAGGTTATCCGAAAAGTAGACTCTATTTTCAAATAAATCAAGCTGTTTTCGTTTTCCTGAAAGATTCAATGTACCATTTCAGTAAAGCAGTACAAGTTCTACCAAATGACCACCAAAGGTCCACCTAAGTCGTGGTCCAGGTAAAGTTTGGAGTCAAAAACCAAAATTTTTTGACTCTAAAAATTGGATCTTTTTCCAGAAATTCCTACTGACTATTAACTTGGTCATTATATAGCGGGCACATAGTAGTATCCAAAAATGCATATGATGGGTTTTTTCCGGATTCAAAATTGAGAAACAAAGGGTCCAGAAATGCCAAAATGCCACTTTTTCGGGTTTCTCATAACAAATTTGATATTTCTCGATTATAAAAGCATATACAGGGGATGAAGTTTCAAAATTGTGCTTATTATGGCTTGTGGTATAGTATACAATGACATAGGTGGGAGGGGCTGGGGGCGAGTTTGCCATTTGTGAACCATGTTTTTTATCGCTTTCTGAAAGCGAGAAAAATCTGGTAAAGGCTTATTTGATCACTACGGCGTGCCTACTGTACAATGACCAAGTTGGAGGTCCGTAGGACTCTTTTTCGCAAAAATTCAATTTTCAGGTGAGGAATTTTTTTTTCGATTTTGGCTTCAAACGTTACATGAATTGCGGTTTAGGCAGATCTTTGGAGGTCATTTTGTAGAGCTTGATATGCTCTATCGAAGATACTCTAAATGTTTATTTTTGGGTCAACCTGATAGATGATTTTAGTGCTTGGTAGCGGCTATATACTACTCGTTGGCGGTGGTTGTGCTGGTGCTAGCGGAATAGTTCTAGCTATTGCACTTTATTACTACAATCGTTCGAAGCTACGTAAACTGGATTTGCAGCACAGTTTTCGACGTTCTGTAGAATATACTCTGAGTTCCAAGTTCCAAATGATGGAAAATATCAGAGTGATTAAGGTGGGTAGAAACTATTAGGTGCAAATTTATCTTATCTTGAGTGCAGCAGTAGAGGTTTGTAGGACACAGTTACAAAAACGAGTTCACTTGAGTGGATACAAAGCTATGAGTACAGAAAAAATTGGCCTGTAAAAGATGACTGCGCTTTAACCTGAAGCGGACACAAATACTAGGTCGTAAATAATAGGTCGTTCCAAAGTTCTGCTCGATTTGCAGATTTTCTAACTTGAAACATTCTAACTTCTTTCAAAATGAACATTTTTTGACATTTTAGTTTTTGCTGGATTGAGCAGATTTTTTCTACCACAGTAATCCGATTTAACAAAAGCACAGGCGAGAGAGAAGCGAAAAATTGGAAAATTACCGGAAATTATCTTGAAAATCGGCTAGACATAGTATACTCTTCAATAACGATAGGTGGACACATTTGGTAAATTTTTGAGTAGCCTGTACTCCACAGATTACACCACAGCAAGAAAGGATTCCATGTATTTGTGGGTTCCACAGAACTTTTTCGACCAAGCCACTATTTTATCCCTTCTCCGCACGAATTGCAAAATCTAATATTTGATATTTTTCACTTTTCTTGGATGAAGAAAAAGCTAAGGCTAATGATGGTTACTGCTTGCTCTTACAATATTGAGTACATCAAGTGCCGCTACGCGCAGATTGTTGCTCTTTGTAGAACAGCTAAGAGAATCTTCAAATTGGAGATAATTTGGGTAGCATGGCAATTCTCACGCGGGAGTAAAAATGTGTATACGGCATCTCATCAAACCATAACAGGCTTCAGAATTTTACGCAGGTGTTTTTAGATTACAGCGGAGGTTTTCTCAAAAGAACAATTTTCTTGAGCATGACCACATCTTGGCAACTTCTGCTTTGAGGTTGTAATTTACTAGCCGCGAAGTATTCCAGCAAGATATAGCGAGCAATAGAAAGAGCAAGAAAATATCTTTAACGGGTGCAAATGATAATGCAATAAGTGCAAATCTTTTGGTAAATAGATGCGTTGAACGCAAAGCAACTAAAACTCGGCGAAAACTCTTTTTCAAATTGTTTGCAGCCTACATATCGTCGATTCGCTGACCGCACGGACTGCTCAACGCTACGGACTGCGCGCGACGCGGCTGAAATGTGTCAAGAGCACGATTTGTGCAATGGCGAATTTGTACTGGGGCAAGCGTTTTACCGAGCGGCGCGTGCTCCGCAGTCATGTCCAGTCCGTGCGGCCAACGAATCGACTATATATTGATGAACTAGCAAATAAATTCACCAAGCAGTAAGATATTTTAACCCATATTCCGCAAATATAGATGCTGGTGTTCGCTTACCTATTCCTGTGGCCGTATTCATCAACGAACCCTGAGGATTAAGCTTCCCTCCAGGGTTAGTTTAACCCTCAGGGTTCATTGGCCGTATTCATCAATCATAGGCTAGGGTTTACCACGGAACGCGATCTACCCGTATCGATCAACGAACCTGTGGCCGTATTCATCAACGAACCCTATGATTGATGAATACGGCCAATGAACCCTGAGGGTTAAACTAACCCTGGAGGGTTAAGGCGTCAGTTATGCGTGCGCTGTGCAAACTCACATCACAGAATGCCTAAGTACGCTAAATTTACTTTATATTTCTATTCTTTCATTGTTATAGTAGTATAATCAACGAATAAGCTTCTAGCACTAGTTTTTATGATACATCTCTAGCATATTTGTGCAGCATCTAATCTTACAGCGTGGGTTTATTTTCATGTGTGCAATTGTGCCGTGTAAGTTCTTTTGCGTAGTTCGCTTTATACCGGGCTTGTTCTACTCTTTTGAGGGTCAATGCGTGTTATCATAGGAATTCTTCTGTTTTGGCACTTGTCAGAGTGGAATGCGCAACCATTTTTCCTCGTTGCATTCATTTGTCACCAAGCTAGGATATTTTTTCTCGCAAAGTCAGTGTTTCATGTACTTCGAATCTGAACACGAAACGAAGTTAACTAAATACTATAACAACAGCTAATACTAAGTACTACAACACTCGTTGATCGTTTTCTATAGAACTATTAGATGCGAGTAGATGTTTGTATAAAGTGTTATGGTAGAGTTAACCTTGCTCTGAGCTAGGGTTAAATTAACCCTGATGAATCACGTAAGTTTAACCCTCCAGGGTTAGATTAACCCTCACGGTTCGTTGATGAATACGGGTTAGTCGCTTTCGGGGTAAAATTAACCCTCAATGTTAGATTTAACCCTCAGGGTTAAGCCTCTCTGTGTTTCATGAATACGGGTTAAACGCTTTCCAAGGTTAAACTAACCCTCCAGGGTTAGTTTAACCCTCGGGGTTCGTTGATGAATACGGCCACTGATTCGGTTGCGCGGGTGCCGGTGCCGTGCTGGCTCCGTTACAGAACCCATTCTAGCACGGCGCTGGCATGGCGCTGGAGCAGCAGATTTGGTCGCAGTCTAACATAAGAAATTTTTGGCCCCACTTACATTATCGATAAGAATCGGTGGTGAATTAAGGTTGCCCATAAGACTGCGAAAAACCAGGGTGGAAGACTGAAAATGGACAACTAGAAAACTTGCCAGAATGTACTTTCAGGCCGCCGGTATCACAACGACAGTCATTGCTGCTATCGTAGCCGTAAACGTATTGATACTTACAATAGCCTTTGTTGGATTTAATCACGATGCGGATGCGTCACGTCTTAGCTTCGCTTTGCTTAATTTACTGGCACCCATGTGAGTTCTAACAGACTAGTCATTTCTATAGTAAAATTAGCGTTCATGCGTTGCTGACAAAGTTTGCGCGTAAACGGTGGCAATTTGCGCTCTATGGCCATTTTGCGCGCAACTCGCCAGCAAGTTTAGAATATACAAGCATGGCATTTGTTTCCGCAAATGTTGTCGTTAGAAGCACTAAATTGCATCAGAAGCTACCAAACTGTAACTCTTCCTAACCTTGATGTCTTTTTCAGAGTTGTCTCATCAATGACGGGCTTTTTCGTTGTCTATATAGGAGAATGGAGACGACTACGCAAGCAACATCCATTTCTACGAAAATACATCTCTTTTACCGGTTCTGCAATCGAAGGCACTAAATTGACAAATATAGTGGAAGCTGGAGTTGGAGGTCAACAGTACTTCGACCAGCTTCGAAATGCTTGGGAGCTCAATCGTAAAATATAATTTTTCTTTTGCGATAAATGGTAAAATATGTGTGTAGCGTATGCACAAGATAGGTACAGAATAGCAAAGATTCTCGTGCAATTCAATGTGCAATTAGTTTTCTAAAACGCCGGACCATTATTCGGGAAAATCGAAATAGGTCAATATCTGGTGAGAATAAAGATGTAGACGGTATAGAGCAGATTTGACAGTCCAGTGTCCTTGCACTGTTCACAATACTTGCGCGTTAATGTCTATGAGGCGCGAAACTTGAAATAGGTGCGCTAGACGACTACTTTTTACGCGCAAGTGTTGTCAACACTGTATGGAAAAGATGTCAACCCTCTGATCTACTAAACGGTAAGTGACGTAGAGTGTATCACCAATTAAAAGCTGAAAAGTTCTATTAATGTAGCCGTTGGGGAATTTGAAAGAGAAGGATGAAATGAGATAGTATCCTCGTGACAAGTTGCGTGATGAAATGTAGAAAGTTGATTTTGAGGCATGAATCGAAACAAGACATGCATTTATCGGAGGACGACATGCAAGATAGTTCAATACAGTCATTTTATGATTATGTATCATATGCATATTTCCAAAACAGGAATTAAATAAGAAAGCATCAGAATGTGCAAGGTTTGTGCATAGCGTCTGCGCCCCAGAGAGGTCTCCATGTGAACCAGCGTGCGTACGTGGTGCGACGCTGCCTTTCGCTCTTTTTGACACGTTTCTCCTGACAAGGGAACCGTGTCGAGTCGAAGTGGCCTTTCCAGATGGGGCCCACACTGCTTTGAAGAGCATTAGTCGGTGATTCCAAATCTGCTTTCCAAATCTGCCAAGCGCCTGTGGAAGCCGAGTTATGCTCGTTTTTCAGGTCAAAAAATTGAACGCAAAACTGAAACAAAATCGCCCAAATTTGCTCAAATGGTCCAGTATCAAGTATCAAAGCTGTTTATGCAATGGATAGATTTTGTCTAATATGCTAGCACTTAACATTGCTTTATCTGAGCGCTGGAAAGATTGTAACAATCAATTTTACCTAAATTCTTCATTCATTTTTCGTTCCGAAGAACGGTCATAACTCGGCGTCCAGAGGCGCTTGGCAGATTTGGAAGGCAGATTTGGAATCACCGCTTAATACTCTTCAAAGCAGTATGGGTCTAATCTGGAAAGGCCACTTCGACTCGACACGGTTCCCTTGTGAGATTTCAACGGAAGTGCCCGAGGTTAACACGTTCAAAAGTGCGAAAGGGAGCGAGATGACGTGGTACCTGTGGGAACCTTGCGGGGAACAAACGATAGGTGCTGTAACTAAAGCATAGACAAGTTGTTCAAATGGACGCATTATGGCTGCCAAAAATCCGATAAAATTGATTAGGTCAAAGACAGGGCAAAGAGTAACAATTCTTCGTCTTGGCGGAGAACATTTCATGCCAAAACATCTCAGCATCACTTTCCTGTATTTCACATGAGTCTAGAAAAAAACCGACCTCACTGTATCCACGTTTTCGATATGGCAGGAAATGGCTAAGTTTGGTGACTTCACTGCATCACCGATAAAATCTACCGTTTGTTCAATCGCCAAAGTGGAATCATATGCGGCTTGATTTTATAGTTTAGTAGATTCTTTTATGTGATATAGTGCACTTGCACAAAAATGGTCATGAAGAGCAAAATTCGCAAGTATCTCATCTCTATTTGATTTTGGGGCGTGACTTTGTCTCAGATCGCCTATTTTGTTACAAGGTCAGGTGACCTGTGCACATTTTCGCGAAAGACTATCAAGCTATGCTATTTTCACGTCTCCACCCACCACCCACCCCCACCGCTAACATAGCTCTACTCGCGCTCTACTGACAGTTTGCGCGCCATTATAACAGCGCCAGCTCGAAAAAATTGGAAAATTTGGCACTGTTTCATATTACATTCTCTCAAAATCCTTGATGGTTTTCATGTTTTCATCTGACAAGTTTTCAAAATATAACACTTGAGAAGTAAAATCTAACGTCTATCCTCAAGTTTTTGTCATTTGAATTGCCGTTAACGTTTGCAAACGGATCTGCCAAGAATTGAAACATTACTTCAAAGATTCTTATCAGTCGTCTATCTTAAAGGACTTGAGAGCAATTGCATATGTGTTTCACAATACAATACTCGAGCTTTGAGTTACCTCAATTGGTTATTACTTGGTAGAGAAGAAAGTGTTTGAATATGCTGTGCATATGTACAAAGCATTTTCAAGTCCTCTCTACTAAAAAAGATCTATTTCTTGGTTCTGATTTTAGCGTATAATGGTCATTAATATCCACATAACTCCGCGTGAACGCGAGAAACTAATTCGAGAGGAACGACAACGAAGAAGGATTGCACGATTGCTTCAGGTAACTCCAGCTGTTGTCTACTTTAGATACATATATTTCATCTCTTGTGCTATATTTTCATTTCTTTGCGTTTTAGTAGGTGATAACTCGTTTTTTGAGCTTTTTATGATAGTTGTTTGGCACTTATTGTTCTTACTTATACGAGACCGGTTTTTTATAACTTTTCTTTTCAAGGTTCGGCAGCAAACCGCTGAGAATGCGCAGCTGATCAGAGAACAGTTACATAATAACAAGAAAACCAACTTGGACAAAATCAGGTAAGTGCTTCTATTTTTGTTTTTGTTTTTTCATATTATCATCAGATAGTTTTGTGATTTGTAGACTAAATATACGTTTCTATTTGTGTACTCGCTGCAACTCCTATCTAGTTGAAAACAGCTATGTATGTCTTGATTAGAATGTTCGAGAAGCAGCGTAAATTAGCTCTCGTGCGTTTCTTTCATGCATCAACTTAACTTATTGAACCAAGTTTGATTGCAAATAGTAGCATAACATGATTCGTAGGCTATGGGATTTCCAGAAAGGATTTACGCAGATCGATATCAGAAAACATATCAAGGGTGGCGTCTGAAACACGATCTGAAATGCCAAGAATACCGCTTCCCTCCGACTCATCGTCCGTGTCAAGTGCAACTTCTGGCGTGAGTTTAAATCCAATTATTCAACACAGTGCTACAGCTATGTTCTCACAGGCTTCCTCTACCCGCACGCCAAGGCGACATCGCCATGTTTTCACCAAAGACGACGCTATCAAAGCGTTGCAACGCGGTCGTCGCGCGCATCAACGCCTACTTGAAGAGCGGGCCGAAGCGAAAAGGAAGGCGGAAGAAGCCGTGCGATTGAGACGTGAAGCAGCTGAGGAAGCCAATCGATTCAATAAGGTAGATCCTAATGATTTCATACGATATAAAAATGTTTATCAATCAATACACATTCATAACAGAACGAAAAATTACAAAAAGAGAAATTACAGGCAAATCCTACGGCTCAATGAGATCAGGAAGGAAGAATGCATGTGCGTCATAATGCCAGTTACGTTTCCTGATTTTTATAGGTTAGGCGTGATTCACTCAGGCTTATCCGTGATTCTTTACAATTTACAACTCAGTTTTTGCAACGCTAAACCTGCCAGGTTGGGTTCAACAATAGTTTTCATGGTTTGAGTTAGGTCTAAGCTGCTGAAGTCGGTTCTCTAATTTTCGCATGTATATCTAACTCGTCCACCAAAATTGATGCGTCGTGGTGGTTTCTCGCAGACGTCAAACGTCAGCTTGAGGCAAGAGATCTCATTCTCATAGAGCAGCCATGGCAGGTAGTCGTCCCTAAACAAATACTTACTATTGCTGTGATATATTATTGGTTGTTTGAATTGATTTACATACTACAAATGCCACTTGCCAGAACAGAATGTTGAGATTTTTTGCACTAATATATGATGAGTATAAGATATGCAATATTCAAAGTGTGAGTGTGTCAGTCGGGCAGGAGACCGAATTTCCCCATTTTGGACTACCTTAGCAAACAACAAGTCTCTTGCGATGCATGTCGGTTGATGACTGTAGTTTTTGGAAACGGCGCTTATAGGAAGTTTGCTCCCCCATTGTCACTCTCTTGCAAGCACTGCTTTCTTACAAATAATCATATGTATAGAGATAACATACTTGTGCCAGATGTTCTTTCTGTACTCGATGTACCATTGACTAAATTTATCAAATTGACCATTGTTGACATCCCAAGTGCGTCGTCGCTCCTCGAGCTCCCTAGAATCATGACATAAGTGTGAAATCGTCTCTTTCAGAAGATTCTAACATAATCCCAAATATAACACGTAACATAATCCCAAATATAACACGACCAAATACTAATCGAAGTATACAAACTAGCTTCCCACAAATGCCAAGTCAAAGATGATTCATAGGGGTTGTTTTTCTCCTACTTGTGAATCGAAAGCTAAATGGCGGATGTTTCATGCGTTCAAACTTAGGTCCAGCCAAACTGCAGTCATATAGCTATGGATAAAAATACAGTTTGCCCCAATCGAAATCAGGCCGAAGCATTGGTTAAATCGCGTGCTCGCCGCTTAGGATTTGCGCTGCATGTGTGTGCGCAAAGCATTGTCGGAGAGAACACCTATCGCAGTCGTAGACGTGACGCAAATTTTAGCTGTGCGGACGCGCATGATGCTACTTTTGGCCTGTCCGACTTGGGACAGACTGTAAGTCCGTGTATTTCCTTGTCACTCTGGGCCAACACTTGTCACGAAAAAGCATGCAAACTGAAATTCACTCACACTGAGCAGCAGCTACAAACATTTTTCAAGTTATGGAAGAAGATTCTGTGCAGTTGCACATATTTCCTTTTCAACTAAACAAGTACCTTCAAAGTTATTACGAATGTGTACAGACGATTCAACACTTACAAATTAGATGCATAATACCTTTACGCATACAAGATTAATGAGAAGGATAAAAAATGGCAAGAAAAAGGGTAATGGTATGTAAGCCTTTTGAAAAGTAACATAAGTGAGTCTGTTTCTTGAGAACGTTTTTTTTTTTGATGCGGAAAATGGTTTTACTGTTATCACATTGGTTAATAACCATTTGATTTGAATGTGTTTATCATGCCTAAAAATACCAATGCAGGTTACCTAATGATAGGTTTCATTTCAATTATTATTTTGTTCTGAGACAAATCATGAAAGCACTGAATGAATTTTGCTTATTGGTTTCGAATTTTTTTCATGTACACGGCAAGTAAACCGGCTGGAAAAAGATTCAGTCGTAGACAGACGTAATTTGCAAAATTCATGAGTCCATCAGAATACAAAAGAACATATCATTAAGATGAAAATCGTAAAAAGATACCTTGCCACGCTTTCTTCAATCTGAGCCTCCTTCAGTAATCGCTTTCTTTCAACAATACCCGTAGCATTGAATGCTAGCCGAATTTTCGCTATCACAGAACCCTATAAAGCAAGAAAATATTTTATATAAAAGTCAGTAGAAGACTCACATAGCCAACTTGTTGCAAGCTAGCCAATGCGCCCTTGTAGTCGCCTCTGTCTCCTTGCAGAAAATCCATCTCACAATCACCGTCCGTATCAAATGCGGCCCAATCGTTGAAACAAAATTCCTGCACACAGAAAAACAGTGAGAAACAAGGCACACTACAGAGTCCACATCCTGACTTTTCTAAAAGTATAAAATCCCGGTCGCTTCGGACAACTGATGCCTTTCAGCTGGCTGGCGATCGAATCAGACACACCAACATCACCACTGTCGATTTCAGTGAGAGAATGGCAAACGTCACAGTAATAGCTATAATGTTGATAAAAACTTTTTGAAGCAAAAGAAAAATCTTCAAAAGCATTGGCTCACCAGTTATTTCCATAGCCACCACAACCATTATTTGAAGCATTTTGACATTTCAAATTTGAGAAGTCCTTCACATTCCACCACTGATATTCAGCCTTTGCAAAGAATGAGTTGCCAATGATATTTGGATCATCTTTTACCTAAATCTTTGTTTCGTTAAGGAATGTTTTGGGATACTCTGAAAACAGAATCGTACCCGCATGTTTTTGATCTCGAGTGTAAAGCAACCAGGTAATCGAACTACATCTGGTTTTATTCTAACTTGACCAGGATTGATTTCCAGCACTCGTTTTGCACCAGGTCGTGCTAAAATAAATTCTTACAATCATTATAAGAATCACCAATATTATAGTTGTGCTTGCACAGACAAAACAATTACTCAAAAGTACCAATGGCGGTCTCAGGTTCCGTCCGGGAGAGGGGGAGGGAGGGGGGCAAAAAGTTTTTTTCGAAGGTGCGTGCTGTTATCCACGTATTCCGAAACAATTTTGGGGTGCTTCTCAGATTTTAGAAGACCCATAACCACTGAAATTTTGACCAAGGGAGAAAAATTTTCAACAAGGCTATCTCGATTATTAAAAATTTCAAACATTATTCTAATTATTCAAAAGAATAAATAAGTCACCTGCACATTTTAACAACCCATTTAAGCAAATCCCGAAAATTTTGCGACCCTTCGGGGTGGGGGGCCTCCCTCTCGGACCGCCACTAAAAAGCACGAAGATGATTCACCCTTGGATTACTAAATCCGCCCTTTGCATGGCCCTTATGTGCACACTCTTGAGTCACCATTTTGTTAACTTACTATGTTTGAATCTCGAATCATAGAAATTGAAATAAAACCTAGATACTTTGATAATAACTTACTTATAATCTTTTCTTTTTACGAAAAAAAAAGAATTTTCGAAAAACACGCACGGATAAAAAAAACTTCGGAGTAAGCATCATGAAACCTTGATCTTGCAAAAACTCACTACATGATGCATCGGCTCGACCTGGTATTAACCAAACATCCTGGTAATTACAATGACTTTTTTGTCTTCGTCGCACATCTGTATGCCTTCCTCCATTTCTAAAAAAGAGCCTCTATGAAAGTATTACATCACCCGTAATCCTTTACCTATATAAGGCTCTACATTCTGGATCTAATATATCACAGTCCAACTGGCAATGTACAAAAGTGATTAAAGCTAGTAGGCCTAACAACCGCGGCATCTGAAAAATTGCGATGAAAGCCAATTCATCAGGTACAAATTAGAAAGCAAAATTGAAAAATGTTAATAATAAATAGGTGGGGATGAATAGTTAGGAAATTTAAAGACTTAGTTACACAAAACAAAATTTTTGATAAACGCGCGGCAATGGAATGAAAACATCTCTTATGCATGGATGACAGAAAATAAGAACGTATGATACATGATTTGGAAAATATTTTTTATATAGGAGAAATTTCTTATCTGAGATCTATAGGGATGAAAGAAACAGCGGCGTTTTACGAGAATGTCGACAGTTTCTTGCAGTTTCTTATGAAAAAGATTTTTTGGCATAAGAAACTGCCGAGAGTATTCGTGAAATCATTGAAGTTTACATAAATAGATGCTGCAGTTCAGAAAATCTCAAAGAATCTTTGATCCTATTGATCTGGACTTTTGGTCGTCCAATTTCACGCAATATGAACAGTAAGTCGGCAGAAATCACAAAGTCTACGTTTTCACACGATCGATTCTCAAGTTGGGCTAGGTGATGGATGGCGTAGTAAGGGCATTGAGAAGTTTTTCGTGCACAAGGGCAAAAGTGAAGATAACTCGTTTCGTCAAGCGATTCTATATTAGGAGTAGCTTCCAAATTCGGCATATGAAGAAGAAAAGATTATCAATTTCATTGTAAAAAGCTACATTTTTCACCGTTTCAAAAATGATTTTTAGTTAACCTTTACAGCGGAAGGGTTTTTAGTTAGCCTTAATCGAAGTGGCCTTATCGACTGAGATGCATACTATCTCAAAGGGCATCGAATACTGATTTCGAATCTGTCTTTCTTATTTGCGGAGCACCTCTGGATGAGGAGTTACGTTTGTTTGATAAGTCAAAAAACCTAACGCCTAATCAGAATAAAACCAATATTGAGAGCCTTTCCGACTTACAGATGGAATTCTGGCGAGCACGGGTTAGTAAGTATGAGATTTTCTCTTCATGAAGTCTAGCAGTGGCAGGTTCCACTTGAGCTCACGAGAATCTTCCACAAATGATTTTCTTCTGACCACGCGTTCAAATTTTCGCTACAAAAGCTTTCATAACTCCTTGTCCAGAGGCGCTTCGCAGATAAGGAAGACGGATTTAAAATCAGCGTTCGAGTACTTCTTGAAGGTATACATCTTTTCTGGAAAGGCCACTTCGACTAATGTCCCTAATTAATATTTTTTTTTCATTTTGAAAGCAAATTGTACATTGTAGTTGTAACAAACGGGAATTTTCATTGAATGAACGAATATCGAGTTACTGATTTTCAAAATAAAATTTTTTCGAGCGAGTGAATATCGAATAATTGATCATCGAAAAATTCTCGAATGAACAAATATTGTTCGATTTCCGATTTTCATATTATTCGAAGAATATTCCAATACGGACACATTCCAAAGCTCGAACTTTCGAATATTCGAATAACCGAATTTGACTGAATATTCGACTGTTCGAATAATCGAATAATTGGATGTCATCGAATATTCGAACATACGAATTTACGAATGGAATCTTCGACTATTCGAATATTTAATAACCGTTTTCCAAAACTTCTCAAATATTCGAATAACTGTCTTTTGAAATTCCTCGAATACTCGATTAAGTCTCCGAGTCGCCGAATCCAATTCCTCGAAATTCCTCGAATTATTCGAACAAAGACCTTTTTCGTTTATTCGACTAGTCGAATAATCAAATAAATGGACTTTCTCGGATATTCGACTATTTCGAATAATATTCGCAGGGCTCGGCACAGGTGGCTTACAAGCAAGCTGGATATCGTTTTTGGGAAAAAAAGCAAAAGCGGTTTCGTTTCGGCCGAAAAGACACAAAATTTGCGACGTTTTTTCTACTCAACGTTCCATTTTCTGGAGGTTTTTTTAGGGATCATGGTCTAGGGTCAAAGGGGACTTCGTAAAAATTTGCAAAATTCAAGGGGGACTTCGTTTTTTGCATTTTCATCTAGGCCACCTCGTGCCGAGCCCTGATTATTCGAAAACGAATAGTCGGTGCCACTATAGTGTACATTATGAAAAAAAACATTTGAAAGCTTCATCGGGTTTAGCTCTTAGAAGTACTTCTAAAAGCTAAACCCGCTGATCAAAAAGTCCCCGACTCATGCTGTGCACTTCCACTTTTGCCGAGTGTGGCCGCAGAGGAAAAGAGTTTGTAATAGGATTTTGAATATATACCGATCAATAAGTGGGAGAATTTTTACCAAAGATTATAGATAAAAAGTACAAGTTTGAATGCCAATGCAAAGACGCACTATAATGGCGAAAAAATCGGAATAAGATGTTAAGGAATAAGTACTATCCCATGTACTTGTACTTCGCACAAAGAACGTTTGATATGGTACAAGCAATGAAGAAGCGCAAAAAACATCTCTAACATAAGAGGGATTATCCTTGAGCTTCACAGGGGTCAGAAAAAAGCGCTCTTAATTAGAAACCAATTCTAGCTAACAAAAATTCTCTCAAATCGACGACGTGAAAATAATTTAGACATAGATGCGGAAATGGACATCAATCGTAGGATTGCTACAAAGATTTGCACACAAATTAATGTGGATATCTGGATTTTGACTGCTCGAGAATTACGTTAACGGGCCGGTTGTAAACAAACAATTATGCAATTGTGACAACTATAATTGATGTGTTGTTTGACGTTTGCTTCGATATGAATTGACATGGATCACGGCGCTTTTATTTACAGTCTATCTCAATTTCATAGGAAAATATGAAACGAAAAGGATAGCGGAGCGTATCGCTAGCGCGCAGCTAAGAAAAGCCAACACATCAAATCAATCACTTCTTTTCACTAAATTGGGGCAACGTTTGAACGGCAAAGAGATGGCATTGCATCCATTAGTGGTCTCAAGGTTGAGCTGAAGAACATAATTTCCGCTCGTCGTACGCAAGAATCTCACACAGAAAAAGACCACTTGTGACGAGAGAGCACATCCGAGCTTGAGAGGTCTGAGTGAATGACGAGGCGATACAAAAATTACTGGCTGAAGTGCAAGTTAGATGACCACTTCAAGATTTGCAATCGAAAAGAGGTCGTCCCGTACAATTAGGAGCTGAAATCGAGATCTAGTTTGTGATCGATCAAAATGTCTATAGACTGATTTTTTGGACTAGACTTCAAGAATGTTTCTAAAGAAGCCTTAGTGATAGAGACAAATCCTATCAAAATCTTATTTTTGAAAAACTATGAAACTGCATCACTGGAACAGAAGAAAAAACCAGAATATCAATCCTTTTTCAGTGAGGAAAGAAAGCACCAAGTATTAAGACGAATAAACCTAGAAATTCCATACCATCGAACTTCTACAATATTGTAATGCAAAAAACTAGTTTTCGTATAGTTTTCACAAGATGGACGGTGATAACACGGTCTCTCAACGTCTTTGGGATTTATCATAGAAATATTCACAAATACCATAAGAAGTGAATAGGTTAGTTTTTGAAATTACCACATGCCAAATCTTTCAATGCATTCTAGAAAACTGAAACCAACGAACTTATCAATAGATCTATTTTGAGATTTCTTGATTTATTCTTTTCGCAATTCGAACACTGCGACTATCGATGTTGATCTAGACGAAAACAAACAATATCTGATTTGCGCATCTATCGATAAACACCACTATTCATTCGTCTCGTCAAAGATAACAAGAATTTTTCCGGAATCAAAAAAAAAATCTATCGCGGTCTGATATGTATAAAAGGCGCTTTTTACGGTTATGAAGAAATTTTGAAAAATTAACTGCTATCATAAACAATTCGATTCTGCTGCGAAATACAAGTTTTTTTGCAAAGACAATGTTGTCTACATCGCTAGCTTATTTGATATGCTTTTCAAATTCATTTCGGGCCATGGGAGAGAGGGAAAAGATCAACTAGAAAGTGGCCTCTTTTTTTAGAGTCCTCAGAAGTTCAGAAGACCAGCAGTTTTTGCACCTTTTGTATTTCCTATCGAAATGTCTTTGAAACTTTTTTCTGCATGGAGTTAGCCAAAACCGCAAATGTTGTTTAAGCCTTATTTTGCATTTTAGCCATGGCGATCCCTGTATAATCGACATCTACGAAATTTAGAAGCTGTCAAAGACAGTTTGACAGCTAATTTGCGCGCTATTGAAAATTCGAGAGTAGTTGCGGGTACAAAGTCGAGAAGCTCTTCGTACATATTACTTAAGATTCAAGCAGCCTACTTCGTTCAAGGAGTGGAGTTGGCAGCAAAAAAATCTATGCCGTTGAAACCATCTTATTTTGCTGTGACATACGCGCTCTATGAAAACAAATGTACCATCAGAAATCCTAGGTTCTTATCTACATAAGCTTGCAAAATTTTTTTGTGGAAATACAATGAAATATTGAGTCAGAATATGGTTTCAAGTTACCCGGGCTTTCCCCCTTTATAAGCTGATAAATAATAAAGTTTACTGAAAAAAAAAGCGAAGTAGATTATTTGCCAACTTTGCGTCATGTGTCTCTCAGTCAAAAAGAGCTATTTTATCTTAGGAAGATTAAGATATGGATATAGCCATATCCTGTTATTCTCAAGAGAGAAAAACTAGGAGATAATAAGAGCGCAATTGGCTACTAAAGTGAGAGTGTAAAAGCTAGTAAAAGTAACAGATACGATTTTTTTTTTGCTCGGAACAGATGCTACTATTCATGTTTCCCATTAGATAAGAGAGTCAAACATCTTCACGGCCACGCAGTCACATAGAAGAAGTGACACCAAACAGGTAGATATCGAAAATATCACTGTAAAGAGCAAAAGTCGGCGAATTTTGCATTGTGCGTTTACTCCCATAAGCGACAGTGTATAGCGTTTGTTTAATGCTTATTCTGTTTTCGGCGATGACATACGGCGGCGTCGATTTCGGCGCCGTTGATGGCTGGGACGCAGCCAGCCGAAACCGGTCGAGGAAGCGACAAAAAACGATGAGGCGAGTAACAAAGCAGCATTTATTGACTTATTCCTTTAATACACTACGACGAGACCATTTTACTATGTAGGATGAGCAGTCGATTATGTTACCAAAGTCACAGCACTGTGCCGGCCGGCGATTATGACGCGGAAAGCACCAGTAAAGATAAAAAGCATTGAAAATATCAGCGTAGATTGACTGATTTTCGAGCTGCGGGCAATCACTCTAATCCTTTGCAAAAAGTCAAGATTGGTTAAAAAACTAAAAAAAATGAATTTGTTACTCTTAGGCAAATGGACAAACAAAGCCGAAGAAACTGCTCATCTATGGAGAGTTCAAGATTTTACTCACAAATAAACTGTTCACAGAAGTGACCTCAAGTGACGATTTGAGGGCCTGGTGTCGAAAGATCAATGAAAACTCAATGCACGCCCGACGAGAACTGGTCCCCAACTTCTTCATTCAAAAAAATTGCGAAAATGGAGAGATTCTCATAAGAATGCGATTCCGATAAAAAAAAACTGATCCTTAAACCACCCAAGCATGGATATATAACTCAAAGAGTTATGGCAACAATTCGAGCATGCGAAGGAAGATGATTAATCACTACATGAAAATTTTGATGAGATGCCAACAAACACAGTGCAAAGAACCACTACGGAACCACGCGTGATAATTTGCTCTTCTAATAAGAGTACTTTGAGTAAAAATATAGGGAAGTGCGAAGCTTACCAAGGTCGCGCAAAATCCATCCAGTACAAAAAATCGTAAACGAGAAGCGCAAAGGAAAGAGAGCTTAATTCGGAAATGAAGGAAACAACACAAAATATGACCAAATTGCTCAACTTTTACAGCGTCTGATAAGTTTCAGAAGCTTGAAATGGAGAAAGTAATCCAAAGCATCTACCACGAAATAGATTCAAATTACGTGCATGCTGCACTTTCGCAGAACACACCCGGAATCGGGCATCTCAAAATAACTGGACTTTCATTAGCGCGAAAGAGATGCGCAACGTGTTCAGTTCGGAGACAAAAACGAGCTTAGGTATCACATCGTACCTGGGCGATGTCGCGCACGCCGCGCATTGCCGAACGAAGTCAGCATTCGCACACCAAACATATCCATCAACATTGCGGGACCGGATCCTGATGATCAAACGATTGATAGTAGCCATGCTGCCGCCACGACGACGCGACGAACTGGATGCACACCTCTAGAATAACGACACACACACAAACGCTTTCACATCGCATCGCAAGCGCGCTAACTGCGCTGCGGAGCTTTTTAATCTGTCTATCCACGCTCAGGAAAACGTTGACATCCTTCATTCAACCCCTAACAAGGCGTAACAAAGCACAAATAGCAGAATGCAAAGAGTATACAATGTAACATTATGCTACAAAACAATTGAAACTTCACAGGGAGAACGTGGCTCGAGTAAAGAAAAACCCGCAACAAAAAGTAAGAAAATTCGGCCACCCAAATATTGGCGAGTTCATATTGTACTTCAAAAATCAAGTTGATGCAACTAAATGTTTAGGCGCTGGTAGTAGCTTCTTCCATTTCGATATTCTTATCGATTTTCGAAACATGGCGATGTTCAATATTGAAGGCATCAATGAATTGTTGCGAAGATTGTTGAAGGACATTTTCGTTGAGAAATCTAAAAATTAACGGTCAACAAATCGAGAAAAGAGCAGACTTGTGAAACTCTTGTTTAAACAGAGACCAATAGACAAAAAGGAAAAATATTCTCAAGCGAAAAGAAAAAAACTCCAAAACTTGCTTTTCCGGTACAGTGACGTGCAATATTTCAGGTAACATCCACGGTTTTAGCCAGCCTACCAAGGGACTCTGACCAGCCTCGTAGACTACACCAGAGTGATAATAAAGCAGTCCATCTAGTTCAAAACTGCAAAAAATCGTTAAAATTTGTAGCAAGCACTAAAAAAAATTAACTCACTCAAATCCATTCCTCATCATTTCTTCCATCAAAGTTCGCTCACATTTGCAACATGGAAGCGCAACAAAGCGATAACTAAAAAATATCAATAGAAAAAAAGAGATCGAAGGAGCCAAAAATGGTCACTCACGGGAACTGCTTCGATGGCGACTGCAATTCTGGTGTTTCCTTCAACTTCGATGATAGCATATACTGTCGAAAATCAAAAGGATTTGCGCTCATATCCATACCATTCCATGCTAGTATGTCCAAACAATAGAAAGTTTTCTTTGCGTCCATAATGCAATCCAGGATTGTATATGCAGCTAAATCAGATTATTCATTCCGTAAAATTTCCGCTTTCAATAGTGACTTACATGACTTTTGGTATCCTCCAGGTAATCGAGATCGAAACTGTGTTATAGTCTTACCAGCTTTATTATAAGCCGTTGTAGCTCCCTAAAGATGATTGAAGTGTTTGAAAGATGAAGTCGTGAAGTCATGAAAAAGGCCACAAACAACTTCCTCACTCTCTTCTCTCTCCTCCCCACCTCTTTTATAGAAAATTTGTGGTTCATTTAGCATAAAACCGCAAACGATGACAGTAGTTCACTAGCTAGAATTTTGCCAGTGACAATGAAGAGTAGAGGACAAGGGAGACGGTCAAAAGTTTTCCAAACGTTTCTCCAGCCTTTCCCCAAGGGTAACTAGATCAGCAGCCCAATGTCGAGCTATGCAAGTCTTTCAGGAATAAGTCTACTTACTAACCATCTGAAGTTACCATCTGCTAACAATTGGACGACCTTTGGTGAAAAACTGATCCAAATATTTGCAAAATTACCATTAGTAGCACCTTCACGGGCTTTTGACTCCCAACATTTATGATTGAATGAGCTGATGTCCAATTGGCATTCAATCGCGCCTATTAACATGCACCCGAGGACAATAGGTGCCGGTAGCCTCCACTCGCGTGGACCGCTGGCACGAGCTACAAAACGTAGAGGGCCCTATATGTTGCAGATGTCGCGCGGGACCTCCCCTTCCCTTAAAGGCAGTGTCCTGGCAGATTCGGGTCCTGGGGGATATACGTGTGGTGGGGTTCCTGGTCACTCCATCGCCCTCCAGGCGCACTCCGGCTGGGTGATGTTCCCCCTGGGCCGAGAAAATGGCCCTTGAACCGGCGCGCGCAACCCCAACTGGCGCGCGCCTGGACGGCCTTCCCCGACTGTTCGGCGCGGGACCCCACGAGCGCTCTCCTCCATGACGCATGCTATCCAAAGCAAGAATTACAGGCGGCAGGATCTTCGTCTGAGGACCTCCCCCAACTTTCCATCAAAAATCTCGTCCAAGCTGCTTTTGTGGAATTAGGAAAACGCCCCAAAATCGGCCTTTTCAGCCCGTTCAAAGCTCAAATTCGGATTCTACGTGGCGAAAAGGCCTAAAACATGCAAAAAGGTGGAGGTGCAGAATCTGCCGGGACACTGCCTTTAAAGGCAGCGTTCAGGCAAGTCTGAACACATGGGGATCTCACGCGGATAGTAATTTTGGGGCCTAACTAAGCCACTGCCCAACCGGCAGCTCGGGTAGTGCTCTAACGGTTGAGATATTCCCCTCGAAACTGGACCCCGCGATCGTATTTCGCATGGATTCATGGCGCAAAGCGTGGATCCTGGTGCGAAACTGAATCCATGCGAATACGATCGCAGGGTCCAGTTTCGAGGGGAATATCTCAGCCATTAGAGCACTACATGCGCTGCCGCTTGGGCAGTGCCTTAGTTAGGGCCCCAAAAGTACTTTCCACGTAAAATCCCCATAGGTCCAGATCTGCCTGGACGCTGCCTTTCCAGTCCTACACCCAGAGTTCACTATCCATTACTCGCGCGACGATCACCTATTGGTCCATGTGAGCTTACCTTTGCAGCCACAACTAGTACTCGCTTCCCAACCGGTGATGGAACCATCATCCATTCTGAAGACAACTGCTCAGGAATATCCACCAACCATTCGCTGAGCATCAATTCATCTGCATACCTATAGGTGAATGAGTGCAATCCACTTGTAAATTACACAGAATTTTCGCTAGCACACCTTGATTTATATCGCTTCTTGCGCAAATCCTGTGGCTTCTCCTCTTCATCCTGGCTATCTTTTTGTGTGTCAATTATTTCTTCTTCATCATCATCTTCATTTTCAGCCAATTTCCTTGTGTGGTTGAAATGATCAAAACGGCTGTTTCGTTGTCGTTCCATAGCCTAATAACACTCATTTGGAAGCATTGCCCTCTCAATTTTCCGAAATAACTTCTTGGTTTTTATGAAAAAAAAGGGAAATAAATGCAAGAAAAAAACATGTTGTGTATTTTGTCTCAGCATTTCGTTGCGAAAGGTAGAAGAAGAACTCAGGAAAAAACGATTTTTGTAAAAAGACACCAACTTACATCCTCTCTCCGTCTTGCCTGTTGTTCAGCAGCTCGTCCAGCATTTTTGAATCGACTAAACCGCGGATGCTCACCTAAGATGATCAAAGTAACATCAAATACACTGTCCTTCATATATTTTCAAATCTGACAACCATACCATACCCAACGCGGCAGGATCCACCTGTGCTTCAGTCAGCTGGCCGACAAGTGCTTCTATGTCGTCCATTTAGTGAAAAAGGGAAGTCTTATCCTTGTTTCTGGCAAATGCACTTGAACACTAGAAAGCACAACTCTTTGAAAAGTGACGAGATCAGACACAACAGACCATAACAGCAACAACAATCAATCTGTCACAAGAAATATTAGGGGAGAAACCACTGAATGTTTCGAAAGTCTCCAAGATAGAGATAATTCTGAGCAATTTATAACGGATAACAAAACAAAAACAATGATCATCAACAACAACAATAACATCTGAAAAATTCAACAGATAAACAATGATTCTGGAAAATTCCAAAAATGTTAAGCGGGTCCAAGCATTATTTACAACATATAGATAGATACAAAAGTAAATGCAAAGACAACTCAGCGTCGACCTACTTGGCCTTACAATGTATATCTTTAACTATTCCTCGCCCTAGAATGCGTATGCCTTCGAGAACTTCATCTTTATTCAGTCGCATAGATGCTCCTGCTTTTTCAATGAAGTGTGTGTTACATCTCGAGATCTAAACACCTTACAGTGGTTATATAAAAGAATATCTCATTAGCAATGAGTACTGAGCTCAAAACAAGAATCAACTACAACAATTAGCTGGCTGTATGCATCAGGGAAGAAAAAATCGAAAAGAAAACATAGAAAGAAAACATCTTCAGTTCCTTCAATAAGAGTGTTAAAAAGTTCCTTTTGCGGAAGTTTAGCTAATGAATGACTCGCTTTGCGAGCTCAATGTTTGCGCACTTTCCCTTACCCTCTCCACAAAAATTGGTTACAAAAATCACGAAAAATAACATCGTTTATACTTTCAAAGCTAGAAGACCGGAAGTCCAGCTCACCTTTGCTGGTACTTCTGCCTCATAAGGCTTCCATAACAATCCGATACGATCTCCTCCATATTTATTCCAGAAAAACAACGCTACGTGTTGAAAATGAGCGTTTAGCGCAAAAACAAGCTCATCGACAGGGTCGAAACTAACAACGGGCAAAGCCTAAAGGACTATTACCATCAAACGGTGGTGTATTGAAAAGTTATCGCCACCTCTGGTTCTTTGATCGCGGGCGTTTTTTCGCTACTGCCGCTCCTGACAACCATTTTTGGAAATAATTCAATAACTGCGTCATAGATTGACATGTCCACGGACAACAACGCAGACTAAAAAGGCATTGAGTGGCGCTCAGCAGTCACTCTGCAGAACACGATACAAACCCTGAGATTCACTGGCTTTTCATTTTTGTAGTTGAGATCGAGCACATTCAGTAAAGTTTTAGCAAGCCCAATGATCCGCTTCAGCATCAATGGGGTTGGGCCATCCCGAGTCCACCTGGAGTTGCTCGGTTTACAGCGTGTTGATATTAGGATAAAATGTGCCATAAGGACAAACCTAGACCCAGCAGGATCTTCATTGGTGATTATCACCATTGGGGGGAGAATAGGTCGCATTTTTACGAAATTCGCTTCCAATTTTGCAACTTCTTCCTCTGCAAGACTCCGGGATCAACTTTTCGAAAGGCTCTCACCATGCTTTAGAAAAATTTGAACACAAATAACACATCCATCTCAACTCTCACCGTTCCAAGCACTATCGAAATCAACGAAAAGTGGTCGAGCAGTCCAATTATGGCCGATAATGAGATGTAAAACTTGCCGAAAAGCAGCGAAAGGAGTCCTGAACCAGAATATGCAGTTACTTTGATATAACTGACACATAATAGTTACACAAAATGCTTAGAACTAAGAATAAGTAGGCCTCACTGTGGTGAAGGAAGTACTGGATGTTCAAAGGCTGCTGCTACAATCATCTCCAAGGCAAGATCTGGTATTGCATTTGTCATCAGATGAACAGCCAACCACCTACAAAAACGTATCAGTTATTACAATTTTTTATTTACAAATTCCCCACTTCTTAACGATCTGCACAGCTTTACCAAACGCAGCATGTTTCGTGGCAAACGACTGTAGCGATGCTTGTAATAGCGATTCGTGAACATATCTGAGAAAGAAAACAGTAAAAAACAAAGTAAATGATCAGTAAAAAAGGTAAATGAAAGATTTCGTATGCTTAACGCAGCTTAAACTCACTGTTTCTTCCAAGCTTCTAATCTTTGTCCTTCAGCGCTCGTTCGGATCCTTGTAGCGCCACTGGCCCTGACCTTCTCCACCCGTTCCTCCAAGAGCTTCAGAATTTTATCCAAGACTAGCACTAATTTGAAAACAACGCCGTCCTAAACACTATAGTCACGTGATAATATTCAATGTCAAAAGATAACCTACCTTTACAACAAACAACTGATCGACAGTTGGTACAGCAATCAGTCCATGTTTTTCTTTGAGATATTTTCCTATCTAAAGACCGATTGGAAAATCACCATAGCCACAGAAAGTTGAAAAACCTCAATGTAGAATGCAGCGGATAGTTGTCGTATTCCCTCAATAGTGTCACCCCATTTTCCAGAGTATTCCAGTTTCAAGTGCACTAAAGAGTAGATAGCATAAGAAATACCAATCTTGATAAGATTTTACTCAAGTGATCATAATTGTCATAAATCGAAAAAAGGATAATAAGCCATAAACGGCCAAAAAATGGGGTAGACCAAAACAAAAACCATCAATTTCTTTACCTGTTACAGCACCCGTATACGGTGGAACGGCTCGCTGTGCGGGCATTCGATGCCCATCTTCGATATGTCCCTGATCTGCAGTGCAAAGCACTTCTGCAGCACAAGGCTGAAACCAAATTTTTTTAGTAACTTTAGTAGTTTTGTAGACATACATCACCATGCATACTTCCGTATCTCTCAAATATGGGCTAATTCCATGAATGTTAGTAATCATGAGCGGAAGTCCTTTTGCCGAACGCAGTATACCGCTGAGACTTGCGAATGCCGTCGTTATCTTCGCATTCACTTCTTTCGGAGACACGAAATCTGTCGGAAATGTGCTTCGCCAAGAGATGCATCCAGCTGGTAGACCAAAGTGACTGAAATTTGATTATGCGAAAAGCGCAAAGCAATGAATGGAAAGATCTTTACGAGATACGCAGGCAAGTTGAAACTTTCTAGCAGTTTCCCCGCCCCATGTGACTGATGAAAGAAGTAGATAGAGGCGCTGCAGAAACAGGTGGCGGAGCATGAAAAAAAGAGAGCACACGCAGCCAAGTGAAAAGGGGATAAACAAAGGAAAAAAGGGGCAAAGCTATATATGACAATGAAACAAAAATGAGCTAGAAAACGATGATCTACATAGAAATGCGACATTACATTGATTCAGGTATTGATGATTTTTCGATGTAGAATATAGGACTATCGAAAAAAGTTTTAGACAAAGAAAGATGACATTCGAAAAATTCTTTTGAGCTCGCATCTCCAAAACATTCACTTTGCATTCAAACCCAGAAGGTAGGGTGAGATTGAAAAAAAAATAGAAAAAAAGGTCACTATTTTGTTTCCCAGTCAGAATGCTTCATTCTTACTTGCTAGACCTAAGACCTTTCTTAGCGTCAGAAAACGGAGGGGAAGTGAACAATACTAAGGGCCGCATGCACTAACCTCCCCGCTGGGGAGGGGATCGCAGCCTAAAAGAAAGCTTTATATTTCGAAACTCCAGATACCTGGATTTCACGTTGTGTACCTATCCGTAGGTATTCCTACTACCCTTTACTATGAACACGTTGAAGAGGAGCGAGAAGCTGTACGAACCGCATTTTCCAGCTTTTGTATAATTCCTGATGATCCCCGGCGCTTTTCTTTAAAGTCATTTTTCTTTCTCCGAAGTTAACGAAAACTTACCAAAGCTGTACTGAACATCTAACACAACAGTGCTAAGCATGTTGCTGATGAGAACAAATGAGTTTTTGAAAAGTCGAATTTTTCGGTAAACCTCAAATTTCGACCTGTGGATTATCGAAAGTTTCATGACTTCAAAACATCATTTGTTCTTATCACGAACATGCTTAGCACTGTCGGGTTGAATAATCTGCACAACTTTGGAGGTTTTTCGTTAACTTCGGAGAAAGAAAAATGACATCAAAGAAATGCGCCGGGGATCATCAGGGATCATACAAAAGCTGGAAAATGCGGTTCGTACAGCTTCTCGCTCCTCTTCAACATGTTCAAAGTGAAGGGTAGTAGGAATACTTACGGATAGGTACATAACATAAAATCCAGGTATCTGGAGTTTCGAAATATAAAGCTTTCTTTTAAGCTGCGATCCCCTCCCCGCGGGGATGTTAGTGCTGCGGCCCTAAGATTGCAAGCATATGAGAACCCGAAATAAAGGAAAAAATATTTAGTAGTAATATGACTACTGAAACAAAGAGTGTGGAACTCACTTAACCAGTACGAATTGTAATATAGATAACGGTACGATCGGAGATGCTTCATCTGCCCACACCATACATTCACAGATTCGAGTGTCAGCAAATTTTCTCAGTTGAGTTTTTTGCTTCCAAAGAGTGCGAAACGCTAGAAAACGAGAGCAGTTGGCAAACATGAAGTGGAAAAAGGCGAAGATGAAGTCGATAAAGCATACCTTTGGCCGCCGGGTCAGTTGCAACGGGACCCATAGTCAAAGGATTTGTCCAGCCTCTCTTGATGCGAAAACCTAGCAACAATGAGGTTTTCTGCTCCTGAAAGCATGCTTCAGGAAAAGTGCAATGCACAGAGAGAGTTTTTTACGAACCTTAGCATCCGACAGCCGTTGTATGTATAAGTTGTCAAATCGCTCATCCATGCAGTTATTTATTATCTAGAAATCAGGGTTACTAACTAAAGAGGGAACGGAGAAGAGCCTCACTTGGCTAAGTTTCTTGACAAATCTAAGCAAGCGATCATTCTCGTCCACAGTGTCGATGGCACACTCTAGGAGTTTGAGCAAAATTTCTTTGCATTCTAAAGACAGATCCAGTCTGGAACGGAAATGATAAGCCCATCGCTAGCAGCAAGAGAAAAGCACATATACGCTAATCTTCAAACTAACTTGAAATAGTGATCAAATGAGGAAAAGAGATCGTGTTGTTCTAAAAACAATGTGTCGAATGCAAGACAGTCACCAAGAGATGCAATAGAACGGCTCAAGTCCGCTTTCGCCTAAAAAACTTATGTCAAGGTTGTTCACTTTGTAGTTGCTCGTTGAAAAACCGTTTGAACACATGCTAAAACACAGGACTCCCACAGGAAAAAATGGTAGCATAGATTTTGAGCAGAATTCGATTCTGAGGTAATAAAAGATTCTACAAAAAATGTTCCATGACGATAAGTGTTATCAGCAAAAAGAAAAAAAAGTACTCTGAAAGATAAGCGACCGAAAAGATCATACACAGGCAGATACAGCAATATCGAAAACGAAAACAAGACCGACTGACAAGAACGAACCAGCAACAAGGAATCCTTCGATATACCGCTAGCAATATTCCAATAACCTGTGCTATCCAAAAACACAACATCAAAAGCTGCCATATGAGCTGTCAAAACATCTTCATCCATATCGTCCGGATGGAATCCTATAGCCGTCGATGAATCCCAATTTACTAGAAACACCATGGATTACTATTTTCACAATTCATTCAACTATAATACATTTTAGAATCTACCAATGGCTGAGAAAACATTCCTTAGCACGGTGAGAAGATCTTGTTGCTTTGCGATAACATTATTTTCCAGTAAGCGAACAACAAAGCTTGCCAGAAACAGGCCATCGAACTAAAATAAAGTCAGCGCAAGTTACTGATGCGAGAAAAAAAGCAAGTGCGCTAACCTCAACCAGAGATCGACACTTGAACCATCGACAAGTCAATGCTAATGCTGATATTATATGCTCTTTATGACGCAGTTCAGCAGAAACTCGTCGGATCATGGCCGGCTCAAGAATGGTTCGAAGAATGCGTTGATTGAAATGTGGTGTAGGCACTTCATCTGAACCAATTACACATCATAACGAAAGCAACACCTATATGATGAAGAAGAAAATAATTTTGAAGTTATAAAGGAAGAGATATGAGAAGACCAGATGACTGCCATAGCGATGAATAAAGAAAGATGAAGGCTTGACTTGCCCTTATCAGTGACCTCCGAATAGATAGTGGATGCTCGAAGGTTTGAGATGTTTGATGCAAAACGCGATGGTTTAGCTAGCACAGACTCAGAAGCTCCAAAGTGGATCGATACGCCTCCTGACGATGTTTTATCTAGAAAACACATCTGACTTTCACCGAGAAAATATTGAATGCAAGAAATATTGACTAACAATAAATCACAAAACGTTCGGTTGACAAATGAAAAGTCACATGCGAACGCACCAGTTATGTGCAAGTTTGGAAAAACAGCGTCGTTGCCTACTCCCGGCTCAAAACGAATTTCGTAATCTTTGAAAGTTTTCCGAAGAAGATGCAAGGCTCCGCACATATAATGTGCTCGTTTTGCCGGATAGGTTAAGTTGATGTAATCTCTCTTTCCGAATAAACTCTAAAACATTCTTATGAGAAGTAAATGTCAGAAGGGAAGAAACATGATTTTAAAAAAAACTGACTCACATTGGGTAAAGTAACAAACACATGCACAGTAAAATATGACGAACTGAGCAAATCTATAGCCGAGTTAGAAAGTACTGCTACCTATGGAAAAATTACTTTCTTAAAGAAATGAGCGCGACTAATCATGACGTGATACCTCTTCCGGCACAGCCCACTTATAATCCGCAACGCTGGACGTAGTTTTAGCTACAGCATCAGCAAGATTGGCAAGTGGATGCGTTATTCCGAATTTCTTCCATGAGTCAAGATCTTTATACTAAAGACACAAAAAATAACTTTTACTACTGTTCAAGTTTTTGCTAAATCCGTAAAAAGTGAAGAAAATACGACGGTAAAAGACCTAAGGACTCAAAGACCAAGGCTAACCAAAAGCAAAGAATAAGACCATTTGCCTTATCTATGTGGTAAATGACATACTATCTGATTGTACGTCACTTTGATAACAAGATATACCTGACAAGAATGCTTTGAATTCGCTGTTCTCAAAGTATTGGCCGCATTTTTTGCAACTTCCTCCCATTTCACTACCACCTCCGGTGCCGCATGCCGGTCACGCTCTGCATCTTCACACTTCAAAAAAAAGGTTTATACAGCACGATTAATTATATAGTTCCCATGATTATACTGACCTGCAGCTGAAAAACATCAGATGACGGCTTCGCTATAGGCAGTGCTCCGACGTCGTCGTCGGGATGGCTTCGTTTCATCACAAATTCAGTAGCGATATGGTTTGAACTTCTTCCGTGCGCTCGCTACGGTACAGACACTCAAAATATAGATTCGATGCAGATGATAAGCAAGCAGAAAATGAAAGAAATACTATTCAATAGGCACAAGGCAAACTCGAAGCTTACTAATTACACTGCTCAAAAAGGATGCGAATACTAAACCCTCGACGTGTTCTTTAGCCGTGCGTGCATACCTTGCAACTATTACCACTATCGAGACCCAAGTTCACCAAAATTTATTTGGTGACAACTTCTTGAATTAACATTACTTCAGCGCAGTTCCTAGCGCAAGTTATTCATTATTATGATTATGATTTCAAGATTACGATGCAATATGTATTTTCTGCGCAAACCACAAAATAAAAGCGCACTAGCGCCAATACCTTGAAATTGCTTGCTTTGAATGTTGTACTCGTAAGAGTTACTTTCCGAAATCGCAAGCAATAATCTGTTGCAAGGATTATCACGAGTAATCGAGAAATCCTAGATACAAATCGTCCTGTAGATCCATTTTCACGCAAGTCATAAGTATATAGTTCACTTCAAAGGTTGTTATATTTGTATAAATTTAAATACTATACCAGAGTAAAACTGTCACTTACAATCTGTACGAAGGAAAACTTTGAAAATATTTACCATTTCCAACAATTAAAAACTCGACATAGAAATAGTAAAATCTCATGCCCATTAGTGTGATAGTCGCATGTGGATACAATTTCATGCTATATGACAAGTGGAAAGTTCATCACATTCATTTAATAGAGTTATGCTCATAAGATAGCATTACACAGAAAATAAATTTTCTTAGGTTCAAGATATTTTCTCAGGTTCACATTTCAAAGGGCTAATAAGCAACAACAATTAGAAGAATGTGAAATCTATAGCAATTCCGATTCCAATCCAAAATATACACCATGGTTAGCACAACTGTATAATGCAAGAAACCTGACTGGCGTCTCCGCAGAGGATAAAGAGCTAGCGACCATAACAACGAAAGAGAAACATGATGAGAAGGACATGAAAACGCGAAAACAACAAAATTCACAAAGTACACTGGTAAACAGACCCACACTGAGTAAATGGAAACAATGGAAAGATGACAACATGAACCAAATGGAAAACAACCACGTAGACTATTTCAATCAACATATTTCTATAAGTATAGAACATGATATGTACCTTTCAGGCAGTTTTTACTGACTGTTTTTCTGCACGTTAACCGTTTAATTGAACACAATATTACTAATGAAAAAGTGACTATCAACCTGTAATAATGTAAATCTCAGCTAGCTTGAAAGTCAGCAATGTCCATTATCCGTGTGCAATAATCGTGCTGTATCAGAAGATTGCCTCGAATGTGTGGGTGACCTTAAACAGAATACACTTTACAACTGCTTTTCAAAATTCCATTATTCTCTGTAAAAAGAAATCGTCGCTTGAGCTCTGGAAAAGTTCAACTGATGCCGGCATGTCTCAGCTGATACGTTGCTTTTCTCAAAAAACCTATGCTCTTCAATAAATTACCAGAATCAATCGTTCCAATAGAAAGAAAAAAATCAATAAAAATCTTATATATAAAGCTGAATGTCTGTATGTCTGTCTGTATGTCTGTACGTATGTGCGATATAGAAATTTTTATTTCGGAACCGATTTGGACCAAACTTGGCACACATATACTTCGGGGCAGGGAGCGTGTCATAGGCTACTTTTCGTTATCGATCGATACCGATTTTATCGATTTTTATCGATTTTTTGCGGAATTCACCTACGGGGCTGAGAGTTGGCAAAGGGGGGTAAGTGAGCATGGGGATTCCGAATACAACATTAGTTTTCAGGATTATCGATTACTTTTATCGATTTTATCGATTTTTTGTAAAGTTTGAGCTACGGGGCTGGGAATTTGCACAGGGGGGTAATCGAGCATGAGGATTCCGAATACAATATTAGTTTTCAGGATTATCGATTACTTTTATCGATTTTATCGATTTTTTGTAAAGTTTAAGCTACGGGGCTGGGAGTTGGCACAGGGGGGTAATCGACCATGCTGATTACAAATACAATATTAGTCTTCAAAATCGTCCATTACTTTTATCGATTATCGATTTTTTGCAAAGTTTGAGCTACAGGGCTGGGAGTTGGCACTGGGGGGGGGGAGGTAAGTGGGCATGCTGATTTCGAAAACAACACAGGGAACGGGAAATGAAGTGTAGAAGTGGGCACAGGGAAAGGCTGTGCAGGGATAGGGATGGGACCTTTATTACAGTGTTTTGACAGGCCCGAGCGGAGCCGGGTAAGCAAGCTAGTTACATTTAATCAAGTGATAGTAGCAATGAAATAAAACGCTACCTTCGGAAGTATTTACTTGCTCCTGGAGTTGCTGGTAGAGCAGAGTTGAACATCAGCGCTAACAACACTAATATTGCTCCAGCTAAGAATGGAGGACCAGGTATCAACTGCCACGTGAACGCTGGTCGTTCTGCCACCTGCAAAATTTGCAAACATAGAAAACATGACTACTTTTGAAAATCAGTTTCAGACTCAAAGCGAATGTGAGAGTAGTGACCACTTGAAGGCACCGTCCACCCAAGATCTCGAACTCAATGTTTTTGTTGCCTTCAGGCCTTCTGAAATCCCTGATTCCGAATACGGAGTCGAAAATCCGCGAAACCTCCACAAATCCATGTTTTGAGAACCCTCTGCAACAAGCGCAGGCGAGATAACGCATTCAAGTGGGCGGGGCAATCATGGTCGTCCCGCCTACTTTGCTACTTCCGGAGCGGATTTTTCGCTCCAGAAGCAGTCTTCTGGCGGAGCTTGGGGGTTTGCCTATATACCATCATAATCTCGCCAACCCCCAATTTGAGTAAATGGTGCCTTTAAGGGGAAGAAATTTCGGAGATGGTCTAACTTACCCAAAGAGTATCATTCCTGGTGGGTGTCAGTATTTTCTCCTGCGGTTGAGGAGGTCGCAATCTGACTACTGGAAATTGTACTGCATGACCACCAGTTGCTTCTCCATCGACATTCAAGTCAACATCAAACAGGTAAAAGATAAAACCAAAAAGAGCAGGTCCAAAACCTAGATATGAAAGCTTTGAGTAAGATGTGGGTGTCAACAAGAGGCAACAGCTGACCAACCTTGACAGAGCCCTCTGATTCCTGTCACGACACCTTGAACAGTGCCTTGTTTGTCTTTGTCGGATAGTATGCTCACAAAAGCACTAATAGAAGGGTAAGTTATGCTACTCATAGCAGCCATAACGCCAGCTGCCCACATCATCCAATATCTGAAAATATCCAGCTACTTTCAAGCCATACAACAGATAAAGAACTGTACTCACTGTGTACCCAATCCATACCACGTGAGTTGTACCAGTTGGAACAGCAGCCCCAAGGTTATCACATGTTTCATGCCAAAATAGGTAGTGAGCACTTGCAAAACACCAGTCTGAGCAACAACTGATAGTATTCCAACCAGTCCTATGAAAGCAGCTACCGCTTCGGGAGAAAAACCGACAACCTAAACGCAAACTACTCGCTCCAAAAAGTAATTCTCAAACATTGAAAGAAAAAACAATGATGCGAAATCATAATGAGACAGCGCTGCTAAACGATAAATCAACTCACCAGCTTCAAATAGACGAAGAAACAAGAAAACTGGCCCGACTCGGGAAGGTACGAAAGAAATACGATCAAAGCTAATTGCAGCACCTATAAATCTTGATAAAGGATCGATTGAAACTTGATCCAGCCTCACCAGTCTATCTTCCCAGACTAGACGTAATGTACCGAACGGATCTGCACTTTCCCAACTTATAACGTCACTCGCTGGTCGCTTCACAGGCAACGACTCAGGTACTCGGAATACGATAAACAAGACATCGATAATAGCGATGATCGTTGCCTGCAAATCAACTGCTTTCTAAAACTTGATTGCAAGCTGCATCAGAACTGTGCGTAGTGATTTCAAGGATGAACGGTGCACAATGAATAAAAATAAAAATCTTAAAATTCTCAAAACAACGGAATCATTTGCAAACGCACTAGTAAAACCACGGCACCATCACCATAATAGTCCGATATCCAAGCACCAAGTGCGGGTGAAGTGACTAATGATGCTGCGAATGTTGCCGACACGAGCCCGTATGCTGCAGAGCGATCCTATAAAACACATTGTAATCAATACGAATCACAAAAAAAAAATGCTGCACTACTACATTGAGTTGTAAAACAAATTGGAAGCTTAGTATGAAATGAGTGTAAAGGAAACTAGCCAAAGAGAAACTGCTGAAGAAAGCTAACCTGCTTTTCCGTAATATCAGCAACGTACGCTAGAATGACACTGAATGTCACAGAGAATAAACCACTGATGCTGAACAATGCGAAGTACCACCTAAAACAATATCGCTCAGATTTGTCTCAAAAGAGGAAGAATATGACGGGGAAATCAAGTTCGACTGTGCCGAAGTTCTGGCTATATCTTATAACTAGACAAAAAAAAAGAGAAAAACGGCTCTCTTGAAAAAAGCTAGATGCATCGATTGTGCGAAAAGTTGCTGTTAATAAATAAATAAATTTGAAAAAAAATTCCCTCCTCTAATCATGCTTTCTGGACCCTAGAGAAAAGTTACTTTCTTTGTTGCAGAAGCGCTTAGCGACAAAATTTGAAGAACTAGACGAAAATGATAGATGATAGCTTTCAGGGTGTAACCAAAAACATATTCTGATGAATTACATCCCAGAATTTTGCAAGGAAGGACACGAAGGTGTTTGAAAAACTGAATGCAAAGAATGGATTCAGATGTTTCGCTAAATAAATGTAACGGATTTTTGAAGGTGCAGAACGGGCTTTCCAGTTCTTCCAGTTCAACAAAAAGAAGTAAACGAAGCTAAACAATAATGTCATACTCACCAAGGACTTATCTTCAAACAAGGTATAGGCATACACGTACAGAATACCGTAAGAATGAGGAATATCTTCCTACCATATACGTCTGATAGTGCTCCGACAAGTGGAGCACTTAGAAAGGATAAAATGCCCTAAACCAAAAGTACTTTGAATTAATTATTTCATAGATAACAATATGTTGCGAGTAGGTGAAAGGTGAATCTCACCTTTATTCCAAGGACCAAACCATTCATCAAAAACTTGTTGTTTGGAAACGTTTCCGCAAGAACCTAAAGCATATTGATTACAAGTGCATCGCGCTTGTTAGATACTGAAGTACTCGTGAAATTCTTACGTTAATAACTGGGACCGTAAGCAGTCCCCATGCGAAGTATTCGAGAAAAATGACGATGAGCGCATGTAATATTGAAGCATCAGAAACATTAGTAGGCCGTCCATGTTCATCTTTTGCTTTCTTTCGACCACCAAATATCAATGACATCAGCGATCGACTTTTTCGTAACATAGTACGCTGAAAAAACTTACATCAGAACAATTTCACACTCAGCAGATCAAAACACATTCGAAGGTAATGAGTTCTCAAACCGCAGCACATATGGCACTTTACGACACCAAGGTATTGAATGAAAAGTAAGCCGCAAAATAGTAAAACCTCAATGCAGTTTTTTCGCAGCCACTAAAATAGCGCAAGGAGAAGCTTATATATCGGCGAACAATAAGCAAATGCCAAACTCATGATAACTAAAAACGTCCAGTTCCTCACTCATTTCGCAATTTCGGAGAATGGAGAATTGAGAAGCCAATGCTCCAAAAGTTATATGTAACGATACGAAGCAGCGACGAGGCGATTTCATCAATATGATGCCTTCGAGCCTATGAAATGGCTCTACGTTAGAACTTACATTTCATTAGCATCTGCTAATCTTCTGCAAACAAATAAATCAATCCCTCTAATTTGATGCTTATTTTCTTGAAACCGAGATTTGTATCAATTTATCGCTTTTTTCGTTGCGCTCATATTTTTTCAACAGCGCCCACGAGCAAAAATTTATGAGGGCCATTAACGCCACTTTGATAGGGAAATCGTCAGTTCTAAATATGAAAAAACTAATGATAAATTTGCAAGAAAATGTTTACACTGCAATGAAGCATGCTACTCATAACATTTTCTGATAAGATACAGTTTTTGTTCCCTGCTCAGATACCGATTTGCTGGAAAAGATTGCTATCGTTATTCAAGACAGATCTGCAAACCATGGAAAGGCAAAAAAAAGTAACTTCGCTTACTACAGATTAGTCAGATCGAAAAAAAATATTCATCAAATACCAGTATATGACTAATATGAACTTAGTAGTAATGATACTGTTTTTTTTTTGAAATGCACCTATTGTTGAATGACTTGGCTAGAGCAAAAACCGACATTATCATCCCTTGGTTTGTGCAAATCCGAGGAACACTAACACGAGAAAATCAATCGATGCGCGAGAACATGTCACTGCACCTTTACGGATACCTCATAAAAACATCCGGAGCAGATGAAAAGTGGGTTTGCGCGATTGCACAGCGGGTGGTATAGATCTATGACTATTTTTACTGGACTATGATATTTCTATAGTGAGTTTAGGTCACTGTGGCAGTACTAGATATTGAATTACAAGCTGGATAGCAGATGACACTACTGGCATCAAAGCAAATGTGATCATCTCAAATCAAAGTGAACCAACACGCAAACAGGAACATTTGCTAGCTTTTTCCTTTGTTACATTCGCACATTCTCGAGCAATAAGATTATGCACATTATCTCAATCCCGTGACAAAGCATCAAGCAAAAAAAACGTAAAATAATCGATGGAAAGCGGCTTCTCGATGTCAAGATGAGCCATAAAACAAAGCCAATATTCATATAACAAAAGGGCAACTATTGGAAAAAAGGAATCACAATTCCAAAACCAAGCCTCTAAGCTGTCTCTCTCCAAGCAGAAAGGGTAGTCGTTAAGTCAAACAAATTTAGCGTAATAAAATTTGGCGCAATCTAATCGCTGGTTCATTTCGCTCACCAAGACTTCGTAAAAAGTAAAAATCTCTTGTAAAGAAGCAATTCACGATTGCTGCCATCAGTTATACGGTGTGACTACACACACGATGGGAACACTATCACAACCGGTCAGACAGACACCGTTTGGATCTGGCTCACATTACGTAGATGCTTACTGGAACTTCCACAACGAAGTCGATATAAATCTACTGCCAATTAACAGGTTGTATAGAACGAGTCGAGTCTAGCAATCGATAGGAAAAGTAAATTGTCACAGTAGCGCGCTGTGGGAGGAAAGTTAGCTACTATTGGTTTTGAATCCTGCACTAGGCATGCACCAACGAAATGAAAAATTCGCCTGGAAAAGTGCAAGTAAACAAATGAAGAAAAAGAAAAGAACTCCATCAATATTTCAGAAGCATAAACACCTTGCCAAAAGCCGTCATGGAATTTTTTGTGATGCTGCTATAAAAACCTTCGCAGCATTTACAGCATACACTATCGTTGCAGCAAAAAAAAAATAGCTGTTCTGTCGGACATGTATTAACGCAAACGGGCAATTTCGGTGGAATGGGAATTTTCCGACGAACAGGTGTTCACCGAAACTTTCCACTGCGCAAAAACTGAGTAGATGAAGGGTGACAAGCATGCTGTTCTCAAGACAAACCCATGTTCAAAAACACTTGTGGAACCTAGGGCGAGGACTTGAATTCAAAAAACCGAAGAATTCAAGTCAAAAACAGAAGAACACCGTCTCGAAAGAGCTTCGAATATTATATGACTCTAACGCTATGGATAGTCTTAGGCTGATTTTATACTGATTGCAAGTTCAACAGTTCCAGCACAGTGCTCGAATTGTGCGCTGTGTTGGAACTGTTCCGGAACTTACGGATCGGTATGATCCCACCCTTGGTAAACAATCAAAGCCCAACAATACAGCTGTATCAAAGCAGGCAATCATTTCGTTAGCCCAAGATCGAAAATTATCCCTCTTTGACAATTCAAGCAGGAAAATTGAGTCAGGCAGCTCAGAGGCGGGCAAATTTCTGCGCAAACCAGTTCTGAATAGCTTGTTGAGCCAAATTGGCAAGCAGAAAAAGCCTTGGGAAGTATCTGTAACCATTGCAACCTACTTTGCACCCTTCAAACTCTCCCTCAGTTTGCAAATACTAACTTCGCACTTTGTTCGCAACAAAATTTAATCCTTCTTTTTCTGCATAGATATACAAAAATTTGAGCCTTGATGCCCAAGTATCTATCTGAACAGCAGGAACGTGATAGATAAGATGCTTCGTAATAGAAAGAGAAATCGTTAGCGATAGCGATCTACGTCAGCATGCGCGCATACTAACTATGAAAGGAATGAAAGAAAAAACAAAGAGTTAAGTGAAGCGAAAGAACTGAAGTTGCCTCACCTCAAGCTTTGTGATGAGAACTCGCGTATTCGGTGATAGACCGTCTGTAGAGTGCACGGTGACCGTCGGTACCTTGTTCGGATCGATCGACAACCGCGGGGAAAGATGCGTCGTCGTCGTCTTCGTTGTCGTCGTAGCCGTCGCAGCCGCCACCGAGGATCTCATACCAAAAAGAGTAGCACCAGCGGGAGCAGCGCGTCGTTCACTGCTAGCATGACGTCGCGTCGGCCGCCGCCACCACCGTTGCCGCCAGCCGCCAGGCGATGATTCGACGATCTCGTTCTCTCTCGATCGGCGCTTCAACGCCGCTCTATTGCGCTTTCTCTGGTCTTTTCTTTCTTGTTCTTCGCTAGCGGTCACTAGCGTGATACCTTCCGCGCACGCCGACCGCCACTCCTATGGAATGTGCTTCTGGGAATGCGGGATTCGAACGCCCCACACTGAAATCAATTGAACTATAAGGTCATCAAACTATTGTGTTGCGTGCTTATCCTTTCGCGTGAATGTGAAAATGTTAGAAACGAGACACGTGTATCCCGCGACCACATTTTGAGTTAGTACCTAATTTGGCAGCTAATTTCATAACTTTCCTATTCTTCAATCTGGCGCATCGCTTTTTGACATGATGCAGGTCAGATATTGAGCTACGAGAATACGCAAAGTGTTTAATACTGATGGCAAAGTGGGAAAATTTCACGCATTTTCCGAAAGCTGGGCAAATTCGAAATTTCACTGGACTGAAAACGAAAATGAAGCATTTTACAGCCTGAATCGAACGCATCCAGCCGAAACCGTATATAGATAGCTGCTAGATAAAAATCCAACGATTTATGTACAGTTTCGGCGTAAAGCGTTTATACAGGCTGCAATAGACTTCATTTTCGTTTTCTGCAAAGTGAAATTCAAAATTTGACCAGTTTTTGAAAGATGCGGTTTTTTTCCCACTTCACCGTCGCAAATCAAAGAGTTTGCGCATATCTTGAGCTCACTATCTAATCAGCATTATGTCAGGAAATGGATGCGCCACATCAAGAAGATAAAAGTCACGAAGTTAGTGGCAAAACTTAGGTGCCAACCTAACATTTGGCCGAAATCGAGATGTACGCATTACAATTCAAATCCCGTTAACAAAGTCACGCAAAAAAAAAGAGCACAACACATAGGAACTGGTTCATATGCACGAATCACAACCACGGAATGAATAAGCAGTGAAGGTCGAGTGTGAAACGAAACGAGTGTTTTAAATGTCACGTGATTAGCAGACATCAGTCTAGCTCATCAGTCAGGAAGATTAGAAAGGTGTAAAAACCCTAGAACACTCGCAAGCGCTGTTTCTATCTGCTAGAGACTCTAGTGAAATTTCTGGGGTTATTTCAATTTGAACACCACACATCTCGCACGATTTTGCACACGGGGTTATTTGGCGTGCTAATACGAAGCTGATATTTATTTCAACCTAATAAGGCTTTGAATGAAGTTAAGGTAATTATACAGGATGGAATTTTGAATCTCAAGTCTCGCTCTGCACACGAGAATTATTTATGCTGATCATTCCACGGTTCATTACTTTCGCTGATGTATGCAACTGCACACTTTCCAGGGCTGCCCACGGGGCCCAGGCTTTGCCCCTATTTATTTATCGTTCTCTTCGTTGCGTAGATACGATTTTATTCGAAGATCTTTGAGCAAATAATTTCTTATTGCCTTCAAAATGTGCGCCCTCTCATCCTGAGATTGTGTGATTGCACAAATTCAGGGAGACCTTTTGACTATATTCGACAGGATATCGTGGTGAAATCTATGATAAATCGTTGGTATACTGACTCAGCCCAATCCTAAAAAGGTCTCACTTCAAAGAGTGGATGCCATCGACCACTATGGCAAAATCCACTCTGCAAAGTTAGTGATTTGATTTCACCCTTTTATCTATCCCCTTACCACATGAGGGAAATAAATATCATTATCAAACATGTCAAATAACCCTCGTGAGCAGTTCTAGCGAGATGAGGTTTGCATTTTTTTTTCATATAAAAAGTACCCTAGAACTGGAACTAGCTAACTCTCAAAAAAAGATGGAAGTAACACAGGAAATTGTGGGTACAACCCGGACCAACTGTGAGGTCATTGATGGGTGACGCAAAAAAAGGTTTAGAGGTTCTCGAATAGCACTCTGAGCAAACATAACATGGTGCGAAGCTGGGCAAATTTGGTGGACCAGCTGACCACCATATTATGACTCATTCGAGATCTTTCCTAAAAAGATGAGATCGCGACACTTACGTCAAATGAGTTCTATCTACAATGACTCACCGGTGATAGATGCTCAAAATTCATGGGAACCACCAAGAAGCCGCAGAAGAAACAAAAATAAGTGGTTTGTGGAAAAAATCAAAACGAGCATATTTTGAGCGAACAGCTACTGATATGCCATGAAAACGCCAGTCATCAAAATATTTGCCCAGTGTGTTCCGAAAAATACCAAGCAAATACCAGATTCGGGTTTTCACTAGGTAACGGATGGAGAAGAACTTAAATACTGCGAAATGGCCGTTGTCATTGGAGCGCGTTTTCATCTCAGAACTTAGCGCTGTGCTCCATTTTCGTAACATGTGTTCTTTTCTTGCTTGAATCGTGGACCTTTCCTCTTTTAGATGTTCTGTACTGTCTCGGTTTTGCTCGTTATTTGTCATTCTGTGATTGTTTCATATTGTTCACTTTCCAGAGTGCAATTCTTGTGGAAAAATGTCTGGTGGAAGCGGCGTTCCTCTGTCGGATCGACTAAACGTGAAAAAAAAAACAAGCTGGACGAGAGCATCAGAGACTACTGGTATGTTCATTTGTCTTTTTGTCGAGGAAGTGGTAAGACATGGCCAGTTCTCGGCGCTCTTGCTCAGTTTGTCGGGAGTGTTGACCATGCTGGTCGAAACATTATGCTTTGAAAACGTCACTGGTGTTTACGATGGGTGTACGATGGGAGGCTCAATCAGGAGTTCGTGTTCACTTTCGATTTTACATCACCTAACCACCATTCTTACATGCTGGATTGTTTTATCCTTTTTGCAAAACAACGTTGTTGAAAAAAAAAGCAAGTTGAATGTACTCGAAACCGAATTTCTGCTTATCACTGCTGAAACTCGGTTGCAATCAAACTTCGATATTCCGGAATTTTTGTTCAAAACTTTGTTGTTGTTGTTTTGTCCAAGTTTCTGACTTTATTGCTTACGATAAAGCTATCCTCACCACCAAGGATGGTGGTTGAGCAGAAAACGTGGGTATCCATGATAATGTCGAACAACCCTCCCGAACAAGGATTAGCCAAATGTAGTTGAGCCCCCAGCGTCCCCATCGTAACCACCGAAAGTGATGATGTTGTCCAAAAGTCGATATTCGTGGTCAGTAGGCGATAGCCCCCATGGACTGAGTTTGGGCCAAATATACTCCTTGGATATTGGGGCCCTGATATGGAACAGCGCCCAGTTTGTATTTGTATTCCCTTCATCTTCAAAACTTTGTGTTTATCTATCTCAGAAGGTCGTCCAGCGCTTTTTCTTTCTAGTTTCCCATCAACGAGTGAATCCAGCATATTGACGAGTCTTCGGTGGTTACAAGAAATGCTGCTGGACGCACCGCAGTGTTGGTGTCTCTGTTACAAAGATGTCCTTGCTTTCTCAGCTCAATCCTTTAGGCATGAAATGAACGGAGGCGACTTAAAGCCGGATCTAGCTTACTTTCCCTGCATTGAAAAGGATTGCAAATACATAGGGGCAAACGCCGCAGCACTTCGAAAGCACTATGAAAGATGCGACCCAAGGAGTGTTGATCATAACGAAAATGTTGTTGCCTAGAACTTCGACATGTTAAAATTTTCTCTACTTTCAGTTTATTCACTTATATCGAACGTTTGCGTCATCATCTTTTCAACGTACCACACTGCCATGATTTATTAGGCTCTGAGTTGTTCTTTTTTCTAGGTTGAACGTACTCATTATGTTTGTGGACATGACTTGCTACGTTATCAGTTATTGTAGATCAGGTGCTTTACTTCATGCCATCTATCATATTCTAGGACGTGTTCTGTCTGTTTCTGACCGTTCCGTTTGTTGTTCGATTCGAATAATAGAAAAACCAAAGTAAACGCATGTTCGGTGATCCATTCAGCAATTCTATGCAGACAGGAAAATGTGGTGAATAAACCCATCACTAGACTAGGAAGCGTTTACACGAATGACTTCGAAAGAATGAGCGACACTCATCCACTTTATATTATATACAACACAGAAATTTATAATCTCAGATTTCGGTTTCGCAAAGGGTAGGGTCTTATCTGACAAACTGTTCACAAATATCATGTTAAATTTGCACTGTCAGACTAGTTTTCTCTCACCTTGATTATCCTTGACTATCCTTTGGAAGTCGCTTTGGATCTAAAGCATGCTTCACTTTAACTGAGGAAGATCACTATTCCACCGCATGATATCACAATCGTAAACAGCATGTTGGAGAAATCCTCATCTCAGGTCGGGAACTACCATATGTATGCAGTAAACACTTCACAAAGGGCCCTTTTCCTATTGCAGCTCGTCGTAAGCGGAATCTAAGCGAAATTCAAGTCCCAGGTCGAAAACGCGCTCCAATGACAACGGCCATTTCGCAGTATTTAAGTTCTTCTGTGGGGGAACCAAACAGTTTTGCAGCTCTTGGTTTTTGCATGTAACTTAACTACTTCAATCTGCTTCACTCTGACTCAAAGATATCAAGATCTCAAATAGATTGTAACAAAAAACTTGACGGAACGTCTGCTACTTCAAAGAGTGTGTCATCAAACACCACAAAAAACAAGACTGGAGATTAGAATAAGTCCAACGACGCGCATGCACACGATATTCTGCAAGCAATGCAATTGGGATCTTGGATGGACGAAAGCAGATATTCTCAACGAAAAATAAAAATAAAAATCAATGTTTATTCCTTCCATATCTTTATTGATAGTCCACTTCGACGTGCAGAAAGGTGTCGAAAACTGCTTGTTTGGCATTTCTTTGCAAGATCCTCCTGGTGCAAGATCCTCCTATACCATTTTTTGAATTCCTTCGTTTTACTGAGCATGTCTAGATAAGATTGGATGGGTATAACATTAGTAATTTGCTGCAAAAATTCAACTCTCATGCGAAAAATAGTAGGGTTAGTCGGAGAAGAATTGCCACTATTTGATTGACTGAAGTGAGAAAAGCCGCCTTGGCCAAATTAGCCGACACAGCGGGCTGTCACTAACAGAAGATTGTGAGCTCAATCTCGTTAAACGCCTTGCACATTTGAGAGTCACGTTTCTTTTGTGGAGGAAACAAACGATTGCTCAATAGTTGCCATAGAAACCGATGTTACAGTTTTTTGGATCATCTGCATAATAGCCGTGTAATCTTCTAATAATTTATTGCTGAAGGTCGGAGATGCTTAGAACTTACCTTTCAAACGCTGTGGTGGATCTACTTCATATTGTGCATTTGCACACAAAGTACCAATTTTTGGAGCGAATAGTTCATGGTCGCGCGAAGCGCAGTCTGCAGCGTCTTTGCGTTAGGCCCCGGGCAGACTTCACGCGATTTGATCGTCGCGACTGAGTCGCGAGGAGACAACTATTACAACATCATTCCATGCAGATCAACTTGCATTCGGTTGTGATACTTTTCCAGACCGAAATTTTTGAATGTGAAATGAAAATGAATGGAAATCTTGGCGATTTGGTCGCGACGATTAAGTCGCGTGAAGTCTGACCAGGGCCTTAGGGTTCCTTCATACTACGCCGCGCGCGCGGCGTACGCCGCGTACGCCGCGTATGCCGCGTACGCCGCGTACGCAGCGTACGCCGCGCGCGCAGCGTACGCCGCGTACGCCGCTGCAGCGCAATGAAATGTCATTATTTGACTCTGATTTCCTTTTTCTTGTCGGTCTGGTCACTCTGCATCTATTTTAGGGAGTGCGGAGCACACGTTACACTTTCTCACTGACTGCTGGATCATATTTGTCACGCAGCAACTCCTACTTTGAGCATGTGTTTCCTCGATCGCTGTTTTTTCTCCGTCAGCAACGTCAGCAACATCTCGGAGATTATAATTCTTGTCGCAAACAATAGCGGTGACAAGAGTGGCCCCGTAATCTTCTTGTAGGAATCGTTTTCCCATTTGTCATTGCTCATTATTCATTATGCAGTGTCAGTGATGTAGTAGATGTTATTTCAATTTGGCAGATGTAAATATATTTGAAAGTAAAACGCCTAAAACGCGTGATAGTAAACACCACTTCCACTGAAGCCTACTGTTTTAATTTAGTATCTGAAGTTTGAGAATCTTGCTAAGGCCCTTCTATTTTCCAGTCAGTGAGAAAGTCTAACGTGTGCTCCGCACTCCCTAAAATAGATACAGAGTGACCAGACCGACAAGAAAAAGGAAATCAGAGTCAAATAATGACATTCCATTGCGCTGCAGCGGCTTACGCGGCGTACGCTGCGCGCGCGGCGTACGCTGCGTACGCGGCGTACGTGGCGTACGCCGCGCGCGCAGCGTAGTATGAAGGAACCCTTAGGCCCGCAGACTTCACGCGATTTGATCGTCGCGACTGAATCGCGACGAGACAACTGCTATAGGGGCCTGCAGGATCGCGAGAGTCGGACGTGCGTACGGCCATTGCGCCGCGCACGTCGTATGTCACTGGGTCGTACTCGATTTAGGCTGGATAGGTAAGATTTTTTTGTTTTTCTTCTCATTTCTCGCCTTCTTTTCTTTTCAGGCGGCGAACATATGTTGGTGCAGAGGAGTTTAAGATCTAGATTAAGGTGAGGTGCAGGATTATGCTCAATACGGGCCAATATTGTGGACTTCTCACCCCTGCTTTGAAGAATGTTGAGTTTTCTGTTCTGGCTGTCCGATTATGTTCGATTTTTCGTCCTGCTTGCTCGGTTACGAAACTCCGTTTTATTTGCAACGTCTGTTCTACCTCATCTTGCATCATGCGCGTCATCACAATCATAATCATTGTCATCATCATCATCATCATCACAAGCAATATGCAAGATAAGGTAGAATAGACGGTAGAAATAGAACAGTTTGCTGTAACAGGGCAGCCAGGACAGAAAATCCAACATCTCAGCCAGCAGGCATGGAAGGTCTGCAATATTGAGTCCGTATTGAGCATAATCCTGCACCTCACCTTAACTCAGATCTTAAACTCCTCCGCACCAACATGTGCTCACCGTCTGAAAAGAAAAGAAGGCGTGAAATGTAAAGAAAAACAAAAAAAACTTACCTATCTAGCCTTAATCGACTACAACCCAGCGATATCAGGCGTGCGCGGCGCAAAGGCCGTACGCGCGTCCGACTCTCGCGATCCTGCAGGCCCCTATACAACATCATTCCATGCCGATCAACTTTCATTCGGTTGTGATACTTTTCCAGCCCGAAATTTTTGAACGTGAAATGAAAATGAATGGAAATCTTGGCGATTAAATCGCGACGATTAAGTCGCGTGAAGTCTGACCGGGGCCTAAGGCGAGAGAGTTAGTGAGTGTAAGAGGGGTCAGACGATCAGAGAAGCCAGAGTGTCATGGTTCCTTTTCTGCGCGGCGCGGCGCGACTGCTTTCTAAAAGCTTTCACCAGGTTTCACGCCTCAAAACAATTTTCTTTTTCTAATCGCAATCCATTCAGTTATCTGTCACTTTAGCATTGCACTAATTTTAGAAATGTGGAGGCATGAGTGTTGAAAGGCGCAAGAAGCAAATCGAAATCTCTGGCCTGCCGGAGCCATGGCTGGCGTATGTACACTTGGTGAAGAAGAAAGTATTCTACCATAATCCTGACACTAACCAGTCAGTGTGGGAACTTCCTCGACGCGTGAAGAAAAAATGCCGGAAAGGTTGGTTCCACACGATTCACAAAACTAGATCTTTTGAAAATTTTTTCCTTATCAGGAGTAGAACAGGAGATTGAAGAGCAGTTGACAAAGATCCTTTCTTCCGAAGAAAGCGATAGGTGGGTAAGCCAAGATTCAGTTTTGACAAGTGAGTTATTCCCTTTTCAGTCTGGAACCTATGGACTGCACGGAGTTTGTACCGGCAAATTCGCCAACTGAAGACCCTGAACCCATGGAAATCGACTTTACAGAGGATCTACGACAAGTGAGAGGATGTGGATACGACAGCGAGACTCTGTCATCGGTAATTTCCATGTAAAACTTTATTTTCCATGGATTTTGTAGTTTTTTTTTTCAGACCTCTCAAGGTGGCGAATTGTTTACGGGTTTTTCGGGATCAAGCAGAAGTTGTGTGGTTTTCGATACTTGTGCCTTGATAGACGATCCCGACCTTATCAATGATTGTGTTTCAAGTACGGAGACGCATTTTTTGTTTAGTGGCCATTCTTGTATTCTTTTCTATTCAGAACTAGTTTTTGTGGTCATTCCTTATCGGGTCTTCTATGAGTTAGATAGGATGAAGAAACTTACCTCAGATTCTAAATCCGCTGTCGAATTACGACGGGTGAGTCCTGTCGACAACATTTAAATATTTTTCTTGGCATTTTATTCGCTTTTGATGACATTTTTTAGATAGCGACACGGTTAGTATGGTTATTACGTGATCTAAGAAACTCTCCATGTGTTTACTGGGAAAGCTCTGCTGAGGTTGATTCTCTCTGTTTCTGTACAACCCCCCACAAAAATCGCATTTTTAGTCATTTTCTCCAGTCGAGGGATTTATGACAAGTTCCGAGGAAGATGTTAATGATGATTTTATTTTGAAGTGCGCTTTTCGAACCAAGTTAGTGCGTAAGTCTCTACATTTCGTTGTCAGTTCGTTGTTGGTTATGCGAAAAAATCTATCCGTCTCTTTGCATTTTCAGTCGATAACAAGGGTTGGGAGACGGTTTTTATAACTAACGACCAGCTTCTTTCGCTTAAAGCTCATGCCAGTCAGATTCCATGTTTTAACGTAAAGGTGAGGTAAATAATACAACTTGGCCCTGTTTTTCTTTTACTGGCCACAGTTACAGGAAACAAGAGCAGTGCTGGATAGAGCGCCAACACCTGTAATTCCTGGTAAACAAGAACAGAGCTCTTCTCTCGAAGCCAAGTTCGTATTTTCCAGATCCGAATGCAACTATGAAACGGTAAATGGGTGTTTGTTTTAGTGTATCTTCATCATCTTCCCAAAGGCCAAGTGCTAAAGCGGAGCTGAGACACGAGAAGAAACCTAATGGAAGTGTCAAAGATGCCAATCCTGTGAATAACTCTAAAGCACATAAGGCGAAAGACTCGAAAGCGTTATTCCATCCAGATCGTATCAAAAAATCAGATAAGAGTCCTATAAGCCCATTAAAGAGGTTCGAGAGAATGTGGAAACCTCTTATCAAGGTTCTGGAGAAGAAGTCAGTTTAGAAGTCTTACATCGATTGCATGAAAAGCTGAATGTTAATTTTAGAAAGGAAACTGGCTCCGTCAAGCAGAAAAGGGATATCAGTCGTTTACATGGGACTGCCTCAAGGTAAGTTCTTCAACTTTACAAACAAAAATCTTCCGTAATTTTTCGTTTTAGTTTCATTCGGAATCAAAGCGAAGAATCCCTATTGCTTCTTGTGCAAATGACATGGTGGCTGTACTATTATTACTATCCTCCTCCCAGAAATGAAAAGGAAAAGGACGGATACAAGGTCTGGTATTTCCAAAATGTGAATGGTGTAGACCAATTTTTTTTTGCAGGACATAGTAAAAGACGGACTTTTGAAGGAGTTATGTGCCTCAGACTTACATGCCATAAAAATGATGAGCAAACTTAGGAAATTTATCAAGGATTTCAATATTGTACCGGGTAATTAGACATTTTTCTGTGATATAGATTTTTATCTTTTTTGCGGATGTTTGTGAATGACTATGATTGTATCTTGTGATATGTCATATTGATTCCTGTGCATTTATTCCTTTCAAGTACCTTTCCAAATTTGGTTGATCAACCCTATGTTGTAATTGCACCACCTCTCTTGTTAAACTGGGAAAACATTCACTGAAGTTCAATGTATCCGGTATGCAGTTGAGTTATGCGCGAGAAAACCTTTCAGTAAGATTATTTATGATCTATTTTTTATCTCAGTACTTCAGTAAGCAGTGCAGACAATCATATTACTGCTTAATGGAAGTTGATACATTTTATGAAATCCTTTCTACTACAAATGCTGAAAAGTTTTGTGGCCTTAATGCCATTCACAATCAGCACTTGAACAATATTAAAACTTTATCACGTATTAAGTCATTGACAAGACAACAACACTCGGTTGAGGAGTATTTTGAGCAGAAAAAAGACCCTAGATCTTGTTAAATGCGACAATATCCACGGATTGAACCTGAAAGCATGCAAAGTCAGTATTGCTTTCACAAGTTAACTATGAAAGACTGAAAATGAACTTACATGGCTTTCAAAATCGCCGGTGATTTTGTCGATCAGGTCATCAACGGACACTTTCTCGTCTTCAATCACGCAAATAATTTGCAATTTTTGGATTCCTGGAGTATCAAACTACTTCTCTGTAAATCAAATTGCCCTATATTTTGTGCTCACCATATCCAACTGGGATCAGTTTGGATCCACCCCAAACTAAACCATCCATTCCAATTCCACGCACAAGATCTTCCATCTCTTTAAGGTTGGTCTCATCGTCCCAAGGTTTGACGTCAAGGATCACGGACGATTTGGCAATAGGTCCCGGCTAAAGCAGAAACGATGGTTACGCAAAAGTACAGAAGATTGACAAACTTCCCACCTTCTTGGACTTCTTCTCAGCATAAGCTTTGAGACGTTCCTCCACTACTTTAGCCTTCTCGGCATCCTCTTCCTCATCAGAACCGAAGAGATCAAAATCTTCATCAGCAACAGCCTCCTTTGTCTCATTGGCTGGAGGTGTTTTCTCAGTTTTCTCGCTTGCCTATGTCGAGTAGGATAAGGATTTCCTGAGGAAAAGCTTGAGGAAAGCAGTGTTACCTTAGCTGGAATAGCATTCATGCGCGCAAATTTCTCGATAGTCTCACGCAACTCGGCCAGTTCCTTTCTTATTTCTTCATTTTCCTTTCTGAGAGCTTTAACCTCCCGAGCGAGCGCTTCTAAAAGCTTCCGTTTACGTTGAAAATTACAAAGATGTGAACTAAATCTATTTACGTTAACTCGACATGCAGGTGAGGGACCACAACAAAGAACACACGTCATAAACACGCATTCCTTGGAACAAGCAAGAAAACTGATATCTTTCTGTTGTAAGACCGTGCACTTTCTACCAGGGTAAAGTAGTAGCGGATTTCGGTTATTTCGGTATCACCCTTGCGTTGGGAAGAAAAGGTTGCTGCTTACAAAGCATTACAAAGCACCGGCCAGGCTTGGCTTTACAACGCCCAGAAACGCTATTTCTTTAATCTCTTCTCGTTTCCCATATCTCTACTCGTACAAATTCCGCGCTAACGTGCTGGCGCTTTTAGGCTAGTGCAGAACGTGTGTGCGAGATGAGAGAAATACGAATAAGAAGCCTCCTGGGCTCTTTCAAGCGAAGTCTGGCCGGTGCCTTATAGAAAACACTCTTTACCCTGGTCACATATTCGACAGAGTCCATATTAGTTGTATGAAACTCTTCATGCCTTCACAACAAGAAAGAACCCAGTCAAATTACCATCTACAAGTCCAGATGGGCCTGCTTCAGCCATTGCTTTGGCTACTATTTCTTTCGCGTATTGAATGGCAACATGCAAATCACCTTTCGGTACGACTGGCATGTCGGCTTTCGGGACCAGTTCCTTCCCTGAACATAATTCACATAGGAATTGAAGAAAGACTGTCCAGTTTAGGGATAAACCAAAATAAACAACCACAGGCTTTGATAATGTTGAATTAAGGCATAGAGAACCCAACTTGCCCCGCACAAAATGACATTTGATAAACACACATTACACTATCCTCACACATAAAGCTGATGACTGATTGGTCAAAACGGCAGCTGCATCCAATAATCAGCTGATGTCACAGTGCAGGAGCATGACATCCACGATCCGTGCTGATTAGCGACTAATTTAACAAATTGACGACTGAATCATTTTTGGCGAAACTCCCGCTAGCGTTTCTCGTGCATTTGGCGCGTACGTACGCGCGTAGGCACCAAATCATTATGTGGTTTCAGTTTGCATTTTCACAGAGTCTCATCAGGAATTACACATACGAAAATTTCCCATCACTTCCCATCAACAGAACATACAAGGGCTATGGCTAAGGAATCTCCCTTTGGACAGAGTGTTATAACGATGTTTTTTTTTTTACCTGAGTTTATCCCTGATTGTTCTGAAAGCAGCTAAACAGAGTTTTCGCCTTCATAAAAAGTATAATTAGCATATTACCACATCAAGGACTGCGTACTTATTGTGCTTTGAATTCCTGCATAGCTACAGCGATGCCAAGTGCTCAATATGACAATCCGGCCACCGCTAGTACTGCATAGAACTTATCTCAACGTTTACACTTGGAAACAGGCGTGCATACTATGTATGCACCAAAATGCTGAACGAGTATTACTGCGGGCATCGCAGTAATACTTCAGCATTTTGGTGCATCGTTGCGGTCGTCAACGTTGAAGGTGATAATCCCTGAGTCTTTAGCGTTGCCAAAGGATCTGGATGCTGAGACAGCATGCCCTCACTTCAAAGATCAAGAAGTTACCATAAATGTAATGCCCATCGACATAAAAGGTATTTTCGAGTTTGTTATTGATATACTGAGTACAAATGCCACAAACATTTTGTTTAGCAAAAAATTAGTTACTGATGTGAGTCACACTGGAATGATCGCCGCACACGAACATACTTCAAAAGTTAGTATGACATTCGCGACTAAGAGTAAATCCGCTTATCAAAATTCGCTCAAAATCTCACTTTTGTCTCTTCTTCCATCTATATCTGCTTGAAAAAGACGCTACATACAAAGCGACCACGATTTGTTGAGGCCAAATTTTTTAGTGGAAAATACAGAGCCAAATATATAGTACTGAGTTTATCTATGGAGTCAGCTGCATGTTTTGACCAGATTTTCAAGTTGCTAATATCGCAATCTGCTTGTAAAATCACTTTGCCGTACTAAACAAGCCCAATGAAAAGAATATTTCAAAGAGAACACCATAAACCGTGCACCAACAGTGAAAAGAACTGAACACCCCTTCCCAGAAACAAAAGAATAAAACGAGAGGGCTGAATAACCCACCATGTCCTTTTTGGTGTCCGTGTGGGTGGCCACCATGGCTATGAGGTCCTCCATGACCACCATGGGGTCCACCCTTGGATGTGGACGGGGATACGTTGGTGTAGACTTGATGTCCGCCAAAGTAAGCCTGATCGGCTGCACGCACAGCGAGAGCCGAGCCCAAGAAAGTGGATTTCTCTGATGCAAGACCCTCGATTGATGACATGGTTAGTGCTAAAAGAAGGCATCGAATGAAAAAATTGCTCTTTCATCACACTAAAAAGAGGAGTGCTTCATAAATAGTATACTACAGATAGCACCCTGCGAATCCGAAAGTTTCCATATAAAGGAGATAGAGGAAACGACAAAATTAATTTCTACGCCGAATACACATAAAGAGACGATGAAATTTGGATGCGTGATGGAAATACTACCGAAAAATAATATTTTCTGGGACCTTCGTCAAAACACGAGAAAAAAAAACTATCTGCCACGTAATTAGGCCACAAAAGCAAAAAATTGTAGCTTTTGCGAATTTCATAGTGTCTGAGACGTAAAGAACGAAAACTGTTGCTACAGTAATCGTTTAGTATTCGAGCGACGTGACAGCATTGGAGCATATGGCTGGCTCCTAGATTCGTGTGGAGGCGCGTTCCGGGCTTCCCTGATTTTAAGGATAAGCTTGACGAGAGAGTACGAAATACAGTGCTATAACGTGGAGGTTTAACAAGTTTATCCTGAAAGTCAGGGAAGTCCGCGACCCGCGTCCACGAATCTGGGAGCCGATGATACCTCATTCAGCGACCAAAGAAAAACTGGAGTGAATGATTTTTTGAGACTAAAATGTAGAAAAAATTGATAGTTGTTGGTGTGCATGAGATCCGCAGTTTCTTTCTGTGCAGCTGAAGCATAAAATACAAAATACATTTATCCAGGATGAAAAAAGCTGGCACCTGTTTTCTCAATGTGTAGATATCAGGAGATCAGTTATCGTGCTCTTTTGTCAAAATTAAAAATCGACAGAAAATATACTGCGAATAAATCATATCAATATTTATCCAGTCATTTGGCCGTAGACACGATTTGAAAGGAGACCTACTATTCAGAAAATGCTTCGAAGAGCCTTTGATTTACCTAAAAATCCCTTTATATATAAAACTCAAAATGTCCGTTTGGAGGGTATGTGAGCTATAGAAACGCCGGTCGCTCAACCGGTTGGGCTAAAATTTTGTATACAGATGTTCTTGGCCCCGGAAAGGGTTTTAGGATAGTTTTTACTGAAATTCGCTGGGTCCTTTCATCGATTTATTGACTTGTTTACGTTTTTAATGTAAGAACTTGGAGGCTTATCTTGTTTAAACAAGCATTTTCGCATGGTCATGTAAAGGAGGGCGGTGAAGCTCATTTTTACCTCAGAGTCTCGAGGATGCGGTTTCAAACGGATGACAGGGTAAGTCATCCATAACAGATAAGAGGGGGGCGGGCTCACAGTGCAGGTGACCAGTGGAGCCCGGGCTGGACCGGGAAAGCGAACTAGTAACCTATAGTTACGGGAAGAAATCATTTTTCCATCCCTTACTACCTAAAGCTGATCTATAGATTTACAGTTATATATACCTAAAAATTTCCTATAATCATGGAAAAAAATACATTTTTTGCACCCCTCAACATTCAAAGCGGATGAGGTTCATATTACAACAAATAAAATTAGTTCATCATTCTGATAAGCTTATCATCGCCGGTAATCAATGTCAAGAGTGCCACTTACCGAGAAGAACATTGTAGGGTTTGATTCCTTTTTCCGGAATTACGATGATGAAAGCGATGAAAAAAACATACTTGAGGAAAAAATGGACGCCATGAGATCTGAGAGATTTGTGCAGATTTCGAAGTTTTGCTAACGTAATTCATTTGAAAAAAAAAGGCTAGTACTGCAATTCACCTAGGTTTCGTTGAAGTTCAAGCATAATGTGCTTATTCCGATTCGGTAATAGAATAAAATAGAATTTTTATAGAGTGTGCGCTTTTTGGGCAAAGTTTGCACTACGGATTACATTCAACAAGCAAAATGCGTGAGATAGAAACTACTACTTCATTCTAAAGCCAAATGATAGTTTGTTTTGCGCCGAAATAACAGAGTAAAAAATTCTTGTTCATTTAGTTTTATGCGTATCCATTTGTAACTAGGCTCTTGACACATAACATCCGAAATTTGGCATAGAGGCTATCACCTGCTCCACTTATAAACCTTTTTTACCAGCATACTGACTGCTAATAATACCACAGAAAAAAAACATGATAAATACATATCTCCCCGAATGGTTAAATGGATTATCAAGTGTCCTGCATGGCATAGCCCTCGATTGTTTAGTAAACAGGATTCGTATCTTCCCCCTAATTCGTAAATTACACCACGATTGGCAACAAATGCTTCTAAGCATATCAAAGTGTCCCAAATTTGTATGTACAAGTTTTTATATACTGTTTGGTCAGTGATGTCTTGTCTTCTGCGATCCTAAGAATTATTCTGTTGCGCTAGTCTCAAATTATACGTACCGCTAGTTCCGAAAGGATCATCGATCGCTCTTTGTTAGAATTACGGTGGCAATTTTGAAGGAGGTGTGCCGTCGCTGAGATTTGAATTTACTCTTGAAAAAAGATTCAAGAAATCTTTGAACATTCTGGTGCCAATCAGTTTGTAAAGGTAGGATTAGGAGACAAAGATAGGATAAGACGGGAGATTTGTTATTATGTGCTTGCCCGTGTGAAAAATACCACATACATCATTGTCCTATTTGATTGTCCCATTTTCTCAAAAAATGATTGCACCATGCTTCACATAGACCTGTATCATATAGTGAAACCAGTACCACAAAGCTGGTTACACAAATTCTCAGGGGGGAGGTCCTACCATGATTTTACTGCAATAAACATGTGTCCAATAATCTCTAGTATATAAATCTGTGAATAATTTCGAAATCCTGCATTCTTTTCACTATCGTTTTAACGTGGGATTTCTTCATTTAATTATTTTTTACACTGTCAAAGAGTTTTGTGCCATCATACGGAAAATCATTACAAATTTTAGAGAAATGAGATAGAACAAAAGGCTGTAAAATCCCTAGTTTACTTCATGGAGTTGTTTCATTAATAACTTCGATTTTCAGAATTGAGTGAAAATAATCTACTGAGTGATTTTACGTTTTTGGGCAGACTTCGCAAATTTCATCACGATAATTCACTTGATAATTCATAGAGCTGATATAAGTCACTGAAATTATTAAATTTCGGTATATTTAGCTGTTATGGCTTTCGGTGGTTGTGAACCTAAACACATAAATCACTTTGATAGTAACATTTAGGGAGATTTGACTGACATTATCTAACAGAGCGAATTTTGTCGCTCAATACACAGACCTTTATCCAATCGAATTTCTTTGGTTATTTTATCTTATATATAAAGCTGAATGTCTGTATGTAGGTATCAGTGGCGTACCGAGGGAGGGCGGGGGGGGGGGCGCCCCCCCCCCCGAGAATGGGTCGCGAAATTTTTGAAAGTTACTTATATGGGTTATAAAAATGTGCAAAAGACTTATTTATACTTGTAAGCAATTAAAATAATTTTTAAAATTCTTTTAAAATTTAATTTAGCTTAAAAAAAAATTTTTTCGGGGGCGTGGCTGACGCCACGCCCCCTTTTTCTAAAATTTTGGGGTCGGGAACCCGCAAAAGTTTTGAGAAGCACCCCAAAAAATTTTTCGGAGTGCGTGGCTGACGCCACACACCTTCTTTAGAAAAAAATTTTTGTCGCGCCCCCCCCCCCCTAGCCGAAATCCTGGGTACGCCACTGGTAGGTATGTATGTCTGTCTGTCTGTCTGTACGTATGTGCGGAGTAGAAATTTTTATTTCTGAACCGATTTGGACCAAACTTGGCACACATATACTTCGGGGCAGGGAGCGTGTCATAGGTTACTTTTCGTTATCGATCGATATCGATTTTATCGATTTTTTGCAAAATTTGAGCTACAGGGCTGGGAGTTGGCACAGGGGGGTAATCGAGCATGCTGATTACAAATATATTATTGACAGGCCCGGGCGGAGCCGGTTTGCCAACTAGTATCCTATAAACTGCTACCAGGTGAGTGTCATGATTAATAAGAAGCTTTTTAATTCACCATGTGTAAGTAACCAAAAAGCTCCGTTTCGTTTCTGCCCTTAGACGGAGTAAAAGTATTTACAGACCTTCCCCTGAACTCCTCAATAAGAAAGGAAGGTCAGTCAAACTTATTTTTGATATTGAGAAGTTTGTTTAGGAGTAATGAGTATGTAAATAAATTTTTGAAAATTAAGGTTCCAGAAAACTTGTAAGTAAGAAGAAATTTGGATTCTGCTACATTTACGCGGTACAGCAGTTGTTCTTGCTGTGAACTCGGGGAATTCCCGTGAATCACCCGCATTCAATCCATACACATCGGGACAATCCCCTATCACCCATGCTTGTTTATTCATGCGGGTCGCTCTAATCGCTCTGTCCCTCGTAAACAACACTGGTTTCCACTATTCAATAGAAAATCATTCCATTTCTATGATATCTCGTATTGATTAAAACCCGCAACAGACACAGTGCAAGAACTGATAAGAGTTTATTGGATAGCATCGCGCCATTATTGACATTTTTCTATGGTTATAGCTTTGTTAAAAATATGCGTTAACGAGCTATTTATCTCGAAAGAGCCTTGTCAGTACCATGGAAACGCTTTCAATTTTCTCACAAAGAGTTCAGGCTGCCTGCTCTCAGTGCTTTCGCTTCTTTTCTTTTCTAATAGCAACTAATTTCTTTCAAAAGCTATAATTTGCTGACTGTCTTTCCTTGGTTGTTAGCGGTACGGTAATAGTACATTAATCCTCATTTGAGCCTGTTGTTTACTAATTTCACTTGCAAGCTCGGAAACTAAAACATCTTCTTTTCTGATTCAAAAATCCGTTTTTGGGTTTTTGCTAACATAGATTTTCCCAAAAGTAAATTCCTTTCCAAATAATTCAAACTGTTCTCAATTTCCTTGTAGACTTAGCATATCGTTTGATGGAGCAGATCAAGCTCTACGAAATGACCGGCAGGGATCCGCTTAAGTCGCAATCCATGTAATGTTTGAAGCCAAAATCGAAAAAAATTTTGTCACTTAAAAAATGGATTTTTGCGAGAAAAAATCCTAGGGACTTCCAAAGCTGTCATTATACAGTAGGCACATAGCATGACGGATTGAGGGGGGGGGGGGCACCACTTCCGAGAATGGGTCGCGAAATTTTTGAAAATCACTTTTATGGGTTTTAAAAATGTGCAAGTGACTTGTTTATTCTTGTAAACGAGTGAAACAATTTTTAAAAATTAAAAATTCAAATTAGCCTCGTAAAAATTTTTTTTCGCGGACGTGGCTGACGCCACGCCCCCTTTCTTATAGGGAACCCTTAAAAAATTTTGAGAAGCGCTCCAAACATTCTTTCGGGGTGCGTGGCTAACTCTGCGCACCTTCAATGGAAAAAATTTTTAGCCGCCCCCTCCCCCTCCGGACGGATATCCGGGGACCGCCATTAGCACATAGTAGTACTTAATTATGCCTTTACTGGATTCTTTCCGCGCATAGAAAACAAGAAATAAAGACAGTCCAAAAACGGCAAACCCCGCCCACAGCTCCTCTCACATATGTAGTTGTTTACTACATCCCTTACTAAATATAGTATCAGAGCAATGCTTCTGTATGTGCCCCTAAGATGAGAATTACAAAGTTTCATATGAAAAACCCGAAAAAATGGCATTTTGGCGTTTTCCGACCATCTTTGTTTTTGAGTTTTTAGCCCCGAAAAAAATCCACCAAGTACATTTTTGGGTACTACTATGTGTCTACTATATAAAGACGAAGTTGAAAGTCTGTAGGTACCTTCTGGAAGGAGATCCGACTATAGGGTACTCAACAATTTTGATTTTTGACCCCAGATTTTACCTGGATTGCGACTTAGGTGAAGTTGTAATTAGTACCCTAAGTTGAGAAAGCAAAACAGCTCAGTTTAAGTGAAAGTGGAGTTCACTTTTGGGATAATCTAGATAGCAAAAGTGGTGTAATTACACAAACCGGCTATCAGAATTGGGACGATGTATATCTGATTTACTTTGTCCTAATTATGCATACAATGTAATCCAAATAACAATCTTACCTTGCTGTATTTCGCTTCGTTTTGTGAGGATGACTTCTGTATTCATTTACAATGAACCATTATGTTACTGTGGTATCAAGGTAAGCACTTTGGGAGGAGTTTGAAATCTGAAGCCGATTTCTACTTGAGGAGAACATGAAATTTGAAGTTATTTTCGTTCTTCATAGAATAAATCAACAGCTTTGTGAACAAGATTTGTAATCACATACACCTAACGAAACTTTCTTAGTAACGAATACGATAATTTGCATATTTTTTTTTATCAAATCTGCTTTGTTTTATTTTTTGAGAAAATCTTTAGAGAATCAGGCGCTAAGGTTGCTTGCTAACGGCTTTGAAGTTTTATAGTTCCTAAAGTAATCCCACAGCCACAGAGAGACCAATGAATCGCTTTTCGGACGTGTGTTCACTTCTAAGCTTCTGCTCTTGCTTAATCATAATTATTGACTTAGACATTTCGCCGGAACTTCCGCAGTACAAATTTTGCAGCGCAGGACGCCTGCGCCGCAAAATCCGCAGAATCTTCTTTACCATTACAAAAGTGGGAACGTTGAGAATGGGAATTTACGCAGGATTTTCACATCAGTCCAGTAGAAAACCGAAAATTCCGCAAGACTTGTTACAAAGCGCTGCGGAACTTCTGAAAACTGCCAGCGGTTCCGCAGCACTTTGACTTGCCAGTACTTCCGCAGGACTTGCGTTGTCTCTTACGATGTTGTCATGCTAACAACAGTGCCCTCTTGAAAATGTCATCCGTAGTGATAGTGAGTGAGTATCACAGACAATAGAGCAACATTCGAATCTCGCTAAGGTGGTTCTCTTTTGCTGTTATAGTACGTAGTCTTCGGAGCATTCGCAGCACCTCATTGGGTACTTCCGCAGAACATTTACGGGACTTCCGCAGATGATTCAGCGGAACTTTTCCAAACGTCCTGCGGAAGTTCCGGTCATTTGTCTGAGGATGCTTCCATATGTCTTTCTCCCAACCCATTACATGTAGTGTTTACTTTTTTTCAGTCCACCATTTTTTTCGACAAATTCATGCACCTTGGATGTAGACGAAACAACGTTGCTATCATTGTGCTTACAATTACCGTAATCTTCCTGCTGTATGAATACCACTATACTGCTACCTTACATGGACGTTTCCTAGCTCTTCAAAGCAATGGCGGGCAGGTTGGAAACCAGGTTAGTAGCTTTTAAAAAATTCATTTTCTCATTTTTTTACAATTTTCTAGATTGGTTAAGCCTGTAAAATAATTTTTTAAGCTTTTTCATTTATGCTCTGGCTATGCAATAGCGAAAAAATTGAACAGACGCCATTATATACGAACTCTAAAGGCTGACGGATTCTACATAGGAAGACATATTCAGAAAATTGAAGAAATTTTTCCAAGACTAAAAAACACTTTCACTGTGATGGTGGGTATTCTTCTTTTCAACAAAAGAAATAAAAAAAATTAATGAGGTCCAGGAAGTAGGGGGCGAACATCGCGAGCCTTTTGCGCTCACAAAGGATGGAAAAGTGAGCTGCTGTGAATACGAAGATCCTATAAGGTAATATTTTCAAAAGGTTAAAATAAATCGATTCATAATTCAATAATCCACATATTCTTTGCAGGTTACAGAACAACACTGCACAGTTTCTTGTGCTCGATTTTCACTATGCTCAAAATGCACGTTACTTTGAGCCAATTTTGCCGGAAATTCGCTCTTTGCTGAAATTTTCCCGCAAAGTTATACGAGAAGGGAAGGAGATAATGAAGCTGTGGGGAGTGTGAGTTTTAGGTGCTCAATTTTATTTATCTATTTATTCTTTGCCCCCAAAAGCGTGTCACAATCAGAACAAAAAACAAGAGACACATAACATTCCTAACATTTCCGGGATATAATATCTAAATTTGCTCTCCCCCCCCCCCTTCCTATCCTTCCACAATTGTCAATTTTTAGAGAAAATGCGAATGCTGTTTGTGTTCATATACGACGCTCAGACTTTATCGAACTGAATCTAGCTACCGATCTCGAGGATACCGTTAGAAAACTACGACACATTGCCACAATCACGGTAAAGCAAGAAAAAATCAATATTTCGGATATTCTATGCAAAAAAATGTTCAGAACCTGAATGAATTTCTTATCTTTGGTGATGATGCAGATTTTATGAGGAGAATGGCCGAAACACTACGTCCGAATGTAAATTCTTTGATTTTTTAGTTTTCGCCATCCAAAATTGTTCTAATTTCCAGAAAGCTCGCTATTCTACGAATTCCGAAGGTGTAGACTTCTACTTGGCCTCAAAAATGTGTTCAGCTATGTTTATATCAGCACCAACGTCCACATTTGGATGGTGGCTAGCATTTTTTGCGCCAAATCAAAATGCAATATTCTACAACAATGATTTATCAAGTCATGCCGATAAAACTCCAAATAAGGACTTATTTCTGTGAGTGGATTCCTTTTCCCTTTGATTTATCAGCTCTTTGCCATATTCTCTATCTAATGTCTATTTTCAGGTCGTCATGGAAGATGTATAGCGAAAACTAAAAAGGGCTAATTACAGTCTGTCTCAGTTGCAGTATCCCATTTGCGTGCGGCTACGCATCCGCATCGCGAGGATCTCGCATGCTGACCTGCGATCGATGGGCAGAGGCAAACGCCAGTGAACGTAGCGCAATGTAGAGCAACGCTAGAACTTAAAAGGCGGATGTGCTGATGGAAACTTTGTAACCCAGGGAATAATCGCAATCTGATTTTTTTCAGTTTTTTTTTTTCGAAAAAGTGTTTATTTTCGTAATCAAGAATTACAGATCTATGTGATAACATATCGGCTCTTTATACGGGTAAAGATCACTGTGATTAGATGATTCGTTGCGAACGAACACATCTAATGCATCAGAGATTATTTACGCATTTCTCGATCTCCCAAGGATCAAAAAATTTTTTTGCCATAGTTGCTATGCGACTAATCTTTCGACTCTATCTTTGAGCTTTGATCATATCATTGTGATTTTTCAATCTGTGCCATGCGCTGTTCAGTATCATACTATATCAAGTATGGGGTAGGAGAACGAAAGCCGCCAGTCTGAGCCGCTTCGCGAACTCTGGTCCTGAAACGACAGGCAACAACGCTGCAAAAGGACCAGTTGGCCTCGAAAGGTGGCTCAAACTAGTAGCCTTCGTTCCCCCACCAAGTGTGTGAGCCTCGCTGATTTCATTTGTTAACCATGTTTATTAGTATCTATTCTCATCGCTATTTAGAAGAAGATTTGTATTAGAAAATTTACGGGTGCTTATGATTCGTCTTATTGTATGCTCATTAATCATTCGATAAAAGTTCTCATTTTATAAAAAAAACTCTATGTCTCCAACTTAAACTGTGTACTTCATAAATATTGTCGCAACAAAAAGGAAAATCTTTTTCGAACCGCTGCATATAATCTAGAGTTACCGTAATTTAGAATAATAATCACTATTTGTATTTTTGTCATTGAATGCCCTCAAGCTGCAACACAGCAACAAAATAAACAACGAAGAAATGAAAATTAAAGTAATAATAGCAAACAAGGACTGTAAATATAAGGCTGTCCCATAAGTTTCGTCCGTTTTGATTTTCAGTCCCAATAAATCATGAACTTCATGTTTCTAGATAGGTTTTGAGATATCTTTCGATAGAGCAAATCATGCTTTACAAAATGGCTTTCTCGCTTTTGCACCAGCTCTGATCCATCTCGAGTTTTAACGCGAAAACTAAAAAGATTCAACTACCCAAAAAATAGAGGAAAAATCATAACTCAGTTTAAAAAATCCTACGAAAATTCTAACTTGCTCGCGTAAGCACTATCCGGTTAAGACGTTTACGTACGCTGTTGCCGTACTTTTCCTTTGTTAGAAGTCAAGAAAACGAAGATTTTCATGTTTTTGCTACTTCTACATAGATAGTTGTATACTACTAGCCTGTAGAAGTACAAATGTAAATTTTCAGCTCCCTACAAGCTTTGGTTCTCAAGAAATATCGAATACAGCATGCCTTCGTTGGGTGCCTTACACGAAAACCCATATTTCTCGAAAATTAGTGATTGTACAACGCTGAAAAGTTACATTTGTACTTCTACAGGCTACTAGTATACAAACTCTATGTAGAAACAGCACAGCATCGTTTTAGCAAAAACATGAAAATCTTCGTTTTCTTAACTTCTAACCAAGGAAAAAATACGGCAACAGCGTACGTAAATGTATTAGATGGATAGTGTTTACGCGAGCAAGTTAGAATTTTTGTAGGATTTTTTTAAACTGAGTTATGATTTTTTCTCGATTTTTTGGGCAGTTGAATCTCTTTAGTTTTCGCCTTGAGACTCGAGATGGATCAGAGCTGTGCAAAAGCGAGACAGCCATTTTGTAAAGCATGATTTGGTCTATCGAAAGATATCTCAAAACCTATCTAGAAACAAGAAGTTCATGATTTAATGCGATTGAAATCAAAACGGACGAAATCAAACTTATGGAACAACCTGATAAAAACAGCAAACAAACAACATTACATGAGAAATTGAGTTTTTTTTTGTAAAAATGTTTATAAGTGTTCTTTATGAAAATAAGTTTTGAAATGAATTGGGATCTGCAGTACCAGAAAACTTGGGACTACCTTACATACAAGAAATTATACCCGAAATTGCAAAATCATTTCCCAAAGTCTTGACATCTTGTCCGTCTTGAAAATGCCTTTTAATCCAATAAATAATGCATACAAAGCGGAGTACTAATGAGTTGAAAAATCAACCAGATCCTGACATCTTACCCAGCGTCAGATTTCCTTCTAGTCATGAATGTCGGCAACCTGTATACTTTTTTTGCCGGTAATGCAGCTAAATCTAGAGTCTATGGCCAAAAAAGTGACATCTAGTCACATGATGCCGTATTCTCTTGAAAAAAAGCATTAGCCAGCAAACAGCTCACAATAGCGCGCTCCTATTGAACTAGGGAGCGCGCCTCGTTGACTCATCCTCAAATCAAACAGAGCCGGATTTTTTCGATGTTGTCGTTGTGTATTTTACGAAAATTGCGCAATATCAGCAGAGCATGAAATGCAAAACACTTCCTCCATTCTGTTTCCTTCAGCTTGCATTGCTTTTGACGCAAATTTGCAGAAACTGTCGTCAAATAGGCAAAAATCCATTGGTAATGCGCAAATTCTAACATCGCGTGCATGTTTTTGTGCAAGTTGTTTGTATGAACAAAAAGGGGGAACTTAATCCCCAAAATCAATTCAAATAGAACTTTTCAAAGTGCAGGGTTTCTAAACATCAATATTTCCAATTGTCTTTATTAAGTCCTCTGAAATACCCCCAAATTTTCAAAATTTTCCCTTCAACTGACTAAAGTGCAAATTTTGCACACTAGTGCAAGCGTTTATAATTTATAAGTAAGCAAGATGGAGGCAGTCCACCCTCACTCACGCACTTTTCATGTCCTTCTTCGGAAGCGTGGTCTTTTCCGCAATTTAGTACAACTCAACGTGTATGCTGCACATCATGCGCGGCATTGTACGGTCTGTGCTTCTACAAATGGCCTTTTTTAATAAATTATTGTTCTCTTCTCTTTCTAAGCTTTCTAAGTAAATGCAAAGAAGGTATAAAGTATAAAGGAGTATTTTCCAGAAGTTATATTACATCGAATGTAGTAATTTTTGCATCCAAGAAGTCGTAGGATGTCGCGCGCAGTGTGTAAACTCACAAACTTATTCAAAACTGACACCACTACAGTTAGCCCATTCCGTTCCTTTTCAATTACTATTCTAGAACTTTCGAAATCCAGTTTTAGTCATCATCGGGATTTTACGAACTCTTTCGACACCTCAGCTAGCGCGCTCACGCGCAGCTTAGCTCAAGCGACAACTCGGCGGTGCCGGCCACAGAACTGCCGAAATGACGCGCAGAAAAATCTTGAGGAAATGGCGCGCAGGGGGTCTGTGCGACCGGTTCTTGTGTGTGAGTGGCGACACAGTCGAGCGTATAGAACGTGCGAGAGCTCGACGACCTTGTGGCCACCTGAGACTATGCCCCGAGTAGACCTCACGCGCATGCCACGCACCGCCACCGCCACCGCCACCGCCACCACCGCCGCTGCTTTCCGTTTTCTTCATTTTCGACAACTTTCAACAGACACACGCTGCTATTTCTGTCCTAGACGGGCGAAAATTTCGCTGGTTCTGGGTGTATTTCGGGAAGCTACCATAATATTCCAAAAATGGGTACCTCAGACTTTTCGAAAATATGACATTTTTGGCGAACATCGTGGTCCGTCCCATCATCCAAAAAGGGCGCTCAAATTTTATTTCTAATCTTAAAGCTACCAAAAAAATCCTATAACATAATCACTTTTTTCACCTTCAATGATTCAATGGTGAAACTTACAGTAAGCGAAAAAATGAGTTTTCGTCAACTACAATGTGGAAGATTGTCATTTTTTATAGCTGCTCCTCTTTTGCATCGGCAAGAAAAGTAGTCCATTAGAAACATCCTGTTCCAAAAACAGTTTTGCTCCGTTTTTTTTTGTTACTCGGTCCCAAAGTTCCTTAGTTATTTTGTTTTACTTTTCAGCATTATTCGTAAGTTCTTCACAAATTAGTGAAGTAATTTTGGGTTTCTTTATGCTAGTACTTTTTTGCAATTTTTATTACATTGCAAGCGGAGAATATTGAATAGTTCAGATCGTAAAATTTGGAAAAATTCGGAAAAATTTCAAAATACCGGTTCGGTTTTTTTTTCAGCGTAAAATAATTAGTGGAAAACTGACCATCTTACCAAAGGGGTATTCGCGATTTATTTTACCTATACAATATATTTTAGAGCAGAACGTTCCATTTTAGGACATTCCTTCTTACCGCGTTTTTCCTTTTCCGACTCTGCTAGTTTTTCTTTTTTCTGAAATTTCTTCTCTTTGTTCCAGGAAGTCTTCGGATTTCCATATCTGGCATCATGAGCAATCACTATTTGCGCTTTTGCATTGACGCATTGCACGAACACTGCCATATCAAGTAAACAAAGACATGAAGTGCTGACTTTAACAATAAAAATGCTTTTCTCAGCATTTTGCTTGTTTTCGTTTTGCGAAAAGCGTTCAAATTGGCTTTTTCTTCGAGTTTATCAGACGCAATCAAATTTCAGGCTGTTGATTTTTGATTTTTAATTTTTGCAAATTGTTTTATTTGTATGCAAAGGCAGTATTTTGTTTTTTTTCCCTTCAGAACTCTTAGAATCTCTGCGAACATCTGATAACGTAATAAGTTCGGAACGCATTCATCGCTTATTTATGGCCGAACAGGGGTGGGCACTCGAAGAGAGTGTTCGCATTGTTCGCCATTGTACCCGACGCACATCTACGCATATGTATTTTCTTGGCAGCTAGCCAATTTTTTCTGACTCACCTTGCCCATCAGATCTTTTTATTCTTTTTTTTCTCTCATTAAGCCAGCTGATTTTTGTGTGACCATTGCTCTCCATGCTAGCCCGAACAGTTGTTGCTCTCAACCCCCTCTTCCTGTTCGTATGTATAGGGGGGGGGGGGAGGCTGCCGTCCGTCCGTGACTACTCGTCCTCGTCCGCTTACAGAATCTCATTGTCATCTCGGTGTGCTTGTTCAGAACCGCGATCGCGCGCATGCGCTGCGTTGCCGTTGCGAAACTCTCGATTTACCCAATCCGAAACTGATTACCGTATTTTCTGGGTAGAGCCAGGCTGTTACCATGCTCGGTAATCCTTACCCAAAGGAGTTTGGAGTCTTTGAAGGTGGGTCAATTTTTCAAAAATTTTAGACTTACCTACGGTTATTGTACGAATTTTGTGGTCTTTTATTTCCTACTCCGCTCTATTTTTGATTTGTCCTATGCTTGGCACGATTTGGTACGATTTTGCTTATCAGTACCAGTTTAGCATCACCGCACTTTTCTATAGCCTCTAATCTTTTCACTTTTTTTTTGATAAATTTCGGATGGCGCACAAATCATCTTTTGTTGGAAAATGAAATGAAAAGCTGGGTGGAGTTTTTTCATATAAAAATTTCCTATAATTGTGCAATGAATTTCTGCGCAAATCTCTCAGTTCGGCCAAACGCGAGGACCAGCGTTTTTTTCACGTCGATAACGCGCGACGGGCGGGGAAAGGGGGGGGGGGGGGGCTCCACTTAGCAGGCAACGTGTGCATGTGTGTGAATGAGTGTGTGTGTGCAGCCGTAGAGAGAGCGGGGGGGGGGAGTGAGAGCGGGGAGTTATCACCGTGCCACGCCCGTGCCAGCCGCATCCGCGTCATCAGTGCCCAGCCGAGGGGAACACGGGAAGCACACACATGCACTTACAACGCCCTTTGCACGGCACGCTTTGTACGAAAACGTTGGAAAAAAATCTGCGCCGGGGGCCGGGGCATGTGCGGCCCCGACAAAAACATTGTGGACGTTTGTTTGAAAGCCTTACAAGCCATTCGCCATTTCCGCACTCACTTGAGCTCCCTGCGGGAAAGAGCAAACAGTGGCTGGGCTCGTCCGGCTACTGTGCTCTCAGCTGTTTTCTTTCTGCATTCCTATATGGATCTGAACCTCATTCCTCTTTCTCCTTGTTCCTTTTTCAATCATTCCTCTTCCTTAGACAGGAAATACTAGCTGTTTTTCATCTTTTCTTAAAACCCACGCCCACACCTTTCATACGCTACAGTATTACTTTTCCAACCAGGACCAGCGTAGATCAAAAAGATCCCGGAAACTTGTCCATTTCACCTCTTCCGAGCTGTGCAGCATTTGTTTGACATCGCCGAGCTGTCGTGCCAAGCAGTGTCTTGCCGTAGCAGCCTCCCCCCCCCTCCGCTCCCCGTTTTGCTCTCGCCGATACACGTGGAGTTGATTATTGTTTACTTTATGTTCTTTGCTTCACACAGCAGTTAGATCTGCGGGGAGGCGAAAATACGCTCAAAAATTCGAAGATTAATTGTTCCTCGTGGTCCTTAGATCGTAGGATTAATCTAGCAAAGAACATCCCCCGGAAAATTCGTGAAATCCCTAGTCGGGGGATCAGGTGACGCAAAGCTGTAAGAAATGGTGGTACTACCTGTCGACTCAATAATAGCACGCTGACCTCGGGTGGTGGTTTTTTTTTTGCGATGCGTTTCAACGAACAGCCGATGTAAGGTCAGGGTCAATTGCGCATCGATTCGAAAGCGGCGTGCAGAGTTTTGGAGAGAAAATTCTGGAAATTTCTGCGAGAAATCCATCCCAGAATGTTCTTGCGCAACTAGTGCTGCTCGTGGTCCCTTGGAAGCGCCTGAGCGCCTGAGAAAAATGCAATTTTTGTTGTTTTCGGCGCAGATCTGGTCAGATGCGGTAGTAATCGGAGCAAGAGAGCAAGAGAGCTCAGCCCCGTCGGGTCCCCCCGTGTGACCGAACCTCAACGCTCGAGCGCCCGTCGACGCAGAGAAAAATACGTCGACTCGACGCCGGGGAGCCGCAGCCTGGTACGGACAGGCGGGTGCCGCGGCCCCTGTCCGTTGCTGAACGCGCTCGCTAACATAGCCTCCCCTATTCCATGAAATTGCATAAGAGCCAATCTTTCAACTTCAAAGGTAGGCTCCCTAAGCAAGAAATTCTTGCCCGGCTTTCGTCTTCGCTTTTTTCTCGCATTTCGCGCGCGCAAAAACCGCTCATCGTTCAACTGCACGCAAAGTCTGCGTTTTTTGCCATCGTTGCCGAGCGCGCGTGATTTCCTTTCTTTGGTCATTAGCGAGTCATGGTGAAATGGCAAAAACCCGTAATTGGAAAAAGATCATCACTCATGACTGTCGTTCCTCACGTGCTCCTCTTCAATGTCGGCTCTTTTCAGAGGAGGGACTCGCCGATCCTCTCGGAGAATTCAGCAACCTTTCCACTTTCAATTTGCTCGAATTCGTCCATAACGATAAGTAAGTTGATTTTCCATACATATTTTCAATTCTTAGATTAACTGTACATCTTTCAAAATAATAAATCATCTTTTTGCGATCTCGAGTCATTTATATGTGAGTCTGCACGCTAGACGCCGAAACTGTCGACACATTTACTAATCACTCCCTAAAAACTTTATTTAGCTTTATGAATTGCAGAAATGTGCACTACTAAATAATATATATCTAGTTAAATCAAAAAAGATAGGAAAACAGGGAGAAAATCACTGGAATTGAGCAAGTTCCAAGCCTAAAAGTCGTCAAGTAGCGCGCATTGTGTGCAGTACAATACGCGTATGCATGAGTCCACGCCCTAAAAATCCTGATAGAAGAATGTTTGTTTGCCGAGACATCATGCGGTCAGCGACACACTTTCTCAGCTCGATTTCGTCAGGGTCAGACGAATTTAATATGTAAAGTCGAGTTTCTAGCTTAGTATGTGCATTGCACAACACGCGCGTTATTTCACGGGCTACGTGATTGTAGAAAATAAATGGAAATGAAATTTCATCTGATTTTTTTTGTATTCTCAAGCATAAATATGAAATTTCGTCCCGATAGTTTTTTTTCAAATTGTTTCCTTATCAGGACGGTTTTTACCGACTGTTTCTCTAAGTTGTCGTGAAGAGTGTGTATCGTGCAATCTCACCGAATCATACTTAACAGGCTAAATCGACCCGCTTTGCTCATCCTGATGTTTGCCGCACTAAGTTTGACCCTACCGTACTCTCAAAAACCTCGCAATGTCCGATTCCGCCGAAAAAACCGGCGTCAACTCGAAAGCGGCGCAGATTTACCAGCGCAGCCGAGCGCGCGGCAGTGTAATTGAGTGCTTCGTCGACACAGTAAATGCTGTACGGGGGGATTTCGAGTCCAATGGGTCAACGCAGTGCCGACGGCTCTATCTGGTGCTTGCCTAAAAACGCGAATCCCGCGCTCGCCGGCGCTCGGCGTGAAAAACATCGCTCGGGCTGTGTATGTGGATCGAGAGAGCTAGTTTTGATAGAGCGAGAGGCTGCTCGCACAGAGCCACAGCATTTTTTCCCCTAGCGGCTCCATGAGCTGAGGCGAATCCGGAGCTCGTCCGGACTCTTGGCGAACAACCTGCTTGCAAGAGGCTTGCGCGCTGCTAGCTGTCGTACACATCGCGGCCGTGCTGCGGCTGACTGTTACCTCTTTCGGTGGCCCAGCTGGGCCTTGACCCCATTACCAGCGCGAATTTCACATTGTGACAGTGGAGCCCCCTCTCTGCTGACGTGATCTAAATTCTCTTCTGTGTTTAGTACGCCACTCGACAGTCCCGATCCACAGGCTCGACATCACAACCAAGACAGCCGAAACTTCCAAGGACTGGCACACGGTCACCAACAAAACCCACACGCTATGTTCCAGGTAGGAAGACTTCTGTGCAGGTCCTCTACTGCGACAGAATCGCTAATCAATCCATTTAGTCAAGAAATCAGCCCAATGGAAGATTCTTCCAGAATGCCACACGTTTACCCGATTCACCTCCCATAACCGACATATCGGCAGCGGGATCATCGGGATCTCCAGAAAGCAATTCGGATGCTCCTTATTCTCCAGAAAATTATCCAAATTATGTCGGTAAGTATACAATTCGATAATTATGTCAATAACATCTGCCATGATCTTCCCTTATTTCCCCATTCTCAGAAAATTCATAAATTCTCATCTTTCGCCTTTCTCCTTCGAATGGAGCTCCTTCCTCTCCTACATCTGCTTCTTTTGAAGTGGTTTCTGGTACCATAATTTTTCTAAAAATCGAAATTTATAGGCTGACCAGATTTGATATAACACAATTAAATCTCATTTACTCCATTGCAACACTTAATTTTGTTTTTCTCCTCCTTTTGATAGGTTTATCAGTTACCGTAATCCTACAGAAATCCTTCACTGAGATCTGTGCTCTGTCGTAAACCTTGAGAAGTGGTAAATTTCCCTTCTCATCCCAGCTGTTCTCGTTATTTTTGGATCTCTTAGCCTGTTCCAAACCCAGAAAAAGCCTCCTTCCGTGCCTAAACCTCTCAAGTTCAGGTATCCATGGAAATCTGAACAATAACGGCTTAATTCTTGGTGTTCCTGGAATCATGACTCATGAACTTCATCAGCCTCCTCATAATCCCGTATCGCATCCAATGACATCGCCACAAAATGCCTGCTTCATGAGCCCTTACCCATCCAGTCAGCCAACTCCTGGAAGTTTACCACAGGTAGCGTAACCCTACCATAATCAAATTCGCTGCTGTACTGCGATGTCTAGGTTTCTCCACCAGTTTCGGGTGGTCGTCATGAGAATCAGCAGTACATTGTCAATAATGGCTATAGCCCAGGATTGTTTAATATTTTGAGTGTTTCGAGCGAAGGCAGCGTAAATAGCCAGCAGGGTGAAGCTCCGAGGTAATTTACTTTCCCATGCCTTTGTGAGATGTTCCCAGACAGATTCCCTTTCCAGGAAACGCCCGCGCACCGAGAATCAACTCTTGGACCCACCAAAATTCCTGCCAAATTTTCCCGGTGTGGGACAAGCATCTCTAGCCGCTAGTCCGATCGACTGCAGTTATCAGGACGAAAATTTCTCGCAGCAGGTTTTTTGCTTTTCTCTTCAGTCATAAATCTCTGTCCGAAGTGCATTTGACTCAAGCTAAGGTCTTAGTTCAAGGTGATCAAGTTCTCGACGTTCCAAGAAGACCAGTGGAGTCCTATCTACGACATCAATCATCAGCAGTTGACTAAACTGAAAATCTGCGTCGTGGCCGATAAAGGGTTCAACTACTCGATTTCTGATGGCTGTTTTGTCAATCAGAAGAAGAATCATTTCCAAGTAGGGGTTAAAGGATTCCTTAGCTTGCAAAACCCTAAAAAAACTACTTTCAGATTTCCGTAAACATTGAAGCAAATGACGAGAATCCACCAAAATTCGTCAAAGTTGATGGAGTTATGCACCCCATAAAAGCTATCAAATTAGCATTTTGTGGAGTCAAAGCCGAAATGCTAACGTCTGAGATTCAAATCAAGCAATCCCAGACTGATCGCAAGCCAATTCCCCATGATCCAGTCATGTAAGCTGGCTATCTAAGCCCTTGAACCCTCTGAAAATGTCAAAAAATGCTCTTTAGCCTAAATATTCACGCTCGTGAGATTACCAAGGTGACGGTGCCTCGTCTGCATTTCTCCGAAACCACCCTGAACAACCAGAGAAAGAACAACCGGCCGAATCCGGATCAGAAATACTTCCTGCTCGTTGTTCGCCTTTTGGCATGCATTGAAAATGGTCCACCAGCTCTGATCCAGGCGCAGCAATCAGAGAAAGTCATCGTTCGGGTAGGTTTTGAGTCCGAGCGCCCAGCCAAGCCAAGGATTGTGAGATTTTGATGTTTTATAATAGCGGATCCCCTAACTAGGAAATAGCCCAACTCCCACTCCAAGATATAAAATCCGAAGCGAGAAAATCGCTTCAGAAAATAGGTGCTACTGGGGTCGCCACGCCCATCAATGCTTAGGCTAAGTGTAAAGAGTTACCAGACTATGTAGTACCTAACGGTGCGGAAAACACCCTTATTGTGAAATCAGATTTCCAAAATTTATTGATACTGCTGAGTGCTATTTTGAACCATCTACTTGATGGGCGTGGCGACCCCAGCAGCATCTACCTTCGGAAGCTGTTTTCTCGCTTCGGAAGTCATCTTTGCAACGGGACCTCGGCGATTATTCAATCAGGGTTGGGCATTACTTATTAGGGGCCCCACTATTGCACTGCATCAAAATCTTACCAATCTCGTATTTGGGTAAACGGCATTTTCAAGGTTTTTGACTACATTAATCGTTTCAGGCCACCAATCCTGGCTCATTCGAACCACCAGAGAGTGACGTACAATGGTATCGCAACGGCGGTACCCTCGTCTGTCATGGTCCAGTCGCAATTGGTACCGATCGTACCGCTGCGAAGCTTACAGTCGATGGAGATATTTATATGACCGGGCAGGTAAGCGCGCTCTACGGTCAAGGTACGCCTCTAAAAATTTCTTTGAATTTTTAGATGACCCGCCCGTCCGATATTCGTCTGAAAGAGGACATCGTGGAGAAACCATCGCGCGATGCACTTGAACATCTGCAACAGCTGCGCATCGTAGATTTTCGCTATAAACCTGAAATCGCCGAACTTTGGGGGCTGAGCGAGGAGCAGAGGCGACGTACAGGGCTCATTGCGCAGGAATTGCAAGCTGTACGTTCTGCTGACGAGATTTATAGCTCAACTGGGAAAATCTTGCTTTTAGGTCCTTCCCGATGCTGTTCGCGATATAGGCACACATTTGACTGTTGATGAATCACGTATCTTCTACGAAACAGTGCTGGCGATGCAGGAACTGTGCAGGTTGACGGGCGATTTGGACACGAAGATTGACGATAAGGTGATTATCTAAACAAGCGCACTGGGGGCGGGTGCTGGCCCCTTATGGAAGGACATGTAATCGATCCAGCCGTTTGTAACAAGAACATATGATTCATCTTGATTTGGAACACTAAGCGCAAATCTGTAATCGCCATCTGCTGAACGGTCTTTTGGAATTATCATTATCGACTGTAGGCCGCCCGGTGAGGTTACAGTCGGGAACAGGAAGGTGCGAGAAGGCGTTGCTGGTAGAGTGGTAAGCGCGAGGCTTTGTAGGCAAACGGTCGCAGGTCCAAATCGTTGTGCTGCAACTTCTTTTGCGGTATGATAAATATGGTCGTAACTCTTTCTAGAAGGCCATTCAGCGAAGTGTGAATGCCGATTTGAACACTACGTTCCAAACGAGACCAATCAAATACGTCTTGTGACAAATGGCTGGGTCGATTTAGGGTCCTTTTTAAGAGATTTTTTTCTAGGTCGAAGAGATCAGTCAGCGACTTGCGCGATATGCTAGAAGAAAGAAGCTAATCGGCTCCATCGCTTCAAACCTTAGCGACCAGTCATCCGGCATCGTTGGGGACACTAAAAGCTACTTATCCTATTCACGAACTTCGCTTGCGTCAACTTCGCCATCCATCGTTAAGGAAAGAAGCGAAAGGCGAAAGGTTTGGGAGAAGTTGCCCTGACCAAAAAGCTTCCGTAACTCAAATTTCTTACTTCAGCAACGCAACTGTCGCTCCCAATGCCATCGACAAGAAACCCTATGCAGTTCCAAGCTCACCCAAGGGACCATCATTACTCTTGTAGTAGTGATGGCCGCTTGTCTAATCGCAATGTGCGCTCTGTACGTTCTTGATTGGCACAAACGTAATTATGGCTATCATCATATCTACCCACCAAATGCTACCCCATCGACAAAATCTGGAGGATCTACGGAAGGAGTTGGACACATGATATACCAAATTGGTAGAGAATTTTGGGGCGGAGTTTTGGATCGGGTTGAATGTTTTTTTTCAGATCATCCATATCTACCGATGCTACAACCGGATGCGCCGACTTTGATGCCGACTTGTCGGACGAAACATTGTCAAGCATATTGTTGCGCAGATCGGGCCACTTATCGCTCTGGAAATAAAGCTAATGAGGTAAGCAGGGGTGCAGGGGTGATTCGCGCTATCATAGAGAGTTTCCACGCAGGACCGCAGCTGCGCGCGACAAACCTTTACTCAAGCAGATATGGCGCGAGGACAGGTTTGTCGCGCGTGGGACACGTTTGAACAAGTCACGCAGTGTGGGGCGTTGGATACTGTAGTGCAAAACGGCTGTTTTCAGGTTCCCACTTATATTCATAGAATTCGTAATTTTGCAGATGGACGCCATAGTTACGCTGGGTGATCGTACCAGAAATATGATAGCGCGAAGTGCTCCGGATGTTTCCGTCAGGAAACCGCTTGGCACGGGTGTCCGCATCACAATCCCCACCCTAAATGCTACAATTGACCATCGTTACTGTATCGAACAAAGCTGCAATAAGAAACGTGGACGTTTCAATATGTACATCCCTGTCTCGCCTTTTCTGCCCACACTTCCGCTGGAAATCGTCTTCACGTATGTTTTTTTACTAGAGCTTAAATCTACAGTCGAAGATAAATCCCTTTGTAGGGTCCCAAAAGGAAAGCTCATCAACAACTGTGGCTATCTGGCCGACTTCCAGCACAAATACTGCCCTCTTCAAGGCGACAGCTTCAAGGCAGAACGTCTACAGTATCCAGTAGCCAATCAGGTAAGCCGCCCTACCGTGCGCCCAAAAAATAATTGAAATTGATTACTTTTTCAGATAGCAGACGATATTTTCGAGTTATCAGTGGGCAGTTATCTACAATCAGCATATCGTTTCCGTGTTGGATTCACAACGGAGTCATGCTTTTCCAGTGAGGAACACCTTCATGGAGGTTACGAGGAGTACAATTTAATTTTTTACCGTACTTGCGCGCCACCGACGGGATCCACTAACGCACCATCGGCGTGATTTTTCCACTCCCCTTCTCCCCATTAATCAAGCTTTTGTAAATTGCAGGGAATCTTGAGTACTAATTTACGAATATTTCTTTCCTACTGTTTCTAATTTTTATGCCATTTTAGGGGCAAATTGTCGTTTTTTTAAAGATGTTTTTATGTGCTGATTCATACATTTTCTTTCCCACCTGGCTGAAGTCATCTATGAGCTTTTTTAAACTTCGTCTCCCCCCCCCCCCCTCCCTTCCCCACTTGTAATATTCCACCTCCAGTCTTTTGTACCTCTTCAGGACAACATACATATTCTCCCCACTCTCCTGGTTTTTTTCCAAACTACCCTCCACAGATTACGTGGCTCCCAACTGGCAAGGCAAAAATGTGCAATTCCTGCTGACAAAATTCTCTTCTATCCCCGAGTGTTTTTAGATTTTTACGTGTACTTGACGTTCTCAGTCAATCACCATGTTTTCTAAGCTATTTTCCAGTCTATGCACCTATTCTGTTTAATTTTTGTCATATGCATCTAACTTCCTTCAGTCTGTACACACTTTGGTCGGATTTGGTAGATTTTAGCTGAAAGCTGTTTATCAACAAGCATGCAGTTGTTTACAATTGTTCACGTCTCCTCTAGATGTGACTTGATACGGGCAGAATTTTGCGTGTTTTTTGTTCATAGATTACTGTTAATAAATATTGGTATCCTCTATTTGGGAATGCAGCTAGTATGGAAAGAATCTGTAAGCTCGCTTACACACTCGGCTATATATAATTTCTGTAAGGTGTAAATCGCAACTCTCGCGCAAACATCAAGTGCTCTCACTTTATTCTGATAGTCTTGTGAGCTTACGTCACAAAATGCAATGAGTTTTTCAAATTGAGACTTCGAAAGCAGCAAGACAGGGCTCGGCACAGGTGGCTTACAAGCAAGCTGGATATCGTTTCTGGTACTAAAAGCAAGAAATATCGTTTTTGCGGTCTGAACACAAGTTAGGTTAGGTCTTTTATTGGATGTTTCGATTTTGAGTCAAAAGAGACTTCGTAAAATTTTGCGAATGTCAGAGGTGACTTCGCTTCTTGCATGTTTGAAAAGTCACCTCGTGCCGAGCCCTGTTCATCTTTTCTTTTGGCGGTATGCCAAATGCTATTTCTACAACTAGCTATTGTCTGCAATGGACAGGAAAATCTCTGTTATTAAGAATGCTCTAAGTAGGTATTTGTTGTATTTTTTTTTACTTTCTTCTGAGCAAAAAGAATTTTTTCATTTCTCTTTTTTTTCTTCCAAGTCATGTTAAAAGTCCGGATTTACAGCATGTGATAGTTCTTAAATCGGAGACGTTTCCAGAAAAAAAAAGATACATATCTTTTTCGGAACTAATGAGAATTCCGTAGAATTTGTTAATGAAGCTTAGTTTGTGCTAAAAATTTTGCTTTCAGTTTTAGCTAGTGTGATGGTGAAGCTGAAGGCAAGAAAGTGCAGTGAGTCGAAAACTCCAAATCAATTTCCATGACTGCATGAGATTTGCATCGAAAGGAAATCTCATAATGAACTGACGATTGCTTGAGCATAATCTTTGCATGGAAAAGAGTGTTTTTCCAGAGAAGATTACAGATAAAGGCAACAATTTAAAATGCAAATTCTAAATGTAAAAGGGAACTCCGAAATGGTTGTGCGCATGATTGATTTCTTTGATACAGGCTTTGATTTACATTGTTTTTGAGTGACCTACAGTCAATTCACTTAGCACTTCTGACAGTTTTCAGTAGTTTTGCGATTACAGTACTATTTTTTTGGGAAGTGGGAAGCTTTTCAAGCTCCTCTTTTTTCCAATTTAGAGATACTGCAAAGCTGTTCTACATGCTTCATTTTACTTGGAATAGAGCCAGCATGCCCAAATCTGATGCAATGTCGATTTTTATTGGATGATTGCCAAAAGGTCAGGGGGATCTGGGAGCAATCGTACGAAAAGTCCTTCCGTAAATGACTTGGTGACTTCCATTCATGGACAACAGTTACTCTTCCGTTGCTTGCCTTCTAGAAGCTTCGCGAAGACCGAAGTGTTGTTAAAATTGAAATAAAACTAATTTTATCTGTAGTTTACCAGAAAAAAATCTTTATCCACTCTATATAAATGCTACTGCATGACGATGCGCAGAAATGGTATTAGCTGAGCGGACACGAACGCGGCGCGCGGGTATCTTCACCATTGTAAATCCTGCGCCTCATGCGCTCTGCGGCTAATAAAGCCGCGTTCGCGTCCAAATGTATTGCGGTTTACTCATGCAGCAGCCTATACAATCACTCGAATTCATTTCACTTCAGTGTGAGACTCCACGTTTTAAATTCTCAACATTTGCGTCTATACCCGTAACAACAAAAAATATTCCTAGAACAATGTAAAAAGTATTCAAAGTCAAGATTACTACCAGTTTTGGGAGCGCCATCTCCCTCCACCATTTTGGCAAGAAAACTATAGTTTCTATCAAGGAAGGAAATACAAGCCCTAGTAGCATGCCTGCTGTGATTCCCACAAGTGGAATGACTTGTTCGAGATTCGGTATCAACCAAGCAAGTCCAACTGAAAAGGAAAAAATTAATTTGAACAAAAAAGTTCACTGCTAAAGCGTGTCTAGGATTGCCCAAGTGCCAGCTCCGTTCCAGTGGCATGCCAACGCCGTGCTAGAATCCACATGGCCACATAGTGCATATTGATCAGTCATGACGACACACCTGCCCACGTTAGCACAATGCTGAAACGACATCGGAACGGCGGTGGAACGGCGTTGACACCAGCAACTCTGAGCGCATCATTGCCACTCACATACGAGAAACACCACAAAAAATCGAAAGCAGTATTCGAGGCCGATTATGCAAAATCTCCTGACATTTCGTCTTCGCAGCGGTTTCTTCACCAAAGGCCAAACTAGCTCTACCAACGGGTATTCCATTATAGGAAAACTTGTACAGACCATGCACAACAGCATAGCCTTCACAGCGACGTTTAGTCTAAGACGAAAATTTCAATTTTATTGGTAATCCCAGATGAGTGTAAACTCACGGAGAATTTGAGAGATTCAGTGTGATAGATCCTTGTACAGCATCGCCAAAAGTTATGTAACCATAAAATCCGCATGCAGCATAGAGAATCGTAACCAAAGAGGCACCAGTAGATAACACTCCAGTATAGCCAGTCATCTCCTTCGGATGCTTCATTTTGTTCTCAAGTGGCAGCACCTAAGAGAACTCTGATAACCCAAATGGGTGAAATGAGGATTTAGTCAAGTTCAAACCGTTGCGATCCCTTCTAAAGCGTACATTATGGAGCCGGCAGCGAGAAATAGTCCATTGAGGCTAGTAAATGCTGGTAGAGAGTAGGTTGGAATGTGCTTGAAGGTAACCAATTCCTGGAATATCATACTCTGTATGAATTACGAAGAGATTTTGGAAGCCGATTTTCTTACACCCAGAATTATCGCCAAACTCGTGAACACCAAAACGTTGCCTAGCAAGGAAAACAATGACAGTATGTAAAGACTTCGAATCAAAGACATTACAAGAAGAGCCGGTAAGGTGAAAAGAAAGTAAATATTACGATGAATAGTGCTATGTGGCCATATTATTTCGACAATCTGCAAGACAAAAATAAAAGAATTACAGGTTCTGCAGTAAAACTAAAAAATCAACCTCCTTAGAGTGATCGACGATAAATATATAGTAAACAGTACAGATACCCAGCTGTAGCAGAACCACAGAGATATTTATTATCCACCTAAAAATATTCGCTGGAAATTAGCCTCGAAATGATGCAGAGCACGAATCCTACCATTAGGCCTCGTTCAGAGTTGCCTGTGCCAAGACAGTGCCAGCACATTGCAGCGCTATGACAACGCCGAGCCAGTGTCGTGCTAACGCCGAGGCGAGATCCGCGCGGGAGCACTGCGCATATGATAAATGTATTAGATCGTTTCATAAGTTCGTAGAGTTTTAATAAATCAAAGTGACAAAATTCTAACAATTTAGCCAATAATTCTGTTGTTGTGCACAACCTTCTATCACCATGCAGCCAGATTTTCAAGTCCGTTTTTCCAGAACTCAGCGGGTGGTCCCAAAAAAGTCGTCTAACCAGCGCCTGAGATCGTCTTCAAAATCAAAACAGACGCCGTTTTTTTGATTTGTGATAGATTAAAACGGGTGCAGGAAGTTTCTCACCCGAGCCATATGCACCTAATCCGGGCTCGTTAGAATTACGAGCTCCTAGGAGACCAAGACATCGCAGGCCCCGCCCCTTATCCAGTGTCGCTCCAGTTGCTGAAACCGAATTTCCAAGAAACTCTCAAGATCGAAGTTCAGAAGTGAATCTGCACCAATCGAGACCATTTCGGATTTAAGGGTTCTCGAGTTTACTCTTACCAGTAGTGAGATTGTTTGTTGCAATATCAACATTCAGCGCCAATAATGCTTGATCAAGATCAAAATTCGGACTTAGAGGTTTTCGAAAGAGGTTTTCGAAATTATCTTTCTCAAGACAAGACCAAAATTTAGGTCTAATTGTAAGGGTTTTGAAAATTTATGAATGGGCCGTTGAAAAAATATCCGTATCATGGATTTGTATGAAAAGTCCAGAATATGGTTGAATCAAAATAGGAAGCAAACTTGAAACGGTACGTATGTAATCATTCGTATCTGGAATAAGTTAAATTCAACTGTAGACAAAATTTCTGAAGTTTCAAAACACCCCGAGATTATTTCAAAATTCCAAAATCGCATCGGTTGCCTCCAGTGACAGATCCATATCTACGACTCACGTGTTGTGCAAAGGTTTGTCAAAGAGCTGAAGCGTGAACAGAAAGCCGATCAGCATGCCTTGAGTAGTGACCAGAATGATCCTTAGGCAAACAAAAGCGGAGAGCAAGTGAGGCCAAATTTTTCTTATAAGCAGAGGAAGAAACTTTCTAGGTCTACTATGAAGCTCTGGCAATGAGCCAGCCTCCACGAACTCATTGACTTGTGTTATATAAGGTTTCAAGAAATATTTAGCTGGGTCATTATGAGCGCCGTAAAATGCATTTTTAAGACTGGATTCAGGGAAAGAAAACACTACAGAATCAAATATGTATTCCTGCATCTGGTATTTCAGTTCTGAGGCTCCCGCCAGAGTGCCGAAGCCATGCCAGCGCTACGCCAGCGCCGAGCCAGCGTTTCGATCGATACACGTGCATTTCGTTGGGGCGGGGCCCTGGCTGAGAACTAGGTCAGCTAGCCCCGCCCCAACGAAATACACGTGTATTGATCGAAACGCTGGCTCGGCGCTGGCGTAGCCTTGGCATGGCTTCGGCACTCTGGCGGAAGCCTGAGGAACGGTTTCTGCGAGAAAAACATTTTTGTCTCTAGTGAATGGTTCGAAAAATCAAATCGCTGTTGATTCTGCACAACACATATATCGTTATGGAAAAAGCGATTTCGAGAACCGTAAATCTGAACTTTGGTCTTGATTTGTAAAAGAAAATCTCCGGAACCTTTAAATCCGAATTTTGATCTTGATTAAGCATCATCGGTGCTGAACCGTGACTTCGCAACAAACAAATCTCACTACTGGAAAGAGCAACCTCGAAAACTCCTAAATCCGAAATCTGGTTTTGATTGGAGCAAAATCACAGAACTTCGACTTTGAAAGTTTCTTCAAAATTCCGGCCTCAGCATCTGGAGCTACACTGGAAAAGAGGGCGGAGCTTGCGATGTCTTGTTCTCTTGAGGAGCTCGTAATTATATCAAGCCCGGATGTGCCTGGCAGGCATTCACTTAGGTGCGAGAATATGGCTCGGGTGAGAAACTTCCGCCCCGATTGAAAGAGATGATAATATGCTGGAGCGAGACCTTAGGAGTACACTGGATACTAATGTACCTCCCAGCCAAGTCTTTCAGGACAGCTGTGACGAGGGTTGTAGTAGGGGGCTAAGTTTTGTTGCGCAGGAAAGCTCGCTAAACCTGTTTATTAGGCCTTTTCTGCATTAGTTCGTTTAGACGGTGCAGTTGGGTTGCGTACGGCATGAGCGCCCGTCCTGTTCTTGCCTAGCAATTTCTAGTGCAGACAGACCTCCTGCACATTTTGTAGAAAGTCTTGTTTAGGAGTCACCTTGTAAGCTCTTGAAAATCCACTACTTTTTTATCTCATATTGACGAGATGACGCCATTTTCCATGATCGGCAAAAATATGCACAAAATGCTTTTTTGATAAGGAGAAAACAAAAATGCTTCTTTTTGCCTCTTGAGAAATCTTCCTTTGGAAACCAAGGAATTAAGCAAATCAGCTTTCCACCTGAAATAAATAGTTTACTTTGAAGGATATGATCAGCTCTTCTCAATGATGTAAGCATCATGCCGCAAATCAACCGCTCCTCAAAGAGATGAGGACGAGAATGAAAACTGTGTGAACTTATGAAACGACCTAATATATTGATCGATGAAGTTCACTGACACAGCGCGTTACTGGGCTAGCACGGTGGTGGAACGGCGTTGGAACAGCGCTGACAGGCATTTTCGGGTGTTATTTAAAGACTACTTACCTTGCCACATATTTGAACCTTCGTAAACGCTTATGGCTGTTGAACGTTTCTTGCCCCAACTGTCCGTAATCAAGTGGGCCGCATTTATACCCAAACAAAGCGTAGCAAGTTTTCTTAGAAGAGTATACATTAACCCACCTTTCACACAAATATTGTGCGCTAACAACAACCTTGATCATACACACAGCTGTTATGATACCGAATATGAAGACAACTATGAAGGCACACTAGATTCCAAAGTTTATCAAATTATAGGGGCGAAATCGGTAGTGTGCCAACTTTACCCAAAGACCAGCTTGCTTGGAAGCGAGAGGTAAAGCAAAGATTCCGGCGCCAATCATACCTTTCAAGAAATTAATGAGAGCAAATGTCGTGCTAAAATAGAAATTATTGAAATACGGAATATTTAATATTTTAGGCTTTTGATAGAAATCCTGAAACATACGAGATCTTCTTTTGTTTCGAGTTGCAGTTGATATTCGGCTTCAAATTTTTATCATCAACTTCAAAATGTTCAGGTATAGGCGGGTTGCTGTCGACCACAGCTATGGATCCTGGCATCTTGGCAAGTGTGGAGCTGTAGCTGTACCTGGGGAAAAATCAGGTAGTTAAAAAGGCACAGATTCTTTTGGGTACAGAATGCAGACCTTGCAGTTGCTTGCTAGTCATTATGAACTAGAAGCTTCTCAAAAGCTTCATTCCTTTTTTATTTTGTTTCATTTATGTAAATGCTTGCTTAATATTAGGTCGTTCCGAAAGTAATGTCGCTTTTTTCAAACGTACGCCACATCTCGCGGAACAAAGGTGTGTAAGAGATTCTGGAAATATTTGATGCAGCACTTCATACTCTTTCTAATCGTTATATAACCACTGCACAAAATTCAATGACCTCTCGAAAAATTACCAAAATCTGCGGCCCATGCTGAGAAAGCCAAGTTTCACAATTTTTCTAAATTTTTACAACACCCTCGGAAGGAGTCCAAGTGATAGATGGATAGAGCAAACCCTACAGGAAACAGCACAACTTTTTTCTATTTTCCGGAGCTCGTCATAATTTTTGTATAGATTTTTCAATGGAACGACCTATAGCATTCTCGCCTAGACACAAATGCATCAAACACTAATAAATCTTTGGATTCTAAAACCTACAAAGATGGACTATGGTTTGACATTAATTTTACAAACCAAATGAACATTCACCGCTTCAGATTAGCAACTTTCGAAATTTCCGTGTACAGCCTGGGGCGCCCTGGAAAACCTGAATTATGATGATTTTATCCTGGAAAACTTGATGAATCGGAAACAAAAACAACTGGTAGAAAGAGGAGAAAAACTTGCTTCGAATGATACCCGAGCTGATTGCCGGTTGTTGTTCTGTGAGGTTTGAGTTGACCAAATATGGAATTTGATGGGTTTGAAAAATTGATTCCAGAAACTCTAAGAAGCAAGCTAAGGAGAAGAAAAAAAATTACCCTGTGTCCTATGGGGTTTGCTCTATCTACCAATCACTTTCACTTCTTCGAAGAATAAATACAAAAATTTAGAAAAATAGCCAAACTTGACCATGGCAAAAAGCATGAGTCGCAGATTTTGGTAATTTTTCGAGAGCTCATTGAATATTATACAGTGAAGCTAGAACCGTAAAAAAGAGGATGAAACGCTGCATTGATTCCTTCTAAGACCTCCTGAAGATCTTGATTTCATGAAATGTGGCGTCCATTTGAAAAAAGTGACATTACTTTCAAACCGACCAAACAAAATATCAGGTTGGCGGGAATATCAACACTTTTCTATAAACTTCTGAAAAATTCCAGAAGCTTCCCAAAATCTAATTTGGCTCATGCTTAGGACATGAGCTGTTAACGAGCTCATGACACTTTTGTAATCTAACTCAAATTTTCATTTTTTAATTTTAGCTGCGCTCCACTATACAGGGTGTCCCAAAAAATGTGCACACTGTTTGATTGTATTAGGTTGTCCGGAAATTAATGCCCGTTTTGAATTCCAGTTGCAATAAGTCATACACCTTTCGCTTCTAAACAGGTTGCAAAGTACCATTCGATAGAGCAAAGCAAACTCTACTAGATGGCCTTCTTGCTTTTTGCAACAGCTCTCATCCACCTCGAGTTTCGAGCCAAAAACTAAAAAGACTCAGCAGCCCGCAAAATCGAAAAAAATCGTAACTCAGTTCATAAAAACCCTACAAAAATTCTAGCTTGCTCACGTAAACACTATCCACATAAGACATCTATATATGCCGTTGCCGTATTTTTTCCTCTGTTAGAAATCAAGAAAACGGAAATTTTCGTGCATTTGCCAAAGTGATGCTGTGCCGTCCCCACATAGGTAGTTGTATACTAGAAACCTGTAGAAGTATAAACGTAATTTCTTAACTCTCTACAAGCTTTAGTTCTCGAGAAATTTGAATTTTAGCTTGAACCACCTAACTAGGGAAAGCTATATGCGGCATTTTTCGAGAAACAAAGCTTGTAGAGAGCTGAAAATTTAAGTCTGTACTTTTACAGGTTTGTAGTTTACAACTACCTATGTGGGGATGGCACAGCATCACTTCGGCAAATGCACGAAACTTTTCGTTTTCTTGGTTTCTAGCAAAGAAAAAAATACGACAAAGGCGTATTTAGATGTCTTATGTGGATAGTGTTTACGTGAGCAAGTTAGAATTTTTGTAGGATTTTTATGAACTGAGTTACGATTTTTCTCGATTTTTTGGGCAGCTGAGTCTTTTTACTTTTTACCTCAAAACTCGAGGTGGATAAGAGCTGTTGCAAAAGCAAGAGAGCCATCTTGTAGAGCTTAATTTGCTCTATTGAATGGTACTTTGCAACCTATTTAGAAGTGAGAAGTCTATGACTTATTGAGGTTGAAATTCAAAACGGGCATTAATTTCCGGACAACCTAATAAATAACTCTTTTGTGGTGAAGTGTTTCGAGAAGCTTCAGGTACCATTTTGTAGAGCGAGGTTCAACCTAGATTTGCAGTGTAGAGCGGATCGCCGATCTCTCATTCTTTCTGTAGAATTACGGTAGAAACTTTGAAGAGGGTTCTGAGTCATGAAAGGCCATATTTTGTTCTAAAAAGAAACCAAAACAACCTGAAAACTTTCACACTGGGCTAACTAGAGTGATTCTAAATGTGAAGTTCGCAACTCTTCGTAATGCTTCATTAAAAAATTATGCGAGGTAAGCAGTAGCAGACGTTATTTAAGTGTTCCTAAAAAGTGCGGTTACACCGTTTGGAAAGCTTCTCAACCTTGTAAAGAGTTGAGTATTGAACTCAGGGTTCATAAAAACTCTATTACATAGATTTCCACATTTTTTTGAAAATTTTTGAAACGGCCGATTGTTTCACAGTGACACTATATGTTTGAAGTTTCTACCGTACTCCTACGGTAAGAATGAGCGATCGGCGATTCGCTCCACACTGTAAATTTAAGTTGAAACTCGCTCTACAAAAAGGGACCTAAACCTTCTCGAAACACTTCACCACAAAAGAGTTATTTACAATCAAACAGTGTGCACATTTTTTTGGGACACCCTGTATATTTGTGGAAACATATAATAAGTCATTGCCTCTTCTATGGCGGCACTGTAATGTTTTCAGCTTCTCAAAAACGAAGGACGAGAACAATAAAAACTTTCAAAAAATTTTCTTTTTGTGTGCATAGTGTAGCAATTGATGCAGAGAAGTTAGGAACAGATTTCTGAAAATTAATGTTTTTCTAGGCAAAAATAGGTGTTTTGCGGGGGGGGGGGGGAGAAGGGAGGAGAGCTTTACACTTCTTCAACATGCCTTGGACATGAGATTTTTCGAAAGATTCTGTTGTTTCAGAATTAGAATTAAAAGTGCAACAAAAATTATCTGCCAATCTAATGAATGGGAAAATGAAGGAATAGTAGCAGCTTGCCAGACGGTGATAGATATTTTTTGGAAAGCATTGGCACATCAAAGTATTTGCTTTCCTGATGATGAGAGAGCAAACTCTAACCAAGATACGCATACAGCTTCTTTTTGTACCTCAACTAAGCTGCTTTTGCCAGCTTGAACGGTTTGGTGTTCATCCTTTGACATTTCTTAGAACATTTCGCGGCAGAAATAACCCTGCAAATTGATAGAGTAAGGAATCACAAACACTTTGAGACTGCTTCAAAATATTTGCACACAAAGAGCGGGAAGGAATGTCATTCCGCTCCTTGAGAATACACATTATTCGAACAGTAATCAGTAATTCGTTAGTGTGCGCACCTGGACCCGTGGTGACAAAAAACTACCTAAAACAACAGGGACCATTGAACTCAAGATCAAATTAACACCATATATATTCGAAAGGTGGCAGCTCTTTTACAGAACGAAGTACAAGGCTCAGGGTCATCAAAGTGATTACAATCCATAAGTAAAAATTGCCTGTAAGCAGCTTCGGTCCCGTATGTTTTTTAACTAGAATTACTGAAACCGACAGATCAATTCTACTGTAGGGTCCCGAAGGGAAAGCTTATCAACAACTTTGGCTATCCGGCTGACTTCTAGACAAATACTGCCTCTGCAAGGTGATAGCTTCAAAGCAAAACGTCTGCAGTATCTAGTAGCCAATCAAGTAAGCTGTCCTAACGTATGCGAGCAGAAAAGACTCAATTAATCCCCTTTCCAGATAGCAGACGATATTTTCGAGTTATCAGTGGGCAATTATCTACAATCGGCGTATCCGTGTTGGATTCACAACGGAGTCATGGTTCTTCAGTGAGGAACACCTTCATGGAGGTCATGAGGAGTACAATCTAATTTTCTTCCTACTTGTGCGCTGCCGAAAAGATCCACTAACGCACCGTCGGCTTAATTCTTCCCCCCCCCCCCCTATCAATCAAGCTTTTGTATATCGCAAGGAATCTTGAGCACTAATTTACAAAATTCAAAGGAGGTCTGCCAAGTACCGCAAGAAGGAACGAAGTCGTTTATGACGGTAGCATGTTAGAAGAGCTCATATCAAGTTGTGACTGGGCCATCGAAGAGGACCTAACGTACAACCAAGGCTCCTGAGAGGACTGCGAGCCTGCGGAACGCCTCAGTGACTTTCGGGAAGAACATGGAACACATTTCGAAGACCACCAAGGAATTGCTTGAAAGAAAAAGATTTCTGAGGCAGGATCCGAACCACGGTCAAGATTGTGATGTGACTGTCGCAACGGGGGGTCGTAAAGAGGGTACCTAAGGTGGGGGGAGGGTCGTAAAAGAAGGTAGTTAGGCTAAAATACCCTAAGCTTGAGAGAGAATCAAAAAGCAGACAATTAGTTATGTTCTTTACAATAAATCTATAGAAAATTGGAAATCAGAATAAAAAAGATAAAAAATCTGTAGAAATTCTCAAAAAAAAACATTTATAAGAGCTCAAAACACTTTTTAAGAATGTATGTTTTGATAAAAATGCTGAATGTAGCGATTGCCCTAGAAATTTTGCTTCTGAACAGGGTCAAGCGTGCTGATGCGATCCGGGACCCTCATTTACGACCCCCCCCCCCTTGAAGGTACCCATCCGTACGACCCCCCT